AGCCGGTGCGCTACGTCGTTGACCGCAGTGACATCACGTCTCAGATCGATATCTTCTCTTCTAAGCCTCTTCGCATTCCACACAGGCGCGCACGACCTCACCACGGTGAACCAGGCCACGATGACCGTCGTAGCAACGCTCGCCGCAACCCCCACCTCCGGCGTTCCCCTCTCCGAGGTCGTTCAGGCACACGACCAACAACTACCCGTCCAGAACGTCCCCTCCCCCTTGAGCTATAGGCTAGAATAGTCTCATCAATATTTTCTAGAACGGAGACCAATGGTCTCGGGTCGACGACCCCAAGCAGCCCAAGCCCGTCCGAGGCTCGACGTCCAGGTCGACCGCGGGAAACCACCCTCTCCGGAGATCATCCGCAGATAATTGGACCCAGCTTCCCTCACACGCGAACGCACCGAGTGGAAAAACCCCCACGTGCACCTGCCCGATGCTCGTGTGCTCGTCCACGCTGTTCTCATGCGTACCCGACGCGTACGGAGGTACCGAGCGAGCGTGGTGTCCCCTTCTCCGCCTCAGGCCTTCGACGGGTCCACACCCACACTTGCATCCCGCGTACGACGACGATGGCGACGACGCTGCGTCAACCATGGCGCGTGGACGGCCCGCCAACCGCGCCCACCCCTGCCTCCGCCGCCGCCCCCCGCGTCGTCGCCATGAACCCCGAGCGCCTTCGAATTTCGCGTGCGCGACGGATCGCCGCCCTCGGTCGCCCTCGGTGCCCAAACCCGGCCAGAGCGTGTCCTCGAGACCCTGGCCAGACCCCGTCGATTCCCGCCCTGCGTTACCGTCGGTGGCCCGATGCGGGCGACAGCCTGCCGTCGCGTCTCTTCGCGCACGCGAACGCGCCAGCGACGACGTGGTTCGAGCTTCGACGCCCGCCCGAAGCGTAAGTTGCAACCCCCGCGGCACGCGTCCTTCCCCGCCCGCCCCCGGCGCGCCCGACATACCCCGCGGCTGCAGTGAGTAGGTACCGAGGGGCGAACGGGCGCGGGTACGGCGGCCTCCACCGCTGGACTTCTCGCCCGGGCGCGCGAGGCGTGCGCGGAGACGCGACCTCGCCCTCGAAACCTCCCCGCGACAGACGAGACAAAGTTCAAAGTTCAAAGTTAAGTTCGAAGTCGAAAGTTCAAAGTCGAAGGTTCAAAGCACGCCATGCAGTATAGCGCCCTCGGCGCCCTCGCCGGCCTCCAAACTCTAACGAGCCGCGCCCTGGACGTCCGACTGCAGACGCATCACTGAGCATTGATAGCACTTACTTACTGATCAGCGCCGTTCATAACGCCAGGAACGGCCCTCGAGCTGCGCGCGTGTATTATGTAGCACGTCGTCGAGAGTCAATCATTCAATGGCGGCGCGCTGCAGCTGAGAGTGAGACTTTGCTGGGGACCGGCGGCAGGCGCTCACGGCACGCGGACGCAAGGGGCGGGGCGGGGAGGGGCAGGGCCGCGCGCGGCGTCCAGGGACGGTGCGCGCGGCGAGACCGGCGGTCGATCCAGATTCGACGCGAGGGCGAGGGCGAGGGTTCAGGCGTTCAGGAATCAGGAATCAGGAGGAACGGGGAAGGAGGGCGGGGGTGATGCGCCTCGACGGGGTGCCTGCCTGCCGACTCTCGAGGTCGGCACGCGCGCACACCGGTCCGGGACCGGGTTCGTCGGGCGAACGAGGCTCCAGGTCCGTCGAGCGTCGGGTATGTGCTTAGCTAGGGACAGAAGTCGCGAGTACTGAGGTTCTTTCAGAAGACGGACGTGCGGGGTGTGTTGGACTACAAGGAAATCAACGAGGCGCCTGGGCACTTGCAATTGCGGGGGACACTTCGTTTGCCCCGCACCCCGCGCAGGTGAAGTTACCCACACTAGCGCGTTTGAAGCGGGCCAAAGCAGAAGGCCATCACGACACCGTGGCTTGACCGCATGCGCCCGCTGTGGGAAGGCGTTCGCAGGTTCCAGGATAGCGCGGGGAGGTGAGGTAAGATCGAGCGCGGAGGCCCGACGTATCTCCATATTCGTGGCGTCAATATCAACTCGGACAGACGTCCGCGCGCGCGAAATAGCCAAGTACTTAAGTGAGTACTTACGCATTGCCATACATAAACATGCGCGCGGGAGAACAGACGGCTCACGCGAACAGGCGCGTGGCAGCGACGACGGACGACGGACGACGAACCTGACGACGTCGCGGACGGGACGACGGTCGCCGTCGTCGCGTTTCGCAGCGCGTTCGGTCGCGAGCACCGTACGTGCGCGATCACGATCCGCCACCAGCACCGAGTCCTCGACGACCACGCGCGAGGAGCGCGGTCGGTCGGCTGCGTCCGCGATCTCCGATCAAAACCAGGTACCCGCGCGTGCTCGCGCGTCAGTGGCAGACGGCACCGCCGCCGCCGTCCATCGCGTTTCTCGTACACTGGGGAACTTGGTGAGGAGGAGGGGCGGAGAGGTGAAGCGGACGACGGTTTTGCACTGGCACATGGGAGAAGTCTATGAGGTAGCGCATTTTCTTTGAGAATTCCGGCACGCTTGAGCGCGCAGAGTCGAGCGTCGACCGGAACGCTGCTGCTGGTATACTTGTGGCCCGGAATATACGTGCGTATGTCGATCGCCACGCGTCGCGCTCGGCCACCGCGTAACACGGCGTGCGCGAGGTCATCACCGCGCACGCGTCTGGGAAACACGATCCGTGTCCTCCCCAAGCCGTGATCTCTCCGCCGCCGTTAGTCCTGCTTGCGCGTGACGAGCGCGATGCTCATCAGTGCACCGGCGGCACTGAACACAGAAGAGTACATAAAATGTGAGTCGTGATGCAGGCGGCTGGGGATGTGCCTCGCCCCGCGGGCGGTGGGGCTCCAAGGATGTCGCTCGTCGGGGGTGTAGGCAGCGGCGGGGTTCCCGGTGTCGGCCACGGGTTATCCTTGCTTGCGCAGCACCTCGTCCATCCCGTCGTCCGAGGCACAGTCGACGCCCGCGCGGCATGGAAGGGGGCCGATGTCGTGACGCGCGAGCGTATACGCAACCACCACCACCACCACCACAGGCAGCGCTCCTGCTCTCGATATCCAAACCCCGCGCGCCTTCCATTCAAAGTGGCAATGCACCACCCGCCCGCCTGCAGAGCGCGCCTGGCGGGGCCCGGGGGGCGCTCCCTGCCATACACGCTCGCGAACAGCACCGCGCGCGACGGCCCCCGCCGACTCTCGCTCCCGCCCAGTGCCCGGCGCTCACCGCCCAGTGGCCGCCTCCGTGCATATGTAACCCGGTTACCAGCTGGCCATACATAGCACATAGCACACACTGCCCACCGAGGGCTGGACTGCAGACCGATGCATACAGGTGGGTTTGCTCGTCATGAGAGGGCAAATGTGCTTTGCTTTGCCGACGCTGGCGACTCTTCTCGTCCGCTACGTCCGACTGGGATTACCAGGAGATCGGCGGCATCGATGGCGCCCCGTGGCCGAAACGGGAAACGGAAACGCGCGTCGGGGTTCGGTTGGCTATTAGGTGCGCCGATCACCCGCAGGTGGCGGGGAGCGGGCGCGCATCTGGTGGGCAGGTAGAGTCGCAGACGAGCGAGTCAAGCTGCGCGCAGTGGATGAGCACACTGACGCAGGAATGTGTATGAGGCGAATCCCGATGTCTCTCCCAAATAAAGCCATCACCTCCGGATTTCCTGCAGGCCACCCCAACGTCGCTCCCCGCGACGCAGTCCCAGTCCGAGACCCAAGACGCACGCAAGCGGCAGGCTCACATGCGCTCCGCGCGCTCGCCCGCCCCGATCGTTGATCACGGTGGGAGGTGCACGGGCGCGTTGGCGCGGGTGCAGGCCCGGATCGCCGGGCGGGGACCGCCTGCAGCGTCGAGACGACGGCGACGACGTGCGTGCTGGGACGGCGCACGCCTGCACGCACGTCCGGGCTTCTGACTCCTGAGCGCGCCAAGCTCCGGGTCGTGCGTGCACACGAGCTCGGGCTTCGTACGCAGCGCCGCGGGATATCCCGGAATGTGGTGCATAACGCAGGTCGAATGTCGAGCAGGGCGTGTGCGGGGAATGACTGTGCGGGCCTGCCGCTGCCTAAGGCCTGAGGAATGCGCGGCGAGGAGGAGGGCGGCTTGGTCAGCGGGGCGAGGTGGCAAGGTTCGCGCGCCGGGGTGCGACGGGTGCGAAAGCGGGCGGGTGACAGAGACGGTCGGGCGGACGTGCCCCAGATGGAAGTGCGGTTCGGCGTGAGGGTGCGGAGGTCTGAATGGGGGAGAGGGATGGGTGCATGCGGTAGAAGCGGGGGCGGAGCGCGCCGCCATACGTACGGCGAGGGCAGGCGCGCGTGCGGGGGAAGCCGCGACGCGCGACGGCGGTGCGCGCGCAGCTGGCGGCTCCGGGCGGGACTGGCTGCCCCGGTCGGGCTCGCTGGTACTGGGAGAGGGCGGTGGGGGAGGAGTTGGGTACGAGGACGGGAGGGAATCCGCGCAGAGCGGGCGTGTGCGTGCTGACGCGGCGGGGAGGCGGGCTGCGGGGGACGGGCGTGGGTTGGGTCGGCGCGGGGGGGTCGGGAAGTGGGCGTTGCCGAGCAGACGCTGGGGCGCCGGGTGCCAGACTGCCGGGACGGGCGGCTGTCGGGTGTTGACGCGTGTTTGTGGCGGGCGTCTTGGGTGAGACGGTTGATGGGATGGGGCGGGCGTGATTTGGGAGAGGGGAAGGCGTATAATACCATCGCCCTCCGCCGCCGAGGCCCGATCTCCCATCCCCGCGTCGCGAACAGTCCCCTGCTCATCGACCGCCTTTCCTCTAGCGGGCTCTAGACTTATCCACCCCGCTCTCTCATAAACCCCCACCACCACCTCCTCCTCTTCCTCGCCCACCGCGCCCCTTCCCCGTCCTCTTCCAAACTGCCGTCCTCCGCGCATCCCGACTCGTTCTATACGCACCCGCACGCGTATCCTCCTCCCGCCTTCCCTCCTCCCGTCTACCCTCCACCCGCCTACCCTCCACCAATGACCACCGCGCAGCCCATCGCGTTCTCCTCCAATGAGCCCCAGGACTTCCCCATGGGCTCCGGCTCCTTCACCGGTCAGATCGGCCATTTGCAGCCCTCGCCATACACCCGCCATTTCATGGGCTCCCCAATGTCCTTCCGCTCAGGCTCCTTTGGCAGCCGCTTCTACCCCGGCATGTCCCCCGGCCAGCTCCTTGGCCCATTAGAGTGCGTCTCTTTCCCTCCCCGTCGCGTATATGCGCCCAAGCACGCGCGCCCATCCCTCCCGCTCCCCTTTCCCTCTCGCTCTCCTGTCCACGCCTCTCCATCTCCTCTACTTGCGCGTGCCCCTCCGCGTGTTCGATCGTGTGCTGACCCCTTTCCGCCCGATAGCCCCAACGACATCAAGCTCGGCAAGATGTCGTCTTCAATCGAGAGCGACGGTGGCTCGATCGTCAACGCGCTAGCCATGCTCGAGCGTCAGGACGAGCTCGTGAGTCTTGCCCTCTCTTCCCTCCCTTAGTCATCTAACCGCCCCCAGTGCCGCGACTACACCTGCTGCGGCCTCCATCTCACCGACCTCCACGCCCTCGTCGACCACTTCGAAGAGTGCCATGTCGTCGTCCTCGACCCGTACGCACCTCAGCAGCCCCTGCCCCAGACTCTTCCCACCTCCTCTGCCCCCAATTCTGCCGTCTCCTACTTCCCCAACAACAGCTCGAGCGTCCCCTCCCAACAGTCGTCCCGCCTGCAGTCCCAGCAGCACATATCCTACCAAGGATTCGACCCGGACGATATGGAGCTTGACCTCGATCAGAACCCGAGCGCCCCGTCCTCCGGAGCGCCCTCTCCTCCCGACACCCCCATCTCCACCCCGCTCTCGGGTTATCCCTCCCCCACTTCCTACTCCGGCGCACCTTCTCCACACGGCAGCCAGCCCCCCTCTCCCATCTCCGCCTTCGAGACCACCACCGTCCTCCCGCCCCGCGGACATCACAGCAGCGCCCTCGGCGGCTTCCGCTCGAGCGTCGCGTCCGGCGCCGCCGGCAACCCGCCTCGCACCGAGGACGCGTTCAACTCGTACTCGGGGTACTCGGACTACTCCAATCTCCTTCCCGGCACGACGCCCATGGCGACGGGCCCGAACGCGCTCTACATGCAGCAGCAGGGCATGACGCTCGGCTCCATGAACGGCCAGCAGAACGGCCAGGCGTGCGCGCCCACGGCGCTCATCCTCAGCACGAGCCAGGGCAACACCCCCGACAGCACCCCCGCCTCCTCTCGCGTCGCCTCACCGAGCCCCGGCCAGTCCGGCTACCGCGCTGTCGCGCCCAACGCGCACGCGTCGTCCTCTTCGAGCACCGCAGCCGCGTCGACATCTGGCGCTGGCAGCAGCTCCACGGCGCGCGCGTCGACCACGCTGTCGCGCCCCGCGACGTCGCTCCTGCTCTCGAAGCCGTTCAAGTGCCCGAAGCCGAACTGCAACAAGTCGTACAAGCAGGCGAACGGCCTCAAGTACCACATGACGCACGGCTCGTGCAACTTCGCGCCGCCGAAGGACCTCGAGCACCTCCAGGAGCTGCTCGCGAGCAAGCGCAGCGAGAAGGCCAAGGCCGCGGGCGAGAGTGGCGTCGCCGAGGGCGAGGTCACGCTCAGCGAGTCCGAGCTCCGCGAGGTCGAGAAGGAGGCCGAGCGCCGGCTCCGGCCGTACGCGTGCGGCGTCGGCGAGTGCCAGCGGCGGTACAAGAACATGAACGGCCTCCGTGAGTGACTTGTCTCGCTCTGGCGTGTTTGACGTCGCCTCTAACATCGCGCAGGGTACCACTATCAGCATTCGGGCGACCACGGCGCGATCGGCCTCGCCCTGCTGGCGTCCGGCCAGCACGAGTGTCTGCAGCACAACAAGTCGCGCCACGCCACGCCCGGCCACTCGCACTCTCACTCGCACTCGCACTCGGCGTCGGTGCCCCGCACGCCGACCTCCCCCGCGGGCACGACGACCTTCGGCCAGCAGCAGGCCCAGGCGTTCGCACAGCCGCCGGCGTACACGACCCCCGCCGCGACTGCGTCAAATCCGCCCCCGTACGCGTACTCGTACGCCCAGCAGCAGCAGCAGCAGAGCCAGTCACAGTTCACCGCCGCCGCCGCCGCGCCTCAGACGCAGCTGGCGCTCGCGTCACAGCCGCAGTACTCGACGGGCATGCAGCAGCAATGAGCGCGTGTGCGTCCGACGTTGGTACCCCGGGACCCCCCTCTTCGCTCGCTTCGTTCTTCGCCTCGCCAGTGCACCGCTACCCGCCCGCCCCCACTCCCCCCTTCTCCGGCCTCGCTTCGCCTTCCCCGACCCCCCGTACTGCTGCCACGAAAAAGTACAGGTACGCTCGCGCGTGAGCGGCGTACGCTGCCGCCCTAATCGTCCCCCGTTCTCCGGTGCACTCCGTTTTTCGTGCTTTTTGGTCGCCCGTGTCCCTGTTATATGCCCGCCAGGCTCCCCAGGAGCCCGCGCCTACTGTTATACGTACTTCGTACCCGTACCCGTACCCGTCCCGCATAGTACCCGCCCGCGCGTCGATCGCCCGCGCGTGCGCCTGCCCCCTCTGCTCCCCGTCTCGTGTCCCGTCCGATACGTGTTGTGTGTCCCATTCGAATCCGTCACCTGGCCCAACCCACTGTATAATGCGATCTCCTCTCCGTCGTCGTCTGCTCTCTTTCTCTCTCTCCTCCGTCTCTCTCTTTCCTCCGTCTACTTCTCCCCGCTCGACGCTCACATATCCAGTCGAGCCTGCTGTGTCGTCTAGCCTCTCCTCCCCCCGCTAATGTGCCATAGTGCCCTTTCCCCCGTTCGCCCCCGCTCTGTCACTCCATACATGTCGGTTTTCTCTGGTCCCCCCCGGGCCCCCCGGTTGGGGCCCGCGCGTTCGTCCCGTCCCGCCTTGCCCGCTCGCTCGTCCGCCCCGGCACGTATAATACTAGCACCGAGCGCCCGCCTCGTTACGCCGTTACGACCCCCGCGCACGCACGCACGCACGAACCCCCCTCGCCCCCACCACCCAAAAGTAAAACCTGCCCCTGCCCCCCTCGCGCGCGCAAAAAAAGTACATAGCGCACACGGCACGCCACGCGTGTCTGTATATTTCGTCCGTTCGACCCGGTTATATTCTCGTTACAGCTCTCCGCTGCGCTTGCGTGCTCCCCTACGTGGTACGGTAGCCCTACGTAGAGCGCGTACGTACTGTACACCTCGAGGCCGTCGGGGACGTCGCCCCGCCCAAACGCGGCCCGCCCCGCCTTGCATCCCTGTCCTGCCTGGCCTGATCGACCGACCGACCGACCAACCCCTGGACGGCCAGCCACGCGACCGAGGCTCGACAACGCTTCCGCTTCCAACCTCCAGGGCTCCCGCGGGACCAGAACTCGGCGATCGCGCGGGCCCACTACTAGGGGTCGGCGCGGAGCGCGAACGCAGCGCTCCACCGCGGCCCCACTTCCGCACCCCGCGCGCGCTCCGGAGCGTGCACCCATCCGCTGCAGGAGGATCCCCGAACGGCCCGAGGACACGTCGTCGTCGGGCCTGCCGCAGGCGATGCGTCCTCTGCGTCTGGGGAGCTGGAGCTGGGGTCGCGCACACGCTGCGCATACGCACGCTCGCCCACGCGAAGCGTGACCACCCGTTCCTTGGAGCTCGACGCACGTCGGCGCGTCGCACCCCCCGACGTCGCGAGGAGTACTGGCGGCGAGCGAGCAAGCGAACGGGGGTCCGGGCGCATACTGCGCCCGAGCCCCCTCCACCACCACCGCACCTGCCGACCCCACACCGCGTCGACACACCCCCCTCACAACACGCGCTCCAGCCGATGCTGGGCGCGTCCCGACGGCCCCGAGGCAGGCTTCCCCGAGGTCCAGCCGCCCGGCGTGGCGCTCCCCGACCTCGAGCAGCGCCACGGTTACGGCCTCTGGCGCCGTCCTCTGCGGCGCACCCGGCCATCCAGAATGCTCTCCCGGGCGGAAGGCGAGCCTCCGAGAGGGCGTTTAGAGCCAAGTTCCCCTTGCAATAGATGCCGATCGTCGCGTTCCCTACTGTACGCCTTCTCGTTCCCTTTGTTGCGCTGTCGCGCCCGATCTGTCGTCGCTCGTTAGTCTTGCGTTGTATCATTTCAGCCTCACCTGACGCGGCCATACGCCCGTTTTCCGCTCCCTGCGTTCTGTTATTACGCCCTTCCTCCCTGTTGTCCCGCTCATGGCCATGGAGCCGGACGACCGCGCCGCGCGCGCTACACCCGGCCTGCCCGTCCTTCCCTCCTTCATTCGTCGTCATTCGTTGTTCGCCGTGGACAAGGCACGCAAGCGCATGTCCTGGCTGGCGCGCCCATCCCTGCAATGCAATACACATTCATTAGTCCCTCTACCACGCGCATCACGTCTCTCACCGGCGGCCCAGCTGCAGACGGCGTCGAAGCGCGCGGACGGGCGTGCACGCTTAACACCACGTGTGCCCTCTGCGCCTTCTCGGAATCGATCCCCGCGCGGCCTGCCCCAACCGCCCACAGCGTGCGCCGCGTTTGCGTAACGGTGACACCAGTATTGCGGCATCGCGCATGCGTGCACGCGTAGGGGCGGTGTGTCCACCGCGCGCCGCGCGTCGGGATGCGGGACGCGGGGGGCGCCGTCGATCGATAACGCGTGCCGGTCGCCGGTCGCCCGAAAAGCCCGTTCCGGGACGACGGCCAGACAGGGGCGACGGCGCACGAACTCTCGAGGCGTTCCGGAAGGCGCTGACTGAGCGGAGTTGTCGGCGGGATTGACGTTGGCCACAAATGTCGGAACGGAGCGCGGCGGCGCGCGCGCGCGCGATGGCCCAAGAATGTCGGTGTCGATCTTCTCGGCGCCCGGGCTCCTGTCTGCTCCTCGCGCGCGGCTGCCAGCGGAGACGGAACGATTGGGTGGTGGCCTCGAGAACCGTTTCGTACGCACCGCGGGCGTACGGCGTATGACAGGAGGGACCGGAACGTGGAGGAGGCAATAGCGTTTGGCTTGCTTCCGATCGACTGGTTCCGGCCTGCACAGGATGGGCATGTCCAGGGGCGCACAAGTTCAACGTGTTCCGCAATGCGCGCCCCTCGACGAGGTGACCGATGGTCAGAGATAGGAGTCGCGGGCTTGATGCGTACGGAAATGGAGCCAGCGAAGCCTAGATGGAGATAGATTGACCACGTTGGATACTGGGTGTACGGAAGTGGCGGCATCGCGAGCGGCAGGTAGCGGCATAGCGGCGTACCGCACGCCAAGTGTGGCCGACATCCGAAATCCGGGAGGCGCGCCGGGTGCCGGCACCGAGACGCATCGTGAACTTGCTATTTTGAGGCAGGTCCGGAGGTGGTGAGGACGTCCAAAGAGAACACGGTAGCCGCAGGTTGGCGAGTTCCGTCCGAGTGCGACGTTCAGGTCCATCGATATCGGCCAAGAAGGATGAATCAGCGACGTCGCCGTCGTCCGGATGGCTGGGTCCACGAGGACGGTGCGGACCGCCGTGATGTTGCGGTCTGCGTCTGAAGTTCTGAACGCCGCCGTCCGCCTGAGAGCCTCGTGTCGGTGGCGGGCGGCTCGAGGTCGCCCGTTGAGGAAAACGACGGCAGTGGACACAATACGCAAACGCCACGGAACGCCGCGTGTCGTGCATCGTGTACGTCCTGCGCGCGCACCTGCGCGCCGGAGAAGCGTGACGGCGCGTCAACCGGGCAAGCGCCGAGGAAGTACGCACCGGAGTCCGTGACTCCCATACGGTGCGGACGGAGAGCCGTGGGAGGCTTTTCCCCTCACACCTGTGCGTGCGAGAAGTGTGCCGCATGGGCCCAGGAAAAGACGGCTGCGCGACCCGCTCGAGCCGAAAGTCAAGGAGCGGCGGTCAGACGACAGCGCGGCGCGCGCAGTAGCGGGGTTGGAGAAGCCCCATCGACCGCGCTTCATCAACCGGGAGGAGTAGTGAGGAAGACACGACCGGGCATGAGGCGGGACGTAGGGCGGATAGGTCGGACGGAAGGTGCGCGTATGCTGGATGCGCGCTCGAGGACCAAGGATGCAGAAACCACGAGCAGATCGGGGAGTGGAAGGCGGTGACTGCACGTTGAGAAGGCCTGGATATGAATAGCGCAAAGCCGGCGGTGTCAGTTGTAGTCCAATGAGAATGAGTGGGTACTCACAAGTAGGCGAAGGTATCCGTGCTTTGAGGGTGTGTTCGATAGGGATGAGGCGGGAGCAGACACACGTAGAATGCATGGGATAACAACGGAGAACTCTCCCTGCAGTTGAAGGGAGGTGCTGTCACTGCGCGGAAAACTGCTTCTCGGCCTCGACTGGGAGCAAAGCAGCATCAGCTTGCCTGGAAGTTGATACTAGGGTTGTATGTCAACGCACCTCGTGTTCCGCGCGGGGTCGGGTGGAAGATAGAAGCTTGCATCGAGTGCGAATGAACAACTGCAGGATGCGCATATGAGACAAAGGGCAAGAGCACACCACCTTGAGAACACACACCGTTTGAAGATATTTTGCTCCATAAGCAATGTTCCAGAAATGCCTCGTGTCGACCGCCGTGCCTCCCCCTCCCCACTATCTCCGTGGACACCACAAGGGCGATGGAACTCACTGACGGGAGTCTCGCCGAGGGATGAAAGCAAGCGCATACAGCCAGCCAGCGCGCGCCACAGACGCTTCGCCAGCCGCCGGTACCCGCGCGCCGGCACCGCGAGTCGCGACGGGCGCGGCCCCGAGGACGTCCCGCGGCGACCGACCGCGGGAGCACCTCCCTCGTCATCGGGCGGGGCGTCGGTGTCGTCGCAGGCGTGTCGAAGGAGGGGTGGGGGGATGGTGGTGGCAGGAGGAGAAAAAGAGCAGAAAATTTTCGTGTCGGGAGCAGGCTCTTCTCCGGAGTGCGCGCGTACTGAATGGCGCGCGCGCGCGGCACTTCCCGATGAAGATTGCCACTTCCAGACAGTTCCCCACACCGACGTCGGAAAATGCTGCTCGTCTGTCGCCCACCGTGCGCTCGCGTGGTGCGCGCTGAGGCCTTCTGGCGTGCGCGGGGTGCTCTGGAGCCCGTGCTCAAGTTTTCCGGCGAAGACAGGCACTCCAAAGGGCGATTGCTTCCAACGCACTTCATGTTACAAAGGTACTACTGCACAGACGTACATCTTACACCACTCGCTACAGACAATCGCGAGAGACTATAACGATACACAGGGGAACCATCACGATGGTATGCTAATCGGACAACAATAAAGATAACTGACGAGGTGGCACGGGAGCGCGCCACTGGAGAATATGACCAACGCAAAGAAAGAAAGCACAAGCACGTTCAATGGCAGGGATCCGGAAAGAGTCGCAAGGAAGAAAGGAAGAGCGGTGCGTATAAAACCGCCACGTGCGCGCCATGCGATGCGTACCCTCGACCCTCACGACTCCCCGTCAAACCTCATCGCTGGGTGCAGAGGGCGGAACACCGGGAGACCCGTCTCAGTCGGGTCGAAGAAGTGCTCCGCCCGCTGGGCAGACTTTGACGGGAGCAGCCTGATCGAGCATCCTTCGATCTGGGACTCGGGCTCGAGGCTGTCAAGGTGTACTTCGTGAGGAGGTGAGGGTGAGCTGCACGGGTTCCTTGTCAGTCTGGCCGTGTTCACATCGAATGACGCGCTTACAGGTCCAAGCCGCTGAACGCAATCCTCAAGTACTCCACGTCCCCGACGTTCAGATTGTGCCTTCGCAGAGAGGACGCGCGCGAGAGTGTCGCGGGGGTCGCGCATCCCGAGTCGCTCGGAGTCGTGCTCGTGCTCGTGGACATGCCAGGGTCGTCCGAGAATGTTGCCGCATCCTCGGCCTCCTCGGCGTATACCACTACCGAGTGTCGCCTTCCGCGCCACTGCCTCTTGCCTTGCCGCCTCTGCCCAGTCCTGTGAGTCATCCCGTGGCGAATGCACGACAAGCGGAGTACTCACGAATAGCGACAGCTCTTCTTCCGTCGAACTGGGCACAGCTCGCCGGCCCCTCTCATGCACCCCATGATCCTCCTGAACAGCAGCTGGCTCTAGGTCGTCGACAGTGCGGAACGACCGCGCGCGTGGCGCGTCGCTGTTGGCGCGCAAGCGCGTCGATACACCGTTCGGAGGCTGCCAGGCCTCTCCGGGCGGCCGTGCGTTCGGCGCTGTCGACATCGATGCTTTGAGAGTCAATATGGATATGTGGGTTCAGGACGATCTTGGGCGCTCCTCGGGGACGGGAGCTGGAAGGGCCAGGGGGACGGGGCAGGAGATGGAGAGAAGTGACGACCGGAGCGAAGCGAGGCGCTTTTATGGGGGAGGGGAGGCCTATGGACCGTGCACGACAACGTTTGAATGTCAACATGCCAATGTCCTTCCACCGCCGGCGGGGCAGGGGGTTCGTGTGCGAACGGACGTTGTGGCCGTGAAGAGGCCCATGCACAAAGCGTCCTAGACTCTGCAAGACAAAGCCTGATGATGTTCTGATTCTTCTCGCGCCCGCACGCTCATATGGTCTTTCCCGTGATGGAAGTGATGTGGACGAGGGAAGGCTGCGCGCGTTGTCCCTCTCGAGGTCGTTCGGGGAGCTAGATGGGCCGAGTGGCACTCTCGTCGATGAGCAAAGGCCTGTCTCGCCACAGGTGTCAGAGCACGTTGTGGATGAGAACCAGGTGACCACTCACCAGGGCGTAGTTCCGTGACAGCATGCGCTAGCGTAAGACGCACTGGCCTGGCCTGCGTCTTGTCTGAGAGTCCAAAGCGTGCCGCATGCTATCTTATCGTGCCACTCGACGTTACGTCACGGCATACACTTCGAATATCTACTGGGCGTTTTTATGGTCGAATGAATGATGACCTACCGCTGCGGGTTCATCCTCGATGCTCGAGGGTGAGTTGGGGGAAGGCGTTTTGTTGGCAGCGAACGCCGGCCCGTCAGCATCTGGATCGAACGCCCTGGAATATGCCGTTAAAGACGGACTATGGCTGGGTGAGACCAGCGAGTGCGTGGCTTGAAGTTGGTGTGAGTGACGCGTACCAGGCAAAACAACAAACCCCGATTTCATCTCCTATTACCATATACGTGCTCGTACAACAATGACCGGGCTTGGCGGACATAGGCTCTACACTCTATACAGTCTGGATGGCGCGCTTTTCCGAGAACGCTCCGCCGAGTCTCACCGCAGGCGCGGGCCCAGCCTCAAATTCCTTGCCGTCCTCCTGTGTTGAGAATCGTCATCAGCGCTGCGCGCGAGGTGAGAGACCCGGGGAAGAACCATATGCGTACCCCGTCCGATAGTGCAGCGCGAGACTGAATCTCGCTGCCATCCACGCGCGATGTCGCGGACACGGACACGCCAAAGCGCACCGACGTCAAGTTGATCGTGTCTTCACCCTGCGTGGCGGTCGGGGACGACGACCTGCGCGAGTTCAGCCTATGAAGCCTCGGAGTGTCAGTCTCCTGTATAACATTAGAAATGAGGAGACACATACTGAGCTAGGAGCGAGACAGGATAGACTAGATGCACCGAAAGAGTGTGGACATCAGAATGGAGCTTCATATGCGAGACGCGACGTACCCATGATGACGACCATGTCGAAGGCCATCCAGATGAGGCTGTTCGGCCGCACGAGCGCCTTGTAGCGGACTGTCATCAATACTGCATAGACGTACGAAACCGAAACACGCTTACAAAAACAAACGCGATGAGATTTCCCACTCTATTTCACCCCGAGAAGTTGGTCAACGACGACACATTCGTAAAAAAATGAGGGGCATACACGATCCAGACGCCTGGGAGACTTTCTCAGCATTGACGACGTCATCTCGATACCGGAGAGGGCAACGTACCTGTCCCCAGGGTGTATAGGATGAGTCGATGGATAAGCGAGTCGGTTCTGAAGTTCGATAAGCCACTAATCACGGTCCTAAATGTGAAAAGAAGAGTACTGTCTGATGCCTGTTCGGCTCTTGTGCAACGAGAGAATCATGGTGGTCGCAATGATGAGGTTTGCTGTCATTGAGCTCGCGCTGGCGGCCGAGCTGACCGCCTATCCTTGCATTGAGTGCATCATCAGAAATACGGTGGGAGATTGCATACCGCAAGGTTCGGATCTTTGCCTTCGTTCTCGTAAAAGCTATAATGAAGACGAGTGAGATGTTGCGCGCGCGGTACAACCTAAGATATCGTACGTAAAGACCATCGCGACTAAGAGGAAAGGGTTAAAGCTGGGTAGATCCTAAGGGTGTATAGTACGCTCACCAATAGAAAGTCCTGAGTGAGGATAGGGCAAGATTCTCGTTCACGATCATCCGTTGTAGGTCATGTATCTGAGCTCACTCACCGAAGTTCGCCAATACCAATAGAAACTGCAGACGTGCCGTGTTAGATCCGGACTTGTAGAATTTTAGAATAAAGGAAGAATCTCACAGCAAGTGCGACGATTGGCGCGTAGTTCCTGGCAACTATTGAAAGTTAGAGTTGGTCTGACCCTGGATTCAACAGACATGCTGACTTACTGCGATAGACGCGCCACAGGTATATCCTGGGAGAAGCGGGATGTTCAGCTCAGGCCTCGCCACGAAAAGAGGATGCAATATATCTCACAGATCGCAAATGAGCACCGTAAATCCCTGAAAGACGCAAGGTAGTCAGTGAGACAAATTTGTTTGCTCCAGTGTCGAGTTCATACTGAGAGAAAGGCGAACGCCTGTATGATTTCAAATGTTTAGTGTCATTTCGCGAGCGTGAGGGTGAATCCAGCCTCACCGACTCGGACCTACGGAAACAAAATTAGACCCAAGCCACCATGTGCATATTGACGTTTACGCACCACACTATTTTGAGCAGCCCGAGAGGATCGAAGTAATTGAGCACTAGATAGTAATAGCTACACGTCATAGAAATGAGTATCTGTGATGCCGGTCCTTTTCCCGCAACATACATACCACATGTGTGCGATAACGGCGGCATCGACCGAGATGGTGACACTGTATTCCAGGTACGTCGTGTCAGCAGTATGAACAACGACGAGCATTCGGAGGGAGAACGAACACAAGCGCGGCCACCTGAATAGCCCACCATTAGCAATAATAAATCCGACGCATATACCCCACGTACCAGTGATCTGAGCAGCGGGGGATCTTTATTGTAGTGACGGAAGTAGCGGGCACTCTGAGTCAGGACGGCTCCATACATCCTGCACAGGAGAATCGTGAGTTGCTGCATTTCTCGTCCGAGATAGAAGGAAACCCATTCACATCAAAGCAAAATAAGATCCGATAAGCATGGCACCAAAGGTGTTGTTGAGGGATGGTACGGCAGGCATTGCTGCTGTGGGATTGGTCGAGGAGGGTGGGATAGAGCTCGAGGAGTTCATGGCGGACTAGTGCGGAAGACGTACGCGAAAGCCGCCTTTATACGCACGCGGAGCGTTTTTGCCCCCCCTGGCCAGGCCTGCTAGAGCAAGGCTGGTGGCTCCGAGGGCAAAACTCAAACCGTACCGCAGATGCGAGTCGAGGAGCATGCGTCCCGCAAACCTGTGCCATGTTCAATGGTACTGCGCCTCGGGGGATCGAGTTTCAGCTTCAAGAAAGCGCCCTCGGAGTTTCCGAAGCAGATTGAGTGGGCAGCTGTTGATCTCGAGCTGCGTCCTTTGATGTGTCGAAGGCAAGACGGATTTCATCGTAGGCGCCCGTACCGCCCTCAGTGCTCACTAGACGCGCTGCCCTTTTTGCGGCAGCTTCCAGGCGAGCGACACTCATATTCTTCCCCAGACTCCAACCGCTCTCTGTATTGGCGACGTAATCGACCAATATCTTGTACATTTAAAACATCACAAGAGCATAGTTCCATTATGGTCGACGGCGACGATCCTTACTACATGAGGCTTGGCAAAGCCTTGTGCTGGCGATGTGTTCCTGCGCCCATGGTTCCCCCGCCCAAACCCAATCACTACATCAGCTTCTCTGAGACCACTCACCGTTGATTTCAGGATTTTTCCTCGAGTCTGGATTCCAGAGGATTTTGAGCTTCGCAAGTTCTACTTCTTTCTGAGGGGTCATACGTGGCGGGGGCTGAGCATGACGGCCAAAGCTTTCCCCACGCCCCCCGCTCCGACTTTCTTCCTATGACCGTCAAGACCGTCCAGCGTATCCTTCAGCTACCCTTTGCGTTCTTACCAGACGATGGCGAACGCGTACCGCTGTCCCCGCTGCACGTCGCTGCACCGCAGGTCGCCCTCATCGTCATCGTCGCACTCAGGCTGCCGTACTACGTCAAGGTCGCTGCTACCATCCCCGTTATGACCACGGTCGTGTATGTCGCTACACACACTACCATAGGCACGCCAAGCGAGCACTATGGGTTCGGCAGCGCCTTCCTGTCGCTGCTCTTCTTCAACGCCTCCCTCTTCGTCTGGTTCACGGACCCGATGTCCGAGTACCGCTACGTCCGCGACGCCAACACAGCACCACTCGGCGCACGGGGGCTGTTTTCCCGCGTGTACAACGTCCTCTGCATCACCCTCAACTACCGCCTGATCGGATGGAACACTCAGGTGGGCACGCTTCCTCCCTTCTTAGTTCTGACCCCGAAGCCGACCTGGGTGAACCCGCTACAGGTTTCCAACGTGCCCACACCGATCAAGGACAAATCCGCCTTCATCTTCCACCGCCTCTATCAGCTTCTCCTCACCATGCTCGTTCTCGACGTCGCCCAGTCCCACCTGCTCGCCAATGCTCCCGTCTACACCGCCCCGGACCCGCCGCGCCCGACGCTGCTCATCACCTGGGCCTTCCTGCTCTGCTCCTACAGTGTGATCAAGCTCTTCTACACCGTCGCATCTCTCGTCGCCGTCACGCTCGGACTAAGCGCGCCCGAAGACTGGCCAGACCTCTTCGGGCACTGGCGCGACGCGTACACCCTCCGCCGCCTCTGGGGCCGCGCGTGGCACCAGCTCCTCCGCCGCGTGAGTGCCCGTCTCTCGCTCGTCCGTCGCACCGCGAGCGGCGGCAGCACGTACGCTGACGCCCCGGCCCCTTCACAGCACTTCAGCGCGTGGGGCACCGCCGCGGTCCGCACGCTCGGCGTCCGGCGCGGGACGTGGCTCTCCTCGCAGGTGCAGCTGCACACCGCCTTCGCGGTCTCGGCCGCGATCCACACCTTCGGCGACGCCATGGTCGGCCGCCGCCTCGTCGGCGTCTCCGCGCCCTTCTTCATCGCGAACGGGCTCGCGATCGCCGTCGAGGACGCCGTCCTCGCGCTCGGACGGTGGTTGTGCCGGGGAGAGGAGCTGAAGGGGGAGGAGGGCCGGCCGCCGCCGTTGGCGCTCCGCGTTGCGGGCTACGTCTGGGCGACGGCGGCGATGAGCGTGCTCGCGGGCACCCTGTTCGTCCCCGCGCAGTTCGCGCTCGAGATGGTCGACAAACCCACGCTGCCGTTCTCTGTCGTGGGCTGGATGGTGGCGAAATCGGCGTAGGCGTGAGGTTCGGTGAGGGCCGTTGCAGCTGTGACTTTGCCGGGCGCGAGACAGATGCGACGACTACCGCCGGTCGGACCGTGCTTAGTTTGGAGTACCATATTCTCGTAGGCATCTAATATACAGGTATACAGCCATTCCTAGCGAGTCAAGAGTCTTCGGGAGGATTTGACCAGTAGAGGACGGCCGCGATAATACAGGAAAGCAACTGATTTCGAGCCGTCGAGTCAGTTGTGGGGGGAGCCAGAGCCAAGGCCGCAAGGTACATTGGTCATCAAGTAGGGAGGGGTCTTAAGGGTCGGAGTGGATCCAGTCGTCATGAAGGCTGATTCGAATAGGTTGCCACGGTCAAAGTCGCTCGCTGCATGGGTTCGGAGTTAGACGAAATGGATCTTTGCAAGGTAGCCTATGTGTATTGTTCGGCCACAGGAGTTGCGAGGATGGTTGAGAAACTGACCTCGCAAGACACGAAAAATTCGAAAGAGCTTATTGGGAGTTGCGAGGGCCGCAGAAATTGTCAGGCAGCCAGCATAGACAAGGCGGAGGGAATAAGTCCACGTCGAAGTCGAGATCCGACTCGGTAAGATCCACTCGCTGGTGCTCGAAGTTGCTGGGCACGTCTTCGTGAGCTAAGGGGCCATTCCACTCTTCGGGCGTTAGGCTCCTCGATTCGTCGTGGGTGAGAAGGAGCCCAGGGACGTCGGGAGCCATGAGTTGGGAGGATGTTGGCGAGGGTGAATCAGTGTGATCGGAAACCAACCACCAGGTGTTCAAGACCAGATCGTAACCAGAGTCTTCAGCCTTCAAGAAACTTGTATACAGGGTTACAACTCCGCTTCCTGGGCGTTGGAGTAGGATTGCGCAGGCGTCATCGCAAGGTCGAGGCCGCGTTCTCCACATCGTGATCATTGATGAGAGTCTGGGTACTTGCTTGAATGCGTTGACGACGTGCCAAAAGTAGGGAACGTACCTCTGCCTCAGTTTTCCGGCTCCGCGTCCTCCATCCTGAATATGGCTCTGTCGTCCGTCACCTCCGCCCTGTATCGAAGGAGTTTCGTATCCTGTTCCTGGAGCAAGGGTTGATAGTTGCTCATGGGGGAGGTATAATGGCAAAGGCGCACCTTGAGCTCGTTGGACGAGGTGCTCAATCCACTCTCGGAGCCCCTTGTTCTCCCCACCGCAAGCGTCTTGCTTCTTCAACCGTTCCTCTAGTCGTTCGACCTCGGCTTGTAGAGCCTCCGCTCTGTGGTCGTTGCCTAGGCGCAGCCTCCCGTACTTGGCGCTGCAACCGAAGTCGAAGAGATTGGCGACAAGCTGATGAAGCGTGGTGATGAGGATATGAAGAGAAAGGAGGGCGACGATATCTGGCGCAGCAGGTGAGCTAGGAAGAGGTACGTGATAGAGGAAGAAGCCGATGGGGATGGTCTGAAAGCATTACACGCGTTGAGTGGCCAGAAGAGCCCGGTATCCAGAGCCCGACCGCAATGTTCGGTCTTTCACGCAAGGTGGCTTATTATTATTATTATTATTATTTTCATTCTATCCCTATGTGTCACATATGCGCTCACGCAAGGTGGCCACATCATTTAGGAGGGAACTGACGAAATGATCGATTTCCTCGCCACGTGACAAGATCGAATGTGATACAATCTGGGCGCTACACGGACGAACACGGCCCGCCTCTCCTTCATGAACAACTACGAACATACCTCCGCGGTGCACGTTGGTTTCCCCGTCCGCAACGCGAACGAGTACTCACCCCGGGGGCCGCGAGAAGGCCTGCACCGATGCCCCGAGACCTCATTCCACCAGCTAACCCCTGCCATGCGCGCTTCTCGCAGGATACTTTCGGCGCGTCGACCTCTTCATCGGCCTCCAAGTGGCAACACGCCATAGCCAGCTCGGATGCAGGCTGCGTGGTGACGCGCGGCGCACACAGCGAGCAGCACGCGACGCCCCAGATGCAGAGATGCAGCGGTGGCTGTTGACGGGATACGGTGCGTGTGGCAGCCGAAATCGAATCATCCGCACGGGCGCACGGTGCGTGGAGGGCCATGAGTTGGACGTTGGTCCGCATGCGTGCCGTCCTCTCACGGGGCCCCGGCAGCGCAGACGACCCTCTGAATGGGGCGGACCAGAGCGGGATGGTCGTCGTGCTCTTGACTCCCGGCACTCTTGCTGGGGGCGTGAGTCGAGGAAGAGCGAGGGGGATGCTAGGAGAATAACAGCAGTGAGTCACTGAAGCGGCGCGGCCGATTGCAGGGGAGAGAGCAACAGAGAGCGGGGGAGGCAACTCACCGGGGGGAGTGATGGAGAGTGCGAGCGGGGAGCGCAGGCTTAAATGCGCCAGCAAGACAGGATTCGCGCGCCAATTCCCGTATTGCTCACATCACCTCAGTGCATTCCAGGTGGTCCGAAAGGCCGTTCGTCGCGAGGATGCCCTACGTGCGGACGAATGGCGAGAGGGGACCCTGACGGCGATGTGCAATTGTGGGTTCTGGGGCCGACGTCGGAGGCCGCCTAACACGGCGAGGTAACAGGAATGTTCCCTTTCATGGACAAAGCGATCCTGAATATCTGCCTCGAGCTCTGCACAGTGAGAGAGCGAGGGTTAAGCAGCGAATGTGGTACCAGAGCGTTGTTTACGGTTGTTGTGGTCTATAGCGACAGACGCCGGTCCGTTGCACCTTCTGGGCTTCTGGGCATCAACCGTGCGGTGTGTGCGTTGCGGAACCTGTACGGCATGAGGCGCTGTTGCACCCACGCCGATTCATGAGGTCTCTGAGAGAGAACCGAGAAGAGGCCGCGATACCGGGGCTGCCGTTGGATGAGCGTCAATGGTAACTATAAGCGCTGAAGCGGAGTTCGGATCCTGTTATGGGAGCGGCCTGAAAATAATCCATCGGGTGCGCTCCGGATCACTACATTACATGCCGAAGTCTCATGGAGGTGCAGCACGGGTCTGAGTCAGCTCACTGAGCATTCAGCGAAACAAAGGTTCGATTTGGCGCAGCGACGGTTTGGAGCAAGTTTGGCTGAGAGAGCAGTGGAAGGTGCTTCTGAAGAGCTGGAGAAGAGGTGCTGCATCTGTAGCAATACTGAACATGATTTTTTGGACTCAGAGTTGAAGGGTGGCTCCCAACACAAGGCTTTTGGAGGGCGCCGTGACGTGCACGCGGATGTTGCGGCCTTCGATCCATTCCGGATCGCAGACGCCGGTTATAGCAAGAGCGTAGCATTCTCGTCCTACGTTGAAGGCCCCAAAGGAGACGACATTATGTTTATTCGTCACACGGCACGAGATTAAATTGTGAGCCTGGCAGAAAATCGAGTGATAGGGAGTCTACAGATAAGTATGTTACATGTCGAGGACAGACCTCTTCCGGAACATCGAACCTGGCTACAAACAATAAGACTGGTGAATGCAGTCCTCGAAACATCGTCTCACCGCCTACCACGATCCAGGCCTACAGGACGATCCCAACATCGTCATCCTGGCGCCCGTGCTGCGTATCGAAGCTGTTCTTGCTGTTGCTCCAAGCCACCGAGTCCGATCGCCCGTACCCGTACCCAGACCCGCCCCCGTACCTTTGCGCCGCGCGAGAGCACGAGCGCAGGGTGTCGTCCGTATCGCTGCGGTGGACGACGACGTCGCATTCGACTTGAATGTTGATCGCCTTCGTCGGAGAGGAGCCTCGCGGCTGCATCTCGAACCCGCCGTGTTCGTCCTGCTCCCCGTCGCGGAACATCCGGCCGAGCTTGGAGGAGAACCTCCGGATCTGCCGCCGCGCATTCTCCTCCTTCCACGACGCAACCGTTTCCGCGCTGCATGCGGCGGGTGGCGGGCTTTGGAGGCGTCTGGCGGAGATCGGGTCGAGAGGTTCGCCGCCGAAGGCATCCGGCTTCAGAATCATCCAGCTCGGGGGGCGGTGTGTGTTGTCGAACACGGTGGGCGAGCCGGGGGTTTGGTTCATGACAAAGCTGCTGATGATTCCCGGTTTGGTACTCGCGGAACGCGGGAGGGTGTCGTTGCTGTCCCATATGGGCGATGTTCGAGGCATGTCGTCCCGCGAGTTGATCCTGATTGCAGTAGTCAGAACAGCGTCTGCGGAAGATGGGTCCCAGAAGACCTCACGTTGCAAGGAGGGTATTGGAATATACTGGCAGATCATATGTTACGCTGAGAATACATGACTGTGAAGCCATCACTCACTTTTCGTAGCGATGAAGTCGATGGCGATGTATATATGAGGATTCGGCCACGCTAGAGCCTGTGGTTCGTGTGATAAGTGATGTAGGAGGTGTACAGTGTAGTACATCGGGTACTCACTGCAGCGAAGGCTAGCATCGTAGAAATCCTGTCAACGCGAAAGTGTGAATATCGGTTATTCCTGGCGTCCCACGATCCAATACTCACCCTACTAGAACTCCTGAGAAACAATGTCAGTAGATGATCGAGTTCCCTCTGTTCCATACACACCGGTGTTGATAGTGTAAGCCGTCAAGATCCGTAAGATGGTGTCAGTTTTCCAGCTGATCCTACTGGATGTATCAGCGTCTCGATAAATCAAAGGGTGTATTGTCCCATACAAGTGATCCCCTCCTCTGTAGCGCAGGCGATGGAAGCTGTAGATGAGAGAGGCGGCAAGCAGGAAGTTCGCTGCTGCAGCCATCCCAGAGTGGGTGCAGTTCAGCAGCTGGTTTAATCGGCCCGTCAACGGCAAGATTTTTAGCACGCTGTTGATGTGATTAGTCAGGGAAGCATACCTTCACGGTAAACGCGGCTTGGTTATCAGGCCAAAGGAACCTGAAAGTGCATAAGTTGACGACACCGACACTAAAATGGGCCGAGGTACTCACAAAATCACTGTCGCAGCTATTGAACGGGTCAGTATGATTAATTGTCAACAGATTCAAGTCGACCGACCTAGCGTCATGCCTGGAACATGATGTATAATGCTCCAGCCAAACAGCGAAGTAAATGAGAGCACTGATCACCCACCGAATTGCCCGACAGTAAGAAGTGCCTAGACCAGAATCGTTATCGGAGAGGTCATATTCAAGGGATACCGACGTACCACGGCGACAACAACCTGCGTACTGAACCTTTCTCTAACTATGGAGCGCTTAGAGGCAGGGTCACCTTGTCATTGGGGAGGGACGTACGCTTGTGCACCTTGTGTGCGTAGTAGCTACAGCCTTGGTTACCTAGGGAAAGAACGCACAACGAGATCGTTACATGCCTTTGACAAAGAAGAACAATCGTGCCCTAAGCAGACATCAGAGACTTGAATAATCTGCATAGCACACTACATACCGATATCACACCGAGTGGCTTCGAACAGTCATATATCAGAAGTCAAACGAGCGAACACACGAGGCAGGCCAAACTGCTCGCCATGTACCTTTGCAGACCTATCACAAAGAATGAGGACGTGTTCAGGCGGACAAGGTAAGATACGCACCAAAAGTTTTTGCTAAGCGTGACATTGAGTGCGTCGCCCTTGATGAGATAGTCGTAGCTGAGCGGTGGGAGGAATCGGTTGGTAACAGTTCACATTATCGAAGATGATGAAAACTCACTTGGTGTGCATGCACCACACACTGTGCGCGGTATCGAGTACTCTGGTATGACGTTAGAGGGAAGAGGGAAGAGAGGTGATAGTATCCGCCGCACATGACTGCGAAAACCTACGGGTTAGATCAGCAAATGTAGGGATGATCAACATCGGCGCCTGCATATGTCTCACCAACACTCTCGTGTGCCACGCATCGGCGTAAAAGACGCAGATGTAACGGAGCATCTGGTGGATGGAGAATCCATACAACCTACGTATTCATTCAGTGTCGGTCGCGGAGGAGAGAAAAAGATGACCTACATGAGGCCGATGAACGTCCCAATGAGTAGAGCCCCAATAGTGCTGTCGAGCGTGTGTGGGTTGGATGCCGGAGGAGACATGACAGGTACGGTAGCGTTGAGGATGTCCATGACTCGGACTGAGAGAATCGTAAGACTCAGGCTAGGAACCTTGAGGCCGTGTTGTGATGATTGTGTGCTATTGCTCGAGTACTATATACCTATGCTTCGTCCAAGTAGCCCGGCTACGAAGCGGACAAGGACAGAAAGAGAATCCGTCAGAATCAGGTCCGGCAATGGCGGCATCCCACATCCAAGGATTGCTGTAGGCAGTGTCTGGAATCCGAGTACATCTGTATGTGTATAAATGTGGAGCGAGATCGTGGCTTACCTGGTAATCTGCTTATTCACCACTAGTGACATTGTATTCACCCCCCTTTGGGCAGATCCCCGAGCATGGGAGTCGCTTTTCATGGCTGTATCAGGCTTACAACTAACTCTGGCACTGGGAGGAACGGTGAATGAAGGTTTCCGCATAATAACAGCTACAAGGGCCGCTTACCTCCGACAGCCATCCATCAGCAACCGCTGCCATATCGATCCAGCACACGTGATGCTGGGCACACCAGAAGGGACAGACTCTGGAGACGACAAAAATCTTACAACCACGGCCAGATTAGAAGCTATGTAACACGAAGCGTCTAGCCATACCACTAGAGATACAGCGGATACCATCAGTACATTGCGTCCGTGAGGGATGTGTGGGAAGGGGTAGATGCGGTGGGAAGCCATGGAAGGAGAATAAACATGATGAAAAATGGGTCGTGGACGGAGCATGGATCGAACCGTGGGCAAATTCTGTCTGGCTGAGTACAGACGAACTAACGGGAACACGAACGAGAAGCAAGGGCCGTGCGGGTAGAAACTAGCACAGAGCGTGTGATGACAGCCGGCGAGAGCAATTTCTGGACACGAGCGGACAAGGGATACTTAAGCACCCCGACGAGCCTGGAGGCGGGAGCCCCGCCACACTCCCTTCTTTTCGACGGTCTGAAAGCCCTCTGTGTCCTTGGGCTGGTCCTGCGCAGGTGGAGGAGGGGGGACGGCGGGAGACGCAGGGCGAGCGGGAGACGCGTCTCCAGGACTACCGCCGTCCTTGGCCGCCAAACGCGCCCGCCATCCACCACCACTCGTCGGAGCGTTGGCGGTCGCACCTGCGAACGCACCAGGACGGTACTTGCCAGGTGTTCCGGGTGCTGGGCTTTCTGTCCGGGGTGGGGTAGCGGCAGGGGGAGCGCGGCGCCAGCCATCGTCTCCGCCCCGCGATCCGAAAGGTGAAGGGCGAGCTTGTGGGACGGCAGCAGCAGCAGCTTGTGGGGCGGCGGCAGCAGCTTCCTGAGCCTTGCGTTCTGCTCGCCTCCGCAGTGCCTCCTCTTCGCGCTGCTGCTGGCGAACAGCGTCTTCGTGTGCCTTCTGACGTTCCTCATCTCGCTTCTTCCGCCTGGCGGCGGCGAGCTCCTCTTCCTCGCGCTTCTTGGCTTCGATGGCAGCAGCGGCAGCGGCCTCTTCCTCGGCCTTGCGCTCCTCCTCCGCAATGCGCACTACACACGACACGATCACCAGTGAGCAATGAGACGAAGACGAAGAATAGCAAGATCACGAACCTGCTTCGATACGCTCCTCTTCCTCCTCCTGCTCGCGCCGCCGGTGCGCCTCTTCCTCCCTCCGTAGACGCTCCTCTTCGCGACCCTGGAGAATCGAAGCACGACGCTTGGCTATCTCGTCCTCCATCTTCTTCTGCGCAATCGCCTGTGTCTTGGTGTACTCCTCACCACGACGAGCGGTGATGGTCTCCTTGATCTGCTGAACGTCGATGACCATGCGCGAGAGCCGCTTCTTGGTCTCCATGTCGTGGAGATGCGCTTGACGGTGAGCTTCCAAGTGACTCTTCCGTGTTTCATCGAAGGCCGCGCGGTCATTGGCCTGCTGCACCTCGTAGTCCTTGGCGAGAAGCGGGCGCTCCTCCTTGCGGTATGCACGCTCGACGTGGTCGAGGCGCTTGGAGAGGATACGCATGCGCTCGTTGAGCTCCTTCTTCTCCTTTTCGAGCTGCTCGACTTGAAGACGCATAAGATTGTCCGAGTTGAGGTTCTCCATATCCTGCAGAGGCACGCATGAGCATTTGACTGCAACGGGGAAGAAACTGAGAACGTACCTCGATGTCCACCTTCAGAGTTCCCTTCTCCTTCATGCTTTGCGCGAGCTTCTTCGCCTCTTCGATCCGGACGCGTTCCATCTCCTTGCGTACACGTTCAGCCTCCTTGTTGCGCAGCTCCAAAACGGCCTTGCGGGCCTCCTCCTCCTGCTGCCTGCGAGCAAACTCAGCGCGACGGCTAGCCTCCTCCTTCTCCTTGCGGACGGAGAGCTCAGAGAGTAGCTCGCGGCGACGAGCAACAATCGCACGCCGGATCTGAAGGGCTTTGCGCTCGGTTTGGGCGGCGGCGACGAGCGCGGCGAACTTGGTCTGCTGTTCCTGTTCGCTAAGCGCGGTCGGGGGGTAGATAGTCGCCAGCGAATTGTGAAGTGTGAGGGCAACACTGCTGAGGCGGGTGCGCACGAACTCCGAAGTCGAAGGCTGAACGGCGCCCGAGTTCGCCATGGAGGTCGACGAATTAGGATCTTCTACAACGGCGAAGGCGCTGTCTGCGAAGGTGATGCTGCCGGCGGCGTGGTCTACACGAACATTCAGCTCGCCGCGACGAGCGCAACCCATGATGTAGGCCTCAATTTGCTCGTCGTCGTAGGAGCTACCACCCTCGACCTTGATGTCCCGAAGAGGAGCAGCGAACTCAAGAAGCTTGTCAATTTTCACAGTGCTGTAGACCTGTGAAAGTTGCGAAAGGAGACGAGAGAGGAGGGCATGTTGAAGGAGCGGGATATAGGAAGAGTACAGAGTGTCTTCCGCAAGGTTTTGGAGGAGAGGAGCGACGGAAGCGCACAAGGTCAGGGGGTCGAATGTAACTTCCAGGACGTTGTACAACGACTTGACGGAGGCGGGAGAGAGCCTGAGCACGTTGCGGGACAACTGTTGAGCGCTATGAGCAATGGTTCAAGGACCACAACTGGATACATACCGCCTCACGCAGAAGACCGGTACGAGTGGGGGTTTTGCTGAGACCGAGAAGGGCGCTCAGTCGACCGTTCTTGCCCTTCGTCTCCTCAACACCTTCTGCACCACCGAGCCCGACGGGGACGGCGAGCGCGCTGACGAGAACCTGGCCGGCCAACCGGCTCATCTCCTCATCTGACTTCCCACCGATGGCAGAGACCATGGCATAGTAGCGCCCCCAGGCAGCAGCGTGGTAGAGTGCGTTGCCACTCATGAGGAAGATCTTCGTGAGTTTCTCGTAGTAGTTGGCCATCATCGTCGGGCGTGGTGCCTTCTTGGCCATAGTGAGGAGGTTGTGAACGTCCTCGACGGAGCGGAAAGCTTCTTGCCATAGCTCGAGTTCCACCGAGGTGTTGAGCTGAGCGAAGCGAGTGTCGAGGTGGTGCTGAAGGGTGTCGGGGTCGGAGAGGTTGATGGCGTGGGGCTGGTGAGCGTACTTGGCGACATTGCCAAGGTGGAGACGGAGAGTCTCGCAAAGACGGCGGAACTCGACCTTGCGCTGGTGTTTCAAGCAGAACTTGAAGGCTTGTTGGGCGATTTGCTGTATTTCCGGCGGAGGTTACGTCAAGAAGGATGCAGGGGCAGCACCGCAGACGTACCTGGTAAATGCTTTCAAGCCGCGCGTTGTTCTTGAGGGTCTCCAGAGCGGTGCGGTAGCTCTCCCAAAGGAACTTGAGCCAGGGGGTAACGAGTGCACGGTCCGTTCGGTCCTTCGTCTGATCGCCACTGACCGCACCGAGGAGGATGCTCTCCGGAGTCTCGCTCGCCTCCAGATCATCCACATCGAGAGCGATGGCCTTGTCGGCCTTTTCCTGGGCATCTTGGACCTTCGCATCGGCAAGTTGAATGAAGCGGTTGACAACGACCTCGATTGACGCCACACTCGAGTTCTGAGCGATGTTCTTGTACTGCATGAGACCTTCCTTGGCGGTACGACCCTTGCGAAGCTCAACGCAGAGCTCAATGAAGCGGAGCATGATGGGTTCTAGGGAGACGAGAGGAGTGGAGCGGAAGCGTTTCGAGGAGAACATTTCGGTGAGGGATTGGAGGGCTGCATGGGTCTGGCCGACAGAGACGAGGCCCTCGGCTTGCTTGAGGACCGTCTCTGGCTTTGAGAACGGCGCCATAATGGGCGATTTTTGAGTGGGGGGTCTGTGGGGGCGTCGAGAGCGACAACGGTGAGGACGGCAGCGATGAGGGCGATGTTGGCGACGGGCACGAAAAGTTGCGGCAAGAGCAGACAAGGTTTTCGGGATTGAAGCTCCGCGGGCGCCTGATTAGATAACGGAGCCGTGCGTGACTCAAACCCTTCCTCGGGTTCTGTCTCCGCCATTGGCGACCAACTCGCGGTGCACGCCCCCATCTAACTACCATCTCACTCAGAAGCCGTTTCCCAATGGCGCTGGCGGTCCTTGGGGTCGGCGAGCGCGCGGGTGCGAAAGAAGGTACTATTCGAAAAGTTGAATAACTTAAGTGCGAAAGATACACTACTTATGCAATAGGTCTACAGGTACGCAATAGCCTAAGAATGTCCCGGCAGTATCTACTATGAACGAGCGACAATGGATATACGAAGGCCCACAATCTCACGGTAATTAGTCCTTGTCCTCTTCCGCCGCTTCCAGCATCATATCTGGCGTAGCACAGTCAACACAAACGCAAGTCTTGAAGGCGAAGGAAGGCTCACCATTCCACATGGATCCATTCATGGACGACATGAAGTCGTCATCGCTCGCGCGCGAGTCCCTGAGCATCGAACCATCCAATCTGCTTAAATGGGGTCAGTTACACCGCTTGACACACTACGAGAGTACGCTCACCTGCTGCCAGCGTCGATGGACAACATGCTAGCATCACTTGTGCGTTGACGACGCTGTAATGGTCTTGACGGCGTATCCACAGTGAGCGAGATATCAGCAGACGTGAGACCTGGAGTCATGGACATCGGGGTCCCCATATCCGTGGCACGATGGACGGGGGTCTGGAATGGCGAAGTGATGTCTCTTGTTGTTAGTGGAGGTGTGGCGGGAGTATCGTCGATCATAATCGCCGGGACTCCTTCTGGATGTATGTCAGTACATTGAATAAGGGTAGGATAGAAAGATACTGACCTGGTTGCTCGAAGTACTGCATCCGCGCCTGATCACGTTGGGCTACATACCGCCGGCGGTACAGGATCATGAGCAGGAGCGACTGCACTCGATCAAAATCGACGAGATCTGTGACCAGTTTGTTGGTCTCCGTGCGAACAACCAGATCCTTCAGACTGCACAAATAGGTGAGTATGCGCGGGCTTACAACAGCGAGAGCAAGGAACGTACACGAGGGCTTCACGATCTACGATCAGCTTGTGGTGAGCCAGAAGTAGGAGCATGTTCGTGAACGAGATGCCTTTGCCGGGCTCATGGGAGATGCGAGCTTCGTGGTAGAGCCGGTTGTATAGGTTCTTCCTCCGCTTCATCGCTGGTCGGTCAAGACCGCCGAGAACAGCTTCGGTGCGGTTGAAGTCGAAGCCGTCAATGATCTTCTCCGACGGTGAGTGCCTATTGTGAGGATCCCTTGACATAGCCATGATGCGAGGAATGGAGTGCTCCGTTGGATAGATCTTGACCTCGAAAATACCACTGAGACGCTGTAGATCATAGGTGAGACCAAACCAATGTTCTCGACGCAGATCCTGAGCACAACTTACTCCGAAAAAGCGAACGAAGTTGTGCCGCTCCAGATAGCCGGTCCTGGGGTTTGCAAACTCGGCCCAGACCTTCTTGAATGCGCGCATCTCCTCTCGGGTGATCGATTTGGCGCCGCCGGACATTTGAAACACGTAGTAAAAACTCTCAACCACCACACCAGTGAACAAATTGGCGAAGATGTACTGCGATACAGGGTAAGCACAGGAGAGCACCGGCGAACTCGAGAGACTCGCCATGCTCAGGAGGTTCCATGCAATGAAGAGGACAAAGGCCCAGCCGACACTGCCGCAATCGGTATCACCATCGGAGCTGATGGTGCAACGAGGGTAGTCCGATGCGCTGAAAGACGATTAGCCGCGTCTAATGCTTACATGACGCTCCACTCACTAGTCGTGCATGAACTGGTTCCAACCCTCTCCGGTAGTCATGAACGCAAGCATGACCAGTGCATTAGCCATGCTAGTGTAGTTCATGTTCCGCGTTTCGCCAGTCCCAAACTTCGTCAAGCTGAATACTTCGACGTAAAGGATGGCGAAGAAGATGAACAGGATGACCCAAAGAGTAAGCAAACTGAGGATAACAGGCAAACTTCCACTGTTGGATGTAGCCATTAGCAATTGTTCGCGTCGACAGGTGCTGAGACTTACACAGCGGTCTTGAACAACTTATTGAGACTATTGACTCGCTGGACCAGCTTAAGCGCGATACATGTGATGAAGAGTTTCTGAAGCTGGTCAATGAGGAAGCTCGAGGCGCCAAGATGGACGATAAGCTGGGTGAAGAAACTGCCGAAGGCGACCACGACGTCGAACATGTTCCAGCCATTGGCGGTGTAACTGGTCCAACCCAGTCCGTAGAGCCGGACAAGTACGTCGACGCAGTAGGTGACGCTTATGGCGATGAAAAAACCCTCTGCAAAACAAAATCAAGTCAGATTCACATGCACGTACCATAAATCTATTCTCTTACCTCGAATGTCATCCAGAAGCTTCTCCTGAGAAAAGGTTTGCGTCCTAGATTATACAATCGGTGAGTTCACGGCACCAAGTCAATGCGTTAGAGACTCACATCAGGGCGATGATGTGCAGAGCAAAGAGAGTTGTCATCATCCGCGACCACCAACCGTGTTTGTGAACTGCTCGGTCGAAGCACCACCGTCGGACTGCCCAGGTCGGTCGTCGCTTCGGGCGCTTCGAAGGCCGTTGCCGCTTGATCAGCTTCTGCAAGTCGATCCACTCGCGCTGGGGCTGTGTGAGCAGGGCGGAGCCTGTCTTCGAGGTGAAGTTGCCGATGATGATACTGTCGACCAGAGTCAGCGCGACGGAGACCCGAACCGGCGACCGCACTTACCTAACGAAGAGCGTGAAGATCACGACGCCACCGAGCAGGTTGTAGATGAGGAAGAAGATGGAGTTGACGACGGACGCGTTGTTGACAGGCTGCAACCCTTCGCCACGAACACCCATCACCACACCCAGGACATCAATCCAACCTTCCAGAGATACGATCTCGAAAAGAATCAGGAGCGACTGGCGGAAAGTGTCGAAGGAGAACTTGGTGGAAGGCTGCGGGTTATCCCATACTCGAGGCACCAAGTAAGGCAAGTTGATGTTGGTCCCGTCCAACGCGGCGTTATTGCTGAACTCGTTGACGCAGTCGGAGATGGAGTTGATGCCCGAGCCGGTATCGTTGCATTGGTTGGTGATACCGGCGAAGATGTTGAGCCCCCAAACGGCGTACGGAATCATGTACAGGATGGCCAGCAAGGCCGCATCGAGGATACGGACGATTCCGGAAATGATGAGTGATTCGAACGTGGAGCGCATCTTTTCGACGAGAGTGATGAGACGCAGTGCCCGAAGAGCCTTGAGCGACCGGGTGATGCGACTGAGACCGCCGATGAAGATGAGGCCCGTAACAGAGTTGATGAGGACGCCGGCGAGGATGAAGAAGTCCAGTACGTTCCAGATGCTACGGACATAAGCATTTGGGGTGAACGAGAAGCCATCCGCGACAATCTTGATGATGAACTCGAGGAGGAGCATGAGTGCAAACGAGCCCTCAGCGATGTCGAACCATGTCCCGCGGAAGAGGCCGTTGTCTTTGTAAAATTGGCGTCGATAAAGAGGAGTCGCAATACTCTCCACGACAATTCCGGCGACGACCGTCAGCAGCAGGATAAGTTGGAAGATTGGATGCGCAATGGGGGAGTGGGGTATGCCGAAAATGCGATCTCCACCGGCCGGGGCTACAAGTTTTTGACACATGCGCCGAAGCCAGTTCTTCTGTGAGAAAATCCAGAAGGTCTTGTCGTAGGTGGGATGATCGCGAATGAAGTCAGCCTTCTGGGCACGACGCTCGTACATCGCATCGTTGAGTTCCTCCACGTCGACAGTGTCGTTGTTAAGAGCGGCAAGGACCTCCAAGTGTCGTTCAGTCTCTTCGTCGATCGCATCGGCGGGCACCGTGGAATCGCGACGGGTGTTCCGGAGAGTGGTCATGGGCACGTCGCCGGCAGTGATCTCGCCAGCGAATAGGCGCTGAAGCTTGCGGAGGGTCGACTTCGCTGAATAGTTCCGCAACGAGCCTTGACGCTTCACAGACGCATCCTGAACAAACATGAGTATATTTGCATCTTTATGAGGAGGAAATGCGCACCTTGACGGAGCCTTCCCTTTTCGGGAGGGTGTAATCCTGGACAAGGGCTTTCTGCATCGGCAATACCAAGTTGGACGGAAGTTCGACTTCGATGGCCTTCGGTTGAGCCTTCAACCACCGGTACGGATTCAACTTGCGAAGCCATCCAGCTCGAACTTGTTGTGGTCGATGTGACGCCCAGTAGTGAGAGGCCTGTCTGCTACGCTTAGACTCTTCGGCGACGTCGAAGTTCTCATTGATGACGGCAATGAACATTTGAAGCACGATGTCTGAGGTCCGATGAGTACGACAAATGAGCAGCAACCGCGGAATAACTCACAGTTCGCAAAAAACATCCAGCCAGCAATGAAAAAGATGGTGACTATCGATTGGCGAAGGGGTATCTCGGCCTTGGCTGCTTGATAAAGCACGTCGGTCCAGTTCTCGGATGAGAAGATCTGGTAGATAGCGATGAAGGCGTTGTACAGTGTCCCGAAATCAACAGGCTCGCCCTCTTTGACGTCTCCACTAAGGAGCTGGACGGCGACGAGCGAGACGAGTAGGTTGATTTCAATGAGGAACAGAGACATGTTCGCTAAACCGTACATATTTCCGAAGACAGCGAGCTGATCCAGGAGGCATCAACAAACCAGAACGGACAGCGCGGACAACCGTACTCACCAGCAAAGGCTTCATCCTGGGGATTTCAAGAATGACGCGGTAGAAACGCATGAGTTGAAGGAATGTGAGCCAAGGGTAGACTTTCGAGTTGTGGATAGCGGGTATCTGAATGACCGTTGTGCCGATCGCGAGAAATAAGTCCAACAAGTTTTGTCCACGGAAGAAGAACTTCCTCCAATCGGGGAGGTAGGCCAACACACGGATTACGATCTCGACGTCGAAGGTGATTGTAAGCGCTAGCTCGCCTTTGTCAAGGATTTCTTGGTGCAAGTCGGACATGTTAACCGTCCGGGTGGCTTGCAGGACGACGGATAGAAGCGCGAAGCCAACCCAGCACCAACGAATGTTCTCGTAGATGTCTCGTAAACGATTCCGGCCGGCGACCCGTCGACCGTCGACCATGGACCAGCCTTCTTCTTGTTCGTCTACGACTGGAGCAAGACTAGAGTGTGCCATATTAGGTTTCACACAATGACTACGGAGAAGACTTGAAGCGTACGGTGCAGCCCCAAAGGCGCTCTTCTTGGTGTCCGAGCGAATGGCGGAGAACGTGTTCGTAATGACCGCGACGAACAGGTTGATGAGCCAGAAGTTGAGCACGACAATGCAGATGATGAAGAACACGCAAGACACGAAGAACTCCGAGTCCATCATCTGGTACATGAGGGGTGACCACTGTAGGGAGGATTTAGAAGATACGTGGTGCGGGAAGTGGCAGGCTACGAACCCCATTGGCAGATGACACGATGATGACCTGCAGAGCTGCGAAGTAGATCGCGTCAAAGCTTTGTATGTTCTCTTGAGGGTTCGTCCCGCTCTCCTACGCAGTTGCGCAAGATTGTTAGAGTCATCGCAAAGAGGGTACGATATGCCTCACCTTGCAGGTCTGTCCCAAGGGGCAAATATAACCCTTGATCGTCGCATTGGTACCGTCTGCGTTGATGTATGGAGCCTCTTCGAGCGTGTTTGGATCAATGTACCCGCCACAGAACTGGCTCCCAAGTTGAATCGGGTCTCCTTGCGATTGAGCAATTTGGCATGTCCGACGAAAGGACCCGCCAAAAGATTGGATCCCAATGATTCTGGGACGTTATAAGACGATGCTAGCGCGAGAAGCACAATGCAGCACATACGAGAACAAGATCATGGCAAACAGCACGAAGTATGCGACACTTGCGAGGAGGGGCCGTGCTGTCTTCAACGAGCGCATGATTGTCTGATACCGCCGGTCAATCTAAATCCATGCATAGTGACCGTGGAAAGAGACTCACCGTGGTACCAGATGTAATAGCAAGGAGTCTTGCGGTTCGAAGAACACTTAAAGCACGAAAAACGCCGATGTGGTACTTGCCGTGCTCAATCCCTGCCATTGCCAAACCAAACGCAACCCAGAACCCAACGATTGCAAGGAAGTCGATTCGAGTCCAACTGTGTCGCAGGTAAGGAAGATTACGCTGTGTCTGGCCTTTGGAATCGGCGACAGAGAGTCGGAAGGGAAGGGCTAGAGTGTCGCTGGGGTTGTCGGATCGTAATGCTTTAGCAAAGAATGTGGGCTCAGAAGGGTTGCGCATGTGAGCGTGAGCAGCTTGAGCGCCTTCCATCACTTTCTCTATCATCGGTGACTTGGACTGCACGGTGTCCGAACGCGCTCGCGAGGGTGTTGCCGATTTCGAGATTGCATCGGCGGAGGTGGGTTGGGGAGGGACCTTGTTATGTGCGAGCATAAAAGGCCTGGCAAGATTTTGACGGAAGTTCCGGAGACGCTGTGTGATCGTAGCTCCTCTGCGGAGTGGAGGACCGGCATGTGACGGGGTACGGTTCAGGTTGAAGCTGGCTTCGACTGCGGTATTTGGGGGACGGTGGATGTCGGGATATGATGCGAACGGCGACGAAAAAAAGGTAGAGACAGGAACTTCCGGGTCCAGCAGGAAGCCAGAGACGCATATTCGAGCAAACGATTCTAGGCTGGAAACTGACGATTGGAGAGGTGCATGCAGAACATGAACGGATGACTCACGTGAACAAGCAGAACAACCCAAAGAGCGCATAGTCCTCCCAACGATGGAAATAGCCCGTGAGGGGTGGCGGGCGATCGTCCTTGAAGTCTTCGGGTAGTGCATGGTTGCGAGAAGCTTGAATGGTGAGGACGACGGCGTTTACAATGATCAATAACAATATAATGGGCTCGGTCCATCTAGGGTGGAGTGAGATACGCAGCATGAATGGCTTCAATAAACTCACGGAAATAGCAAGAACTTGTACATCGCAAGCCGCACTCTGCTACGAGGGCCGAAGAATCCCAGCGTGCGTCCTCGAATGGGCATGGATTTTGACAAGTCCGGCAGCACCTCGTCTTCGTGCACGTCCTCGTCCTCCTCACGCTCCCTCTTGCCCTCATCTAGGTCGTCCAAACGGGCATGGTCCTCGAGGCCACCGTTACCGAAGTTGACGACTCGCAGCGACGCGCGTTGAAGATTACGAGACATAGTCTTGAGTGTAGTCCCGGTCTTCTTGAGAGGAGAGTCGCTGTACCGCACCGTTCTTCGTCGCGACCCGGGAGACACGCCTGAACGTTCGGCATCCACACCAGACCAGTCACTCCCAGCGCCCTGTCGGGACATATTGGCCGTGAGATGAGCTTCGTCGTCGTCCCGTGTACTGTCGGTTGTGTCCCCGGACTCGCGGTTGTGTGTGGAGATGAGGGACGCGGAAGACTGGCCCGGAAGTGACGCCATGTAGATTGCGCTCGTGTCCTGATGGCGAACGGGTCCGGTGCGGTATGGGTACTCGTGGTAGGAACCCTCATCCTCCGTGGGCGAAAAGAAGGGATCTTCGGGGCCCCACGGTGCGCGGGCGTCGCGCGACGGGCCCGGGATGAGTGGAGGGTCTGAGAGCGGCAGATTGAAACGCAAAGGGTCCTGGATGGGGTTCGTACCGCCCCAGCTAGTGCGACGGCGAGATACACCGTCCGAGGATAGAGGTGTGGTGGGGCGAGAGGAGACGAGCGCAGCGGGAGTGCCAGGGAAATCTACAGCAGAAGAGGAGGAATGGTGTGAAGCAGAAGAGCGGCTAGAGTCCATACAGTCTAGGGAGGCAAATTCAAGGGAGGTCACTGTGCATGACGGCGGCGAAGCAAGGCTGAGCGGTTACTAGGTGCCCCCGCACCGCTTAAGCCGGTTGATTTCCCGCCCAGCGGAAACCCAAATGTGGGAGGGGACGCGCGGCGCCCATCACGCAGCCGGCGTCGGCAAACAGTGCGCCCTGCCGGAATTTGGGGCGGAAAGTGAACGTGTTCAGTTCAGACTGCGGGCGCGGACACTTGTTCTCTGCCCATTGCCTGCCCAGTCGCGCTTCCAGTTGACGTTGAGATCTCTGAGATCTCTAGTCTTAGAGTCTAGAGGCGGGAGAAATGCTGAAGTTCACGTCACGTGTGCATTGTCGATGTCCAGGTTCCCGCACTGCTAGCTGTGGCCAGCTAGATTGATATTGATTTCATGTCACAGTGTGCCACGGTAGACCCGAGGCCGCGATACTTATGACGATGTAATCTGAACTTCAACACCTCCGAGACTCGCGCATGTTGTCAGCCGGATTACCTGACGGATGCGAGCGCATGTTGACAACCGGTCTGAGTAGGCGGAGTCTCACCCAGGGATAAATGCGACGTTTCCCGTTCACGAGGCCCCAACGCCAACTCTCACCTGGGTAGGAGCCTGGCTTGTCCTGCACCTTCTCAGGCTCGAGCTCCCTGAACATCGATCCGTGACCGGCGAACTTATAACGCCGGGTCCTTCTAAGTCATCCAGGCCAAGCCTCCAAGTCTTCGCAAGCTTAGCCGGGACACCACGCGATGGCCGCACCGTCCCAGACCGCACAATCTTCTGCGGCAGAATCTCATCTGGCCGTCACTCAGAGTCGAGAAGCGGCCCCTTCAACCAGTTTATGGAGGGCCCTACGTGAATTCGTCAAGGCGAACTATGGACTGTCGCTCGTCGCTTCAGCTCAAATTTTCTTCGCTCTTATGAACGTCGGGGTCAAGACGCTGAACACTTTAGATCCCCCTGTTCCCCCGATTGAAGTGAGCAGTCGAATATATAACTTTATCTCTTGGCCATTATGGCTCACCCTCTGTGCTTTCCGTGCAGCTCGTCTTCGTGCGGATGGTGAGCTCGACGGTGCCGGTGAACCATGAGATGACTCGAGCCGGCGCCGGTCGTACCGCATATGCGTCCAACGGGGCTAACGTCAGCATGTACTACAGGCAGTCACCTGGGCATGTTGTCTGCTTTACATGTGCGTTTACTTCTCTATCGAGGTTTGACTGCTGGCGCTAAAGCGTTTCTCCAGGTACTGCATGGGCATTGCAGACCCTTTTCTCGGACCTAAAGGCGTACGGCTCCTCCTCGTACAGCGAGGGATCTTTGGGTGCGCAAGGACATCATTCACACGCATCATGTCCACGCTCGCCAACCCGTTGGCTCAAAGCTTGATGCATGTGTGCGTACTCACGATTGTTTGCAGGTTCATCGGCCTGTTCAGCCTTTACTATTCGTTGCAATATCTATCGCTTTCGGATGCAACCGTACTCCAGTTCCTGTCACCGATGTTCACTGCGTTAGCCAGTGCCATCTTCTTGCGCGAGCATTTCTCGGTGCGCAATGCCCTTGCTGGTCGTAGGTGTTTGTTCCTGATCGTCAGTACATGTCCCGAGATTGACAGATGATTTACAGTCGCGAGCTTGATTGGCGTCGTCCTGATCGCCAGACCAGCATTCCTGTTTGGCAACATAGACAGCACCATTCCTACTATCCCTGGCGAGGGGGATGCCCCTGAAGTGTCACCAGCGCAACGCTTACTCGCTGTAGGGTGAGCACGTCTGTTTACTGGCGATGCGCATGCGACTTAGGAGCTCTCAATGACTTCACATGTACAGGCTTGCACTCATCGGTGCCCTCGGAGCGGCCGGCGCATGTATGTACCTGCCCTCATCATATGCTTGCGTCTGTTTCTCACACCACTGCACCGTAGATACGACGATCCGCTACATCGGCTCGCGCGCGCACACCCTTCACAACATGGTTGCGTTCTCGTCGCTCTGCGTAATCCTCACGACGTTCGTGTAAGCACCACACCTTCTACAGAATTTATTCGTGCACCTTCCCACGTCGCTGCGTTTGTTAGGATGCTCGTCACTCAAACACCGGTAGTCGTGCCCTTGCGCTGGGACTGGCTGGCCATCCTGCTCTTCATCGGACTCGCGGGCTTCGTCGCTCAGGTGCGCAGTCGTTTTCTTCGCATATCTCGTCAGGGTCTCACCGGACCGGACAACCATCACAGACGCTGCTCACCATGGGCCTGCAACGCGAGGCAGCGGGACGGGGCACGATCGCAGTCTACGGCCAGATCGTCTTCGCGACTGCGTTCGAGTTCGCCTTCTTCCACACAGTCCCGCCGCCTCTGTCTATTGTCGGAACCGTGATCATAATAGGCTCCGCCCTCTACGTTGCCGTAAGTTTCGTCCCCTTGTGCCATTGCTCGGGCCGTTCTTTGCTCATCACACGATGCAGCTATCCAAGAAGAGCACTCATGCGATCAAGGGCACGGTCACTTCACGGGACGATCCGGCAGTCGAAGACGGGCTTCTCGCGAACCACGAGGAGGAGTCTGGAGATATCGATGACACCCGGCACTAGTGACAGGCTGCTCAACCAGCGCGACCATTGGTTCCGTTGGAAGGGGATGAAGCTCGAACTCCATACACGGTCATTCGGGTTTGGTTTACGTCTGCGGTTCACAGTTTCTTCCGACCTTATCCACGTCCACATCCGCTATCTTGAAAACTGACTCTATCATGACCGTGCAATCTCTCACTTACCCTTGTCTCGCGATTATTCTGTGCACACTATACCCAGTCACCACGCCGTTGTTGTAAGGAAATCTCGGACCGCGTATCACCACTCTGTCCGCATATATACAGCCCGAACGAACCTGGATACATCGGTGGAGGGGGAAGAACGGCTGCTCGTTGCTGCTGCCGCTGCTGCCGGCGTATACATCCGTCCTGCGGTTGTCGCTCGTTGGGCAGAGATACTTGTGCAAGAGGGAATGGACATAGCATCATGCAAGAAAACATCGCAGAGCAATATATGACAGGGTAGGGAGCACGACTCACGATTACCGCTCAATCCCATGCTCTACCGGGATTTCCAACGCTTCCAACGCTTTCCGCCCCCGTCTGGCCCAGTGTGCAACCACATCCGCATCATCAAACCACATCTTCGTCTTCTCTTCCCCATTTGCAATCTCCTCTTCTAACGCGTCATCGCCGGTAGCCTTCGCCTCTACTTCTGCACTGGGTCCGCGTCTACGCTGCCGCTTCTTCCCGGCTGTCTTCTCCACGGACAGCGTACTGTCATCTGACCGAGCCCCAGCGTCGTCTTCCTCGTCCGTCGCCTTCTCCTCCTTCGTCAGTGACGACGAGCCGTCCATCGCAGCCGAAGAAGATGCAGTGGTTGACGCCGAGGACACTGGTGGTCGTGTACCCCACAGTCCACCAGCGCGGATCCACGCAGCGACGTTCGCCTGGTGCTTGATCGCGTCGAGCACGCCGATGACGGCGAGCAAGGTCTCGTCGTATGACACGATGGGCTTGCCCTGCGCGTACCCATACAGGCGGTCCGCGCGTTTTCGCAGCTTCTTCTCTTTCCGCTTGCGCTTCTGGGACGACTCCGCGGTGGCTGGACTGTCTGCCTCTACCTCCGCCGCTCCTTCCGCCTTCGCCGGCGAGGAGGTTTCGGCGGACGCTGTCACCGGCTGGGCAGAGGAATCTTGAGCCTGCGCATGAGCCTTGAATGCGTCGAGCTCCTCCCGGGCGGCGACCGCGGCAGACCACTCTTGCTCTTTCTGAAGATTTTCCACGTCTTTTGAGCGGAGCGAACCGGAGTATTCGCCGATGCATACGTGGTTGTACGGCTGCAACTCGGCTTTGCGTGGGGAGTCGTCGAGAAGGAGGGTCGTCAGCGCCGAGTGCGCTTGGGGTGATACGTCGGTGGAAGGCGCGGGTGGGGGAGGGAGAGTGCAGCGCACGGGGCTTGAGGGCGGGGTACTGGCAATGGAGGTTGAAGGAGATGCGGAGGGATCTTTGGCGGTTTTGGGTGCCAGCAACGTCCACGGTTTCGCCAAGTCCTTGGTCGTCTGCACTTTGCGGTCTGGGTGCAGATGAGCGGGACTGATCTGACGCATATAATGACTAGCACGCACGATAGTGGTCCGCCGACAGCCCCAGCGTGTCTCGCGCCCATACCGCGATCATCCTTCGCCTGGAATCTCCGAAGCACTTGTCAACCATGTCGTCCACGCTATGTGGCTGCGCGGACGACCAGACCATCACGTCCAGCCACGACATCGTCCCTGGGTGGAAGAGGAACGCACGGAACGCGCCCATGTACGGTCGCGGGTGTACTGGGCGAAGCCGAGGTAACGGACGGCCGTGCGGATCATATGCGCGGGGCTGGTGGTGGAGGTGCGCGCCGGACCGGTGGAGGAGGGTACCGTTGAGGTCAAGCACGAGCAGCTTGCGCAAGGACGCCGGGTCTTCGAGCGGGGATGGGGACTGCTCAGCGAGCGCGAGGTACGTCGAAGAAGGGGTCTGAGCGGGAGGCGGAGTGACGGAGCGCGACCTGTCACGTTCGCGCTCGCGCTCGCGCTCGCGCATGGCGCGGGGGTCGCGGGGAGGAGATTTGTGCCTTGGTGGAAGCATGGCGCGGGGGGCGCGGGGAGGAGATCTAGGTTTGGGTGGAAGCATAGGGCTGGGGTGCTTGAAGAGGACGACGTCTGCACTATGGGATGGGTGGACAGTGAGGACTCTTGTTAACGTGTGGACGAACCGTTCAGAGATCCTTGTGAAGATGAAGGCGGCACTTGGATTCCCTCATCTTCGGATGCTGCGGTAGGCTCGTCACTCGAAGCCATCGCTGCCTGGCGGGCGTCGCGGTGTCTCTGTCGCTTGCCTCTAGCCATCCAGTGAAGAAGAGGGCAGTGGAGATAAGGGCGTGTTGACCTTGAGGTGGCGGTAATCGAGGGGAGGACGAGACGATGAGAGCAGAACATGCCGTGTGAGAGGGACCTCGATCGTCAAGTAAACTACGACTGTTCCGAACGCTCCGGGTCACGCAGACCGCGTCGGTCACGGCTGTCACCCTGTGATGCGCCGGACGCGTCGACGCCATCGGGCGACGCTCTCCTCTTCACCGCACTCGCCCTATGGGGCGCCGCAACACAAACGAGTTCGCGACGACGGCGACGCGGAAGCCTCTCCGAGTTGTTGCGAACGGCACCCTTTTCCTTACCACCAACCTCGGGCTCCCCACCCACCCCGAGCCCAACGCGGCCGTTCGCGCCCACTCGGTTGCCCGAGTGCGGGGCGGTTCCGCAAGTACATGCCTGTCCATCGTCGCCCAGTTTCCTGCAGTCGAAGCCCATCTCGTGGCGCCGCTCGGAGGAAACGAAGAGGGTCGTCAAATCATCAAGGAGCTGGAAGCGGAACGGGTCACCACACGATACTGTAAGGTGTGGCCGGAGTCGGGAGTGCCCAGCGCGTGGGTGCTACATGCAGGTATGTTGAAATGTCACTATTGCTGTACGTATGTGCTCAAAACGTGCTGTGTAGACGATACCGACAGTCGCACCGTGATTAACAACAATCCTCTCCCCGATATCACCCACGAGGAGTTCATCTCTCTCACAGGCCCGCTGCTTGTGCCCGAGAACTATCAATTTCTCAACGGACCACCCGTCTCTCCACCTCCTGCCCCCATTCAGCAATTTCCTGTTGGAAGCGTCTCTGGTGCTACAGGCCCACGGCCATCAACATCAGGTTCTGGTGGCCCCAATGCTCAACAAACATCGCGTATACCCATCCCCAATAGCCCTGCACCCATCGACTGGATTCACTTCGAAGGCCGATCGGTGAAGACGACGCTCAACAACGTCATGGGCCTCGACGGACTCGCGCGCGAGCGCAAATGGCGAAGTCATTGTGTTTTCAGCCTCGACGTCGGTCGACGCGCACGCCAGGGCGTGGAAGCGGTGAGTCCCTCGATTCTTCGCCGGCTCTTCTCGCACTGTCCACGCCTTCACTCGAAACGCACTTGCGCGCGTTCGTGCTTCACAACGCGAAACGGCATCGCGCCTGCGACGTGCCACAACGAGAACGGCGCGTTCGCCAATGGCCGCTCGCTTCATTGTCTTCTCCTTCTCGCCGCTTCCCACACAGTCGTGCTGAAACACCTTTTTCCGCGTACCAGCTCATGCCGCATGTGGACGTCATCTTTCTCAACAGGCACTACGCGTGCGCGCTCTCGTCGCAGTACGCCTCCGCGCCGCGCGCGTTCCTGCTCGCGCTCGCCGGGCAGGCACCCCCGCACGCGCTGCTCGTCGCGCACTGGGGCGCGGACGGTGCCGCGGTGCTCTCCGTGCCGACTCGCGAGTACTTCCAAGCCTCGGCGTGGGCAGAGCCCGCGGTGCCTACCCCCGCGCCCGCGCCGCCAGACCCGGCGTCGCTCTCGCGCGCGAGCGGGCTGCCGCTCACGGGCGACGTGCAGTCTGTCCGGTCCGGAAGCGACTACTTCGCAGGCGGGCACCAGACGGACACGTCGAGCATGTTCACCGCCGACCTCCTCAGGAGCCCGCCGCCACCACCGCAGCCGCGAGAACAGGATGCGCGCCCGGGCCCAAGCCAGAAGGAACGCCAGAAGGAACGACAGAGGCAGAAGCAGAAGCAGAAGGAGCGCCGCCAGGAGTCGGACTCAGACTCGGACTCGGACGGCACGCAGATCGCGGGTCAGGGCGGCGGCGTGAGACCAGCTCTGGACGCGGCGGCACGGGCACGGGCGGCGCAAGCTCAGCAAAGCAAGGAGATGTTGGACGAAGTGGGTGCGCACGATGCGTTCGTGGCGGGGATGATGTGGGCGTTGACGAGGAGGCTACTCCCTGGGGAGCCGTATACCCCCGCTGCGAGACAGGGTGGCTCACAGGCGTTGGACATGGACGGGAAGGGAAGATGGAGGCTCGAGGAGTGCTTGAGGTGCGTAGAAAGGAGGTTAGGGGGAGGTTTAATCTGCTGACATGGCTGAGCAGGTTCGCTACAGAGTTGGCTGGGAGGAAGGGTAGACGCAAAGGGTGGGCCGGTCTCGCTAACGAGATGCTCAGCGCCGGCTGGTTTGAAGCGTGAACGTGAACCGTCGGACGGTCCTTCCCTTGATAACCCGCAACTACTATACTGTATACCCCTGTAAGCTTGTTCTTCTACTGTTGTGCTCATTTGTTTTGTTTTGTCATTCAAAGTAAGTAGATTGCTCCAATGAAAGAGCGCTTCCCTTGTCCGGAGCGAGTAGCAACTCACGTCCACATAACCCATGTCCACGTAGTAGCGGTCGAACATACCTCTGAGCTGCGTGCGGTTTTTTTGTCGGATTACTTGCCTTGTCTCTAAGGCTGACAAGTACGTGATCGTTGCCGGTTGACTTTTGCGGCGGACCGCTGACTTCCCAATGCGCGCGTGTTTTGCTCTGCCGCGGATCCGAAAGCCCATCCCGACTCCCATCAACTCCCGTGTCTGCGATCTATGGTCGGCTCTCGACTTCTCTGGCCCGTGATCCCGGCGCCATACGGTGCGTTGCTTCTTCTCATCTTCATAGCCCTTCTCATGACCATGAGCCATGTGTGACCGTTGTCAGGCTTCGTTCGCCTGACATAAGAGAGGGCCCGAGATGCAAAAGCGAAACCAAATGGAAGTGCAGCTTGGACCTCAGATGACATGAGTCAAGGGGCGCCATAGAAAGGCCACACTGCTTCCGGGCCGTCCGATCGTCGCAACAGGCCGATGGCGAGGGGGTGGCTGGCAGCTGCGCGTAGCTAGAGAGCACAGCATCTGCGGACCGCCACGGGCGGGCAGGCTCTCCCGCCCAGGCAGACCTTGGGATCAGCCGACGTCGCGAAGATACATAAGGTGCCCTCGTTGCTTCTGTATGACGACATCATTGTTTCGCCCCATCTGCTTCTCCCCGCGGTAGCGCGCCCTTTTATACCTCGTTTGTCTGCCCCGCTCCTTTGGCTTTCGGACCTCCCTCCTCCCCTCCTCCTCTTCGCTCCCCCTTACCTTTAGTCCGACGATGGCATTCGGGCCTGCTAAGTTTCTTAGCATGACGTTGGCGTTGGCTGCGGCCGCGTTCGCTCAGGACCTCGGTGTCCCTCTCAGCTGGAGGGTGGGTCTCCCCGTGGGCTCCACATTCGTTCCGCACGACTCACCCATCCACAGGAGTTCACCAACAACCGCTCGCACGCCGAGCTTATCTCCATCTCGGAGGCCGCCATCGACACCATCCTTCCCCAGCTCAACGTCGCGAGCGGCGATTTCGCCGGGATCGGTTATTGGCAGGCCGGCAACGTCTGGTGCGTGTCCCTTGCGGACCCGTCTCCGACAGCCATCGGGGATACCGTGGAGGCATGTCGCTGACCGCAAGTGCAGGTCCGCAATGGCGAACGAGGACTTCCGCGCGGGGACGACCAAGTACAAGGCGCAAGTCGTGGACCAGCTCAACAACGTCTTCGGCTTGTGGGCGCACTACGACCAATTCGGTTTTAATGACGATGCGATGTGAGTGCACGCGGCACCCGCCATAAGGACGGGCCTGCGCAGAGGCTGTCCGGTAGAGACGACCTTGGATGCTCACGTAGGATTGTGCCGATTCAGGTGGTGGGCGACCGCTGCGTATTACGGCTTCCGTGCCTATGGGGACACGAACTTGCTTTCCCATGCGGAGGATGTCTGGACCCATGTGAACACCTTGTGAGTGTGCGTGGTGGGCTGGGCCGCGGAGGCTAAATAGCGGGGCAGCGTCATCCCAGCAGGCGCGAGCTCGATCTCGACCAAGAACTTCGGCTTCTCGGCAACTTGTGAGGGCAGTGAGTAGCTCCTGTTCTTGCGTTCACTGGCGTGTCTGACGGGTTTTGTAGAGTCTATGGCAGGCGGTGTCTTTTGGGTAACTATCAAGGTTACGGAAGTATTGATCCAAGCAGTCTCACATTCGGTCAACAGAGAACTGATGCTGGAGACGACAATGTCAACAGCGTCACTACCGGTCTTTTCATCACGTGAGCGCCTTGTCTCATCATGCTTATTGCATCCACTGACGCAGTGTCTTCATAAAGCCTCTCTGCCTACCTCGCCGAGGTCACCGGAGATGCGAAGTACACCAATGCCGCCATCGCCAGCGCGAACTGGATCAGGAGACTCAACCTAAACTCGGACCCGATCGTCCTCGACACCGTCCACGCGCTCGACTGCTCCCGCACGCCCACGACCTGGCTCTTTACCTACAACACCGGCAAGTACCTCGAAGGCCTCGAGGTCCTCTACGACGTCACCAAGGACACGCAGTGGCGCGACCTCGCGGTGTCCATCGGGAACGCGGGCATGAAGTCGACCGCGTGGGCCGGCTCGAACGGCGTCTGCACCGAGGGCGCCTCTCCCGACTCGAACAACGACGGCGTCGGCTTCAAGGCGATCTGGGTGCGCGCCATCGACGAGGCGTACAACCGCGTCGCGAAGCGGGGGGACAACGAGGCGTACCGGATCCTCCTGCACTCGTACGTGGACGTGCAGCTGAACGCGCTGCTCGAGCTTGCCGCGAACGGCACGTCGTACTCGAGCGCGTGGGCGGGGCCGCCTCAGGGGTTCACGACCTGGGGCCAGCTTGCGAGCTTGGACGTGTTCGTCGCGGCGCTCCATGCCGCGTAGTTCGCTGGGCTTCGGCTGAGGACATTTGATGAAGGAAGTTGGAGGGTTGATCGCGGATGTTTTGTGACTTTCTGTGATATCTATTGGCGTTTTTGGAGATGCGTCGGGAAGAGCTGATGGACGGCGGAAGTGGATTTCACATCTAAACTCGGAGCAGAATCGATGGCACGCACTCTGTCACCATTGCATACTCGAATTTATGAGCACTCGTCGGCTCACTCTACTACAAGTTGGGCTCGAGTGCGTATAAAACAACTTGTCAATTCATCGTGGGATCATTCCGTCGACGTGGACACTTGATGAGTGGCCATATGGAGCTTCAACGGTGCGTATCATGCTCAAGCACAATAAAGTCGGTATTGATACTTGTTGCTATCGACTCGCTTGAACATTCTCAAGCTTTGGGCACGACTAGTTTCAGCGCTTATAGCCACCATTGACGCCCATCTAACGGCAGCCCCGGTATCGCGGCCTCTTCTCGGTTCTCTCTCAGAGACCTCATGACTCGCCGTGTGTGCAACAGCGCCTCATGCCGTACAGGTTCCGCAACGCACACACCACACGGTTGATGCCCAGAAGCCCAGAAGGTGCAACCAACCGGCGTCTGTCGCTATAGACCACAACAACCGTAAACAACGCTCTGGTACCACATTCGCTGCTTAACCCTCGCTCTCTCACTGTGCAGAGCTCGAGGCAGATATTCAGGATCGCTTTGGCCATGAAAGGAAACATTCATGTTGCCTCGCCGTGTCAGGCGTCCTCCGACGTCGGCCCCAGAACCCACAATTGCACATCGCCGTCAGGGTCCCCTCTCGCCATTCGTCCGCACGTAGGGCATCCTCGCGACGAACGCTCCCCCGGACCACCTGGAAGGCACTGAGTTGAGGCGAGGAGTACGGGAAGGGGCGCGCGAACCTTGTTTCGCTGGCGCATTTAAGTCTGCCCTCCCCGCTCGCACTCTCCATCACTCCCCCCGGTGAGTTGCTCCCCTCCTCTCTGCTTTGCCCCTTCCACTGCAATCAGTCGCACCGCTTCAGTGACTCACTGCTGTTATTCTTCTAGCATCCCCCTCGCTCTTCCTCGACTCACGCCCCCAGCAAGAGTGCCGGGAGTCAAGAGCACGACGACCATCCCGCTCTGGTCTGCCCCATTCAGAGGGTCGTCTGCGCTGCCGGGGCCCCGTGAGAGGACGGCACGCATGCGGACCAACGTCAAACTCATGGCCCTCCACGCACCGTGCGCCCGTACGGATGGTTCGATTTCGGCTGCCGCGCGCACCGTACGGGCCCGTCAACAGCCACCGCTGCATCTCTGCATCTGGGGCGTCGCGTGCTGCTCGCTGTGTGCGCCGCGCGTCACCACGCAGCCTGCATACGAGCTGGCAACTATTCTGGCGCATTGCCATCCTGGAGGCCGACGAAGAGGGCGACGGACGCTGCGCGCCGAAAGTATCCTGCGAGAAGCGCGCATGGCAGGGGTTAGCTGGTGGAATGAGGTCCCGGGGCATCGGTGCAGGCCTTCTCGTGGCCCCCGGGGTGAGTACTCGTTCGCGTTGCGGACGGGGAAACCAACGTGCACCGTCGAGGTATGTTTGTGGTGGTGGTGGTCGGGATGGTAGTGGGCGGAGGAGTCGGGCCGTGGTCGGGCCTGAGCTGTGCTTACATCATCACTTTCGTCCTCGCCAGCGTACCGTTCTCGTCCTCGTACTGTGTATCAACCTCTTTACCCTATGCATAGTCTTTGCTCTCGCGTTTGTCCCTTTCGTGCCCTTCAACACCTCAAGGCTCTCGCCCGTCTTGAACGTCGCTACAAACTTCATCCACCGCTGCCTTGGCACCGAGTAGCAAACACGAAGGCCGACTGAGACGCTCTGGAGGGAATCGGCGTACAATCCTTGGTTAGCCTCGCTGGAAAGATGTGTAATGAACGCGCAGAGATGCATGCGGTCTGTGAGCCTTGTTCGAAAGATCCTCCCTCCCCCCGGCGTGCTCTCCAATCTCCGACCTCCGTCCAGAGTCCGGATGTCCGCCTCGCCGACATCCCCTTCAGCACTTCTTCTCCCATTCCCAATTGCATTTCCCATGAGGCTCGTCTTGGTTGTCTCCCGTGTCTTTTCAAACATCTCTCCGAACCCTTGCCACTGAAGTGACAGTTCGCCACTCGCGGGCACCAACGCGGTTGCCTAAAGCTATCTTCTACCAGGACACGGCACCCACACAGGAATAGGTGGGAAAGGGAAAGGAAACGGCGACAATATCTCGGTTGGCTGCAGCTTGCAGAGGAATGGGACAGCCGTTGTGGAGGGAGGCGGGCTTTGCTCGTCGGAGCTGTATGACTAGCTCAGGGTTGAAAGTGCGCACCTCGCTGTCTCTGGAACGTATCAGGTGCTGACCTCGAGCACCATCTTGTCGGATGTCACTTCTGCACGTCTGGATGGAGTGAAATACGCGGAGGTCCCTCATCGGGAGACTCAGCCGGGCGCGGCCGGTTGAGCATGCTCATTCGTTCGCCTGCGTAGCACAGACAGTCGGTGTTCGGTGAGTGTCAGGCATGTTCTCGTTGTGGGATTCATCAGGAGAACTCCGAACTCCTCCCTGACTCTCGGAGAGCACGTCAAAAGAACTTCGGTGGCTCACGCTTGGTTGTCTCTGTCAGTGGCTCACTCGTCCCGCTTTGTTGCAGGATTCACTATAAGTGGCCCGCGCGGCGAAGTTGAAGCAGTTCTCGCGTTTCCGTCAATAGTAAATACCGCAGCGTAAGTTGATCTTGACTTCTTCCGCAGTGTCTGAGGTAACTGATAATTCACTTGCCAGTGCTCCTCGCCACGATGCGAGCCGCTGCCGACACCCCTTCACGCCCCTTCATCGGAACATGGGGGATCTACAGACTTCCCCCCGAGATCCTCGCGGACGTCTTCCTGCGGGTACAGGAACCCCTGTCGTGCGATGCACTCGTTTCTCTCGATGGTCACCGTTTCGCCAGGCTATCCCAAATCATGCAGGTCTGTCGCTATTGGCGTGCGTTTGTTCAGCACTGGCCATTGTTGTGGAGCAAGATCGAACTCTACGACACGGGCGTCGACTCGAACGGTCGGACCCGAAGTGTTTCTCGATGGTCGACTGACTGTTTGTATCACGCTCTCACTAGATCCAGGTCGGCCCCACTCACAATCTCATTTCGCACCGACAACCAGTCTCTGCTCTTCCTCGTCACGCATCGGAAGCTAGTCAGCCATGCTCAACGCATACGTAGCCTGTCTTTACCTCTCCATCCCCGAATGCTAGAGGACCTGTGCGAGCTTTTAGCCAACCCCATGCCCCTACTGGCGGAGCTCAAGGTCACACGCTTCGCCGACGCGCCAACGGAATTTCTCTCGTCCAAACCCGCCATCAAGCTCTCCGCAAAACGCCTTCCTTGTCTCCGCCATCTGCAAATATTGGGTGTTGGCTTCACGTCGATCACGGCCTTCAGAAATCTCCGCGCTCTGGATCTCGACGACTGCGAGTTCAGCGGACGTTCGATGACGTGGCCCCGTCTTCGCGGTCTACTAGCCGCCGCGGCCACAAGCCTGGAACGCCTTCGTTTGTCTCGCTCAAGTCTCTCCCACGTTGAAGCCGGTGAAGACTCATCCAGAAACCCTCACCCGGTTTTCTCCCGGCTACGGAATCTCGCGCTAATCTCCGAGGATCCAAGCGCCATCCAACACCTTCTCTCGTGCTTCGACTTCCTCCCGAACATCAAAATGGAGCTCACTCCTAGCGCCCTACCCGGTGCTATCGGACACATTGTCTTCGACACTTATAGCTCCCTTTTGCCCCACGACCTCAGCGGTCTGCCCGTACTCAAAGCGCTCACGCACGGCCATATCGTCCGCAAGGCGGGCGAGCACTCCCGGATCCAGCTCCTCGCGCGAAGCAGTACACCCGAGTGGCGAGGAGACGACTCCTACGGAGAGGTAGTGCTGGGAGACCGCACTGGCATCCAGGACGAGCCCGCCGTCTGCACACAGCTTCTCAAGGTGTATGCCCACGTCTTCGGCAACGTCGCACCCCTCCATTCCCTGCGCCTCAGCACAGACGAGATCGGCACGGTCGACCCGCACACGCTGTGCGCGGTGCTCGGCGCATTCCCGGAGCTCGAGGTCCTCTCGCTCGACCCCACGCCCGGCGTCGGGGGCTCGCTGCTCGGCATCCTGAGGGCGCTTTGCCTCCCTCCGGCGGACGGCAGTGGCGACGCTGGCGGGACGGTCCTGTGTCCGCGCTTGCGCTCGCTGTGCGTCTCCGGCATGGAGTGTACTCCTGGAGTGGAGGGAGTGCTGTTGAAGCTGCTCGCGCGTCGGGTGGAGAGGGGGCTTGCTCCGATGGACGAGGTACGGATGACTCTGTACATTGAAGACGATGCGCTGCCGGCGCAGTGGAGCGGTCAGAGCTTGAGGGCGTATGTCCAGCACCTGCGCCCCCAGTACGTGATGGAGTGTGTCATCGAGGTCACTCCTTTGAAGGACTTGGAGCTTGGCGATGACGATTAAGACGAGGGTGCTAAGCGATAGACGTAGTGTACATATGTGTCTCGATCATCGAATGATTGATTATTGAGCTATGTATCCGTCATCCAAAGGATAAGCGAGTGAGCCTCGGTGAACGTTGTTGGAAGTTCAGGCCCCACGCGCAGAGTGCAAGCGGAGACGGAGGAAGGCTGACGCTACCTATATTTCATATCAGACTTGTCAGCTGCCTTTCCCATTATTAAAGCACGCCAAGTGGCTCACATTTTCACGTTTGACTGCTCGCGCTCGGCTGTTCTGGGCTGACCCACAGAGAGAACCGTCTTACGTTGCCGGGTTGCCGTCCTTGTCTAGGCCTGCAGGAACTGCTCAGTGACATTCGCGATAAATTATAAACCCGACGTACCAAGGTTGGCTCTAGATCCCATACCCAGACATACTCTTACTGCACACATCGAAGCCAGATTGGACGATGCCGCCACGGAGTCAAGGCCGTCGCCGAACACGTGCACAGAAACGTCGGCGGCGAAGCTGGAAGTCCCGAGCAGCGTAAAGTTGGCGAGAGATTCTGGAAGCCACCCTATCTGGCCGAAATCGAAGATGATCGGTCGCCCCGTGGCATCGACGGCAAAATTGCTATGGTCCATATCGGACTGGGTGAGCACCAACGGTTCGCCAGCGATACTGATCTTTGCCAGGCCTGGCTCTCGTCGCTGCAACATCGAGACGGCCTGGGAAGAATATATTACGTCAGCGGGGGAGTAAGGAAGGAAGACGAGTTTAGACCTTATTCAAGAAGCGTTCTAGGGCCATAGCGCCCGTAAAGAGCAGAGGCGCATGCTTGTTCTTGAATATTATGTGCCAGGCAGGGCCTGGTCCCAGAGGGCCGAGGACGACACTGGGGGGACTGGTTGACGACGCAGCCAGAGGATGGCCGCGGCTACCTTGTGGACGAAGATGTCCTCCGAGACTTGAACTGTCTCGACGAATTCTATAATGGCGTACGTCAGATGCTCGTGTTGGAAGACGTGGTAGACTACGGGCACGCGCGGCGCGTTCGGATCCCCTTCGGCAACAATGGCGAATTCCTTTTGCATCATAGCTTCGGACGTGAAGCACCAGGAGTCCCCAAACTTGACAAAGTAGTTGGTGGTGTGAATAACGAAAGGAATGCAGCGCCTATAGTCAAGATTTTGGCGATAGGCTTGCTCGTGTTGGGCGCAGGCGGCTACGACAGCCTGCTGGTGGGCGACAAAGGGATCGTTCGAAGGCATGGGTCCAAATGAACCTAGGGAATGGAAGGCGGGTCAAGGAAGGACAAGATGGAGAGAAATCACGATGCGCACAAGATGAAAGGGGGAAAGTCTTAGCGGCGGCAATAAAGATAAAAATATGTATGCGCATTAGTGGTGGACCCGCTTAAAAAGAAAGGCAAGCTACGCACGAAGACGAGTCGAGGTGTCGACGGTGTCTTACAGACGTCAAGAACAACACAAGAGTAGGCGGAGGAGTAGAATCTGAGAATAGATACGTATCAGCGGTGGACCTGCTTAAAAGAAAGGCAAGCTACGTGCGAAGACAAATGTAGGCGTTGGGCTGTCTCGCAGACGGCAAGGACAACACAAGGGCGGGGGGAAATAGACAGCTGCTGTCGGCATGTTTTATACACTTGCAGGTGCCGTCCACACGATCTGCCACTTTGGCGTCATCCGCTGCGGAAGAAAGAATAGGGGCGTGATCGCGCTACATTGCAGAGACAGCGAGGTGCGCACATTCAACCCTGAGCTAGTCGTACGGCTCCGCAGAGCAAATCCCACCTACCCCCACAACGGCCGGCCCTTCCTCTGCAAACTGTAGCCAACCGAGATGTCGTCGCCATTTTCTGTTCCTTTTCCTCCTGCTCCTGCTCCTGCTCCTCCTCCTGTGTGGGTGCCGTGTCCTGGTAGAAGATAGCTTTAGGCAACCGCGTTGGTGCCCGCGAGTGGCGAACTGTCACTTCAGTGGCAATGGTCCGGAGAGATGTTTGAAAAGACACGGGAGACAACCAAGACGAGCCTCATGGGAAATGGGGCAATTGGGAATGGGAGAAGAAGTGCTGAAGGGGATGTCGGCGAGGCGGACATCCGGACTCTGGACGGAGGTCGGAGATTGGAGAGCACGCCGGGAGGAGGGAGAATCTTTCGAACAAGGCTCACGGACCGTATGCGTCTCTGCGCGTTCATTCCACATCTTTCCAGCGAGGCTAACCAAGGATTGTATGTCGATTCCCTCCAGAGCGTCTCGGTCGCCGGCTTTCGTGTTTGCCATTCGGTGCCAAGGCAGCGGTGGATGAAGTTTGCAGCAACGTTCAAGACGGGCGAGGGCCTTGAGGCCTTGAGGCCTTGAAGGGCACGAAAGGGACAAACGCCAGAGCGAAGAATATGCATAAGGTAGAAAGAGGTTGATACAGGTCGTACGCTGCTGCCATCAGTCGGCGAGGACGAGAGTGATGATGTAAGCACAGCTCAGGCCCGACACGGCCCGACTCCTCCGCCCACTACCGTCCCGACCACCACCACCACAAACATACCTCGACGGTGCACGTTGGTTTCCCCGTCCGCAACGCGAACGAGTACTCACCCCGGGGGCCGCGAGAAGGCCTGCACCGATGCCCCGGGACCTCATTCCACCAGCTAACCCCTGCCATGCGCGCTTCTCGCAGGATACTTTCGGCGCGCAGCGTCCGTCGCCCTCTTCGTCGGCCTCCAGGATGGCAATGCGCCAGAATAGTTGCCAGCTCGTATGCAGGCTGCGTGGTGACGCGCGGCGCACACAGCGAGCAGCACGCGACGCCCCAGATGCAGAGATGCAGCGGTGGCTGTTGACGGGCCCGTACGGTGCGCGCGGCAGCCGAAATCGAACCATCCGTACGGGCGCACGGTGCGTGGAGGGCCATGAGTTTGACGTTGGTCCGCATGCGTGCCGTCCTCTCACGGGGCCCCGGCAGCGCAGACGACCCTCTGAATGGGGCAGACCAGAGCGGGATGGTCGTCGTGCTCTTGACTCCCGGCACTCTTGCTGGGGGCGTGAGTCGAGGAAGAGCGAGGGGGATGCTAGAAGAATAACAGCAGTGAGTCACTGAAGCGGTGCGACTGATTGCAGTGGAAGGGGCAAAGCAGAGAGGAGGGGAGCAACTCACCGGGGGGAGTGATGGAGAGTGCGAGCGGGGAGGGCAGACTTAAATGCGCCAGCGAAACAAGGTTCGCGCGCCCCTTCCCGTACTCCTCGCCTCAACTCAGTGCCTTCCAGGTGGTCCGGGGGAGCGTTCGTCGCGAGGATGCCCTACGTGCGGACGAATGGCGAGAGGGGACCCTGACGGCGATGTGCAATTGTGGGTTCTGGGGCCGACGTCGGAGGACGCCTGACACGGCGAGGCAACATGAATGTTTCCTTTCATGGCCAAAGCGATCCTGAATATCTGCCTCGAGCTCTGCACAGTGAGAGAGCGAGGGTTAAGCAGCGAATGTGGTACCAGAGCGTTGTTTACGGTTGTTGTGGTCTATAGCGACAGACGCCGGTTGGTTGCACCTTCTGGGCTTCTGGGCATCAACCGTGTGGTGTGTGCGTTGCGGAACCTGTACGGCATGAGGCGCTGTTGCACCCACGCCTGGTCATGAGGTCTCTGAGAGAGAACCGAGAAGAGGCCGCGATACCGGGGCTGCCGTTCCAAAGGCGCCCAAGGCGTCGATCAAGTATGGTGAGAAACGCGCAGCCATGTCTCCGCGAAACGCCACGATTCAGCCAAAGAAGCAACGCGGTGTGGAACAATACCACCACCCCATGCATTTCTGTAGAGCGACGGTCCTAAGGACAAGCACACTCCCCAACTCACAGGGTATGCATCTCACGGCTCTCGCGCCCACGGCCACTTCTACACCGTCCCGGATTCCGGAGCACCTCGCGAGGCGCGTCTCTTGTCCAAAGATTCTCCTCTGGATGGGGATTCCTCTTGGCTTGTCGCGTACTTGACCGTCGTCAGGCCGACCTAACCCGGTGTCGGTTCGCGGAAGGCTAGGCGTCAGAAAGAAGGCGAGACGTACGTGCGCGTGCATTGGGGAGGTGGCGTCGCCGAAGTCGGTATCGTTCGACCGGAACTCAATGGCGCTCACGCCGATGATGCTTCCTGTTTGACGCGTTGACGAGTCTCCACGTGCATTGAGCCTGGATGGGATCAGGTCGATGAAGCAACACGGGCGGGCGCTGGACGTACACGGTCATCAAGGAGTTCGTGTAGACTGTGTGCGTGAAGCGAGATTAGAGCTCGAAGAGCCGTGTTAGCACGAGGATGAGGACTCACGCATGATGGTGACCAGGTCTATGCCAACATAGATCATGTTCTGCGGCATGACGATTGCCTGGTTTATCGACACCATTGATCAGTATGACGTCATCGAATAGTCAGGATTACTGACGAAAATAAAGGAGAGTGTGGTGAAGATCCTGGACCGCGTCATAAACCACGTGAGCTGATGAAAGCATACAAATAACAGCTGGAAGCATACCCCATCAGGAGACCTATGGAAGTAAGCAGGTCAGACCTCTTCAGCTCGTAATGCATACACCCAGATTCTTACCTGTGTTTATGGTGTAGGCCACGAGCCAGTCGATCATCGTGTCCGTCCTATATTCCTTGTAATGATTCAGCGAGTGTGCATAACGTGAAAATAATGAAACACTGACGGCTTGAAGCCAGTACGGCTCCCTCTCAAAGTAAAGACGAGAGTGACGGCGATACTTCCGTCTGCCAAGGTCGCAATGCCAGCGCCAGCCGAATTCAACCACTGCGTGATCAACGAATGAGTTTCCGTCATATGGAGGGGGTAGACGGCGGTACTGAATCTCACTCCGAACTTGTTACCGTGCTCGTAGGGGCGCAACAATCTGCACGTGTGGATTAGAGGGGCATGAAGGAGAATGCGGTCGGCAAGTATTTATACCCAAGGATAGTAGAAGCTATTTGACGAACTCATGAGTAAGACACAGAGGATGGAAGCAGCGGCTTACTGAGTCCGACGGCTGTAGGCCGGCGTCGATAGCATGGTCAGCGCCGTGCACGAACTTCCAGCCAGACGATACCATACCAAACTGTACGACAATGAGCGCTCCCTAAAGATGATGTAGGGGGTGATTGGAATCGTCACAACACAGGCGACAAAGTGAGCTTACTATGAAGCCGAAAAAGTACTTGAGTCTGCGGTTGACTGTCGGTTTTGGATGAGCACAATACCGGGACAATAATGCAATCGTTGCCCCGAGACGCACTAAGGTACACACGCCGAAGGTAGAACCTGCGCGGACCGGCGACACGACCAAGCCATCAGTACTGCGAACAACACCGGGTGTAAACTGCGCTGACATCTCGCAAAGGAAAGTTGTCATTCCCTAACGCTGGACGCGTCAACGCTTGATCGTCATCTGGTCCGCGGGGAGGAGGGACGTACATCTACAATCCCGAGCGTCTTCACAGATGGACTCGCATCAGTAAAAAATCGCGATGAAAAGCGTATTCAAAATTCCAACCGAGAGAGACCTAGGTACACTTGTCAGACAAACGACCATAATTTCTATTGCATGTGTTCCTTACCACACTGTCCTTCCGGCGGCGGCCGGATCGAAGAAGCCCTTGATGAGATAGTGATAGCTGGTCAGGCAAAAGTTCCTTTGATGAGATCCAGTAGGTATATGAACAGTTAGAGATGAGAGATGCTCGCCATATGTGGATGTACAGCGTCGCGTTGAACGTCGTGAGCACGCTTCCGGTGTCAGGTCCGTCAGCCGGCGTCGAACTCGTTTAAAGGACCATACTTGCCAAAGTACGCCCACCTGTCCCAAGGTTCGCTCAGTTATGGGAAGATAATGGCGTCTAAATGCACCACCCACCAATGTCTTGAGCTCCCACCGGTCGCGCGGGTACGAATGAATGTACCTGCTGCACTGGAGTATGTACCATCCATACAGCCTGAAACAAGTTCAGAGCCTTCCTTCGATGTGCATATAATCACGAGCGCTCACATGAGTGCAAAGAAAGTCCCAACCAAGAGCGCGCCATACGTGTTGTCGAGAGGCGGGAGCGGCGAGAGACTCTGGGGAGGTCTTGATCCATCGGCCGGAGGGGATTCCATCTCGCGTCGCCCTCGTGCGTCCGGGACCGCCAGCACTGAAATACTCGCGTCGCGTCCTGATATGCGCGCCCGATCGGGTTACATCATGGGACGGCAAGCGACTTCGAGGGGGCGGCATCGTGCGACGTCGCAAGCTCGCCCGTCGGACGCAGGAGTCTGATCGCAACGTCGGCCTCGCGAGGTCAGGGACCGCGGTACCGAGCTCGAGCGGCGAGCGGACGTCGAGACCCCACGGCCCAGAGGAGGGCGCGCGATGCGACTGGCCCTGTTCAGCGCACGTGCTTCTGATGACCGGGGCGGGGCTGCGTGCCGCAGCGAACACTTCTTGTGCTTCTTATCGATATGTGGACGCCGTCGAGCCTCTTTGTTGCGAGCGACTGATGGGCTGAGGAGCCGAGTCAAGCTAAACACATGGACTGAGAACGAAAGTACATAGGATGTACCAAGATTGTGATGGAAAACGCACCAGCCACGGCAAGTCTCTCGCCTAGTGCAGCGTGGCGATTTTCGCTTTGTGCCAAATCACCAGAGTGACACACGTGGTATGAGGTACATTATTCGCTTATGTTGAAACGTTGAAGTGTGGCAACGCGTCCAATAAAGATTCCATCCGAGTGTGTGATAGATACATGCTGGGCCTGGAGATGGGTTCGGTGCTGTCGTTTGCTGATGTTGGAATAAGGAAGATTGGAGAGTGGCCAGCGCCGGCGTTTGGGCTCCTGGCGCTCGCGCGGCTCAGCGCTTATACGGGCGGCGAACGGCGGCGAACGGGCCGCTTGAATTCATCTTCCTCCAAGTCACACAAGCAAACCTCACTCGAAGCTCCTGAAACAGCTCGTCCTATGCTGCCACCAGTACCCAACACTCAGTACTCAGACAACGATGTCGCTCATCATACTCGGCCCCCGGACCGTTTGCGTCTGCTTACGGCTGGTTTTTTCCCACGTTATCGTCGTCTTGTGGCCTCTCGAAATGAGTCACTGCCATGACCTTCCTGAACTCTCGCACGGATGGAACTGCTCGGCGAGCAAATTTGCCTCTCGGACATCACGAGCAGCACTGAACTACTGTCTGCTTCCCGTCTCCACCTCAGCTCTACTTGGCCAGAGTATCGATCTGTACCGAGGTTCAGACATGTCAAGACAATTTTTTGGCACTGAATATGCCCCCCAAACACAAGGATATGCTCCTATAGCGACACAGGAAGGCGTATCTTCCAGCGGCGCGGATGACATACGAACCAATGCCACGAAACAACATTGGTGGACACCGATCTTACACTCCAGCAGAGTACAAATCTGCGCCAACTTCTTCAGCGATAACGCCGGGCTCTTACTCATCGCGTTGTCGCAAGGATTTGCCTCTATGATGGGCGTGTTTGTGAAGAAGCTCAATGCGCTCGAACCTCCTGTTCACCCGTTCGAGGTGCGTCCTTTTTCTAGCTCTCCGGTGTTATCAGTTGAGTTGATGCAAACGCTGGCAGCTCATTTGGGTCCGGATGGTCATGACATGGGCTGTCTGTATCGCATATATGTACGTTGGAATCATCCTTGTCCGTATCGTTCTCGCTGCGTATTGAACTTATCGTCTCCAGGACGGCCGCCAGTGTGCCCGACCCGGTGTTGGGACCCAAGGGCGTCCGTCTTCTCCTTACTCTAAGAGGAGTGTCGGGGTCGGTGTTATTATAGCATAGAGTGGCACTAAGACTCAGATACTGACACTCGTAGCATTCAATATACAGCTTCATTGGTCTCTTCGGGACCTACTATGCCCTTCAATACCTTTCCCTCTCGGACACCACCGTCCTTTCTTTCTTGACGCCGATGTGCACAGCGGTAACTGGAGCCCTTTTGTTGAAAGAGGAGATTACCGCGAAACAGATGATGGCGAGCTGTGAGTTCGGGTGCTATCTGTATCGCGCACGACCCCCTAACTCCAGCTGTGCCAGTGTTCAGCTTCGCGGGTGTTATCCTGATCGCGAGGCCGGCGTTCTTGTTTGGGCAGCACGTACAAGACACTCAAGGGGGAGAGGGGGATCCTGCTCGAACGGTCACTGCATCTCAAAGACTGGGGGCTGTAGGGTGAGTTTACCGGCGTTTCTGTATAATCAGTTGCTCATTCTCGTGCTCTAGAGTTGCTTTGTTCGGGGTTATCGGTCTGACGAGTGCATGTGAGCATGGCGCCCATCTGGTATCGCGATGTGAGCTCATCTCTGTGCAGACACGACGGTTCGCGCGATCGGAAAGCGCGCTCACGCTCTGCACAACCTCAGCGCGTTCTCCTCCTTCTGCGTTGTGACCGCGCCGATCGCGTACGTGTCCTTCTCTGTCCTATAACTCTTATTGATCTCATCGAGGTTCCTCCTAGTATGTTGATCACCCGAACGAAATTCGTAATCCCGGACAACGTCCATCAGCTGCTGTTGATCCTTGGGGTAAGCGTCTGCGGGTACGGCGCGCAAGTGGCCATGACTACCGGGCTTCAACGTGAGACAGCGGGGAGAGGGACCATGGCTATCTACGTCCAGGTAATCCCGTCGCAAGTCCTCATTTGTTACACAAAGCTAATCAATGCACTTGAAGGTGATATTTTCTCTCATATTCGAGAAGCTCTTCTTCAACACAACGCCGCCCGTGTTGTCTCTGGTCGGCACCGCCATAATCTTATCGTCCGCCATATACGTGGCAGTGAGTGACTTGACGCTTTTTCGTCGTCACTTTGATTTGAGACTTACTTTTCGACTTTCCAGTTGAGCAAACGGAAGGCTTCCAAACCCGCGAAGGTCGAAGACGCTGCTCTCGAGGTCGGACTTATGACTGATCGAGTTCCGGAAAGTGGAGACTACGAGATGAGCAAGCTTTCCTTAGGGCATATATCTGAAGAGAAGTTCGTGTTGGGCTCCGCTGAGTCTCTCCACGATCCTAACCCGCAGCCGGGCTCGTCGAAGCTCTGAGCAACGTTTGTATTGTGGCTGCACATTAAAACTGTAATTGATAGATGTTGAAGGTCTCAGTTCCTTCTTCCTGAGTGGTTCTGCGCCCGAGCGTGCATCCAATATTATCACAATGATTCGCCGAAAGCCGGACTCGAAACGGTGCTTTCACTAAATGATGATGCGTCACCCAGTGACTCTGGGCGTGACCCGCCTGCTCGTGACAGACGCGAACGCGCCGAGCTCGCCCGCAGGGGCAGCAGCCACCGTCCTCACCATGTCCGCCATGTTCAGGCAAACCTACCGCTACCTCGTACGTCCCTTTGATCATTCTTTCAATGCGCTACGGAGTGACTGACGATGGTTCCGTCCCCCTCAGCAACGGCAAGCACATGAGCAGCCCGTCATCTTCTACTCGCTCATCATAGGCTCCGTCGGCCCCATCATGGTGGCCACCGTGCCACCCATACGCCGGGCGTTCGGTTGGAAGCCGACAGAACCTGCTCCCTTGTCGTACCCTGGTGAGTTCTCTCGTTGTATGCGCAAATTGGCAGAGTGGGCGGTGTGGGAGGGCACGACGAGGGCGAGGGCCAAGAACAGTGGTATTGATGGCTGGACGTGTTTTACAGTTCCCAACCGAGCAAGGGTGCCCATCTCAGGGTATGACGACGAGTAGGAGTGCGGTGCTTCTGGGCTGAAGACCGGCACGTGAGACAGACAGGTGCGTCTTTTGTTGTGTCGCGCGTTTGCCTCCACTCACGATGTCGTGAAGACTTCATGTAGACCACCTTACTGTCGTTCCTTACGGTCTCAAAACATCTTCCTTTTTTCCTCTCGTCTCTTCGCATCAATAGTCAAGTTCTCCCTGACACCCCAAGCAACGAAGACCTGGGGATAAAATCGGGCTTTACATCTGAATCATTGGTGGAACATGCCGCCGAGACCATTCCGGAACCTACGCTTCGCGGCCTAGTTCAAGCGAGACGTCGACCGCGCCCATTCCGACTGAGCTCTTACAAGGACGAGAATGCAGCCATGGAAGTGGTAAAGACTCGGTGCGTGTCGTACCTTCTGAAACCCTCTTGCGAACGCGGGCACGGGCTGGATTGGAAGGTTCGATAAAAGGCGGGCGGGGTCGGATATGAAGTCGCGTCCCTCTGCGGAGCAAGTAGCCTGGGAGAGTAGCTGGAAATGAATTGATGCGTGGGTGGTTCCATGTCGCGCTCGGGGGGAGCCGCCCCTTCATCTCCTCTATCTTCGCCGCCCTGCGTCATGCGAGGTTCGGGCGCAGGGCTCGCCGCGTTCATGAGCGGATGCCGATGCGTTCGGCCCGTCCGCGCGTCATAGCACTGACTGGACGGTGTGAGACTATCTCTCTCCCTTTGTCTCTTTTGTCTCTAGCCTTCCAAGTCGCACGTCTACAAGAGCGGAGATGAAGAACGGCATTCGGGAACCCTTGGATGTCGATGAGCAGTGGGTGGTGTTGTTGGGTTAAGACTTGTACTGTATGGTTGCCATGTGCGTATATATTTTTCTTCAACGCAGCATATACAGAGTTCCCAATGTATCACACACAGACTGTTACGTCCGCCTCGATTCCTGCGACGACCGCAAGTTCCTCGAAGCTATCAGGCGTCTATGCTCGCGCTCCGACGCCGTCGTTGTCATCCACGTACGCCCATACGCCCATGCGACATCAGCTACTGGCAGCCCCATATATGAACGTTTCCGACGCGCGGCTCCCGCGGACGCCCCTTCTCCCTCAGAATTCTATCATTTTCTCGGTGAGAAGACTCCCCACCGCGGAGCGCTGCGTCGACAGGCCTCAAGGCTCGGCATCCAAGATCCAGATGCCCGGCGCACTCTGGCGGAACGCTACCCCCGAGGTGCGTCGGTGCATCTATGGACTAGAGCTCTAGCGTGGTAAGATCCCGGCGTGCTTATGTGGACGGGAGGTCGATGCTTATATGTATGAGTGGGCCAGGTCCGCGCGACTGTAGTGCCCGGGTCCCAAGGTCCTCCATGCCAGCGTCGACTGCTCCCTCGTCTCCGAACGCGGATCCCCGCATGGACGCCGAATATCCGCCCATCGACAAAACGTACGGTGCGCTGCTGGTCGGGACCTTCGTCGCGCTCATGTGAGTGCTCCCGTGGTGTTATGCGTCGGACTCGCACTCACGATCGACTACAGTCTGTACGGCTGGCTCCTCAACCAGTGCCATCGGTACTTTATGAAGTATCGGGAAGATCGATGGTTCCTCAGGTGTCTTGTGGGTTGGTCTGTCTGAACCTCCTTTCCGCATCTAACGCATCCACAGGTCTTTTCCATCATGTGAGCAGGCGGAGGCGCAGTCTAACCGGGGAGCGGTTGCTCACGAACTCGGTCGTAGTGTACTGGAGACGTTTAACGTCGTGCTTTTCATGCACTTTTGGTGGGTACACGGCCCGATATCGTTTTGTGAGTCCCGTGGCTAATGTCATCTTCAGCTATCATTACTTGGTGTCCACCTATTGGGATCGCGCTGCTCTGGGCAAAACAGTCTGGTGCGGTTCTTTTCTGCGCGGTCCTCAAACCTCCACTTATCTTCTTGTCTCTTAAGGTCTTTCGCTGTACGTGCCACATCACGCCTCGACCACTGGGGACCTGCTAATTGACTCGACTCCGTTCAGTTGCTAGGGATCTCCACAGTGCGTGCCTCCCTCATCGCACCCCCGACGCCAATCACTCACTATACCCCAGGTCGCGGTGGTCTTCGTCTGCGAGCTGTGAGTTCAGGGCTTGTTTGGCACGTTTGCACCACTGCTTACTCACGCCTCAACGTCACTGCAGGTTCTACCTTCGGCGTGTGTACCTGAGTACGTTGAGCTGAGCTTCCGTCCCCGTGGTTCCCGGGTCTCACCCTGCGTCTTCTAGTCGGGCGCAGACTTTGGTTGATTGTTGCCATTGCGGTGAGAACTTCGACCGGCCTTGACACGTGTGTCTAATACGCCTTTAGGCCACTCTAATTTTCGCAGAACTTGGTAAGTTGAGTTTCGATCTTGTTGGTGGCTGCTGATGCTGAGCGAGATCTCTTCTCAGTAATTGCAGTAGGTGAGCAAAACCTCCGTTGGGAGACATCGCTGTCGACTAATGATCACACGTCGACGCACTCGCAGTGTCCACGGTTCTCAGGCATGCCTGTCCCCTTCTTCTCGTGCGGCAGGTTTAGCTCACAGTGCCTCCCCACAGCTTGAAGGAACCCGACGGTGCCAGCAGCCATGATGGGGTGCGTCTCATCTATTCAAGTTGCCCCACTTCCTTGGTTGACAGTATCACAGTGGATGAACTCTGCCGGGGTGGGTAGTGCCGTTCTCGCAGACACGCTGCTCGCGACTGCCCTCATCGTGTCACTACGGAGAAGCCGGACTGGCATCAAGCAGTGAGTCCTTCCATCTGACATGCTGGCTTGAGTGGGATTTGACGCCACGTGCAGGACCGATTCTCTCATCTCCACGCTCATTCTCTATACCATCAACACAGGTAAGGATCTCGTAACTATCATTCCAAGTGTCGGGTTCTAATTTGAGCGTTGTTCAGGTCTCCTTCTCGGGTATGTTCTGAACTGTCCATGCACGAGCTCCGTGGTCCGATACACCCTCTTGCAGAGTTTTCAACGTCCTCTCCTTGATCCTCGTACGTAACTCTATGGTCCATACACACGCCCTCCTGACCAGAAGCAACAGGCCGTTACACTCCCCGACAACCTCATCTTCGTGGGCATTGATCTGGTCACCACCATGCGTAAGTCCCCCTTTCTCAGTTGCTTGTACTTGCTCACATTGACACCTAACGCCAAGTGTACGCGAACTCCGTGATGACTGTGTACGCACCGCCAATCATCGAACGTTTCCCCCTCACCGATCGTCGTCCCGCAGGCTCAACGCCCGAGGATCGTCCCTCGTCATTTCTGCCGAGGTCATCAACATGGACTCGATGGACCTCTCGGCCCTGCCCGAGCTTCCGCGTTACCCTGGCCCCACACACGCTGCCCCCGTCTCCTTTTCGGTGAGCCTGCGAATCTGTCGATGACCGCTATTCCTTCAACGCTGACGTCGGTGGCCAGCCCAAATCCATCGAGATCGTTATCGCTAAGGAGTCCTTCACGAGCGGCGAATCCATCTATGCCCGGCGGAGCGCACACGAGATAGGGATGGCAGTGTGACAGGTCTCCATACGGCGGTACTTTACACCCTTACATACGTACTGCACTTCGTTGTTGTCCCGAGTTTGTGGACACACATACACACAGCTTGCTCGTGCTGGTGCATGGGGACGCGGACGGTACGCTCCCAGTGTTTAGACGACGGCCGCAGCCAAATCGGCTTGCGCGGCAAATCTCGGCGCTCTCTGGGATCTCGCTGTACGTGTCGCTGCGTCCCCTCCGACTAGTTCTTGCTCAAACATACATGTGGCTGGGCAGCTCGTCTGAGCTCAACAAGGTTGAACGTTGACCTTTACGACGTGCGCTTTTCGGTCTTGCTAGCATTTTGCAGCCTCGATCATGCGATACTTATCTGAGACACACTTATCGTGATGTTGACTTGCTTCTGCGATCAAATCATGCTGCCGATCTGCCCTAAGTAGCTGCCCTCCTTCAGTCCAAGTCATTAGTACTTATTTGATAACTGCAGCTGCCAGCAAGCATTGAAGACCTTCGTAGAGGACTCTGCTACCATACTCTGTGCCCTTGTTAGTGAAGTACTGTCAAGTAAGTACTTATGCTCTGCCGACGGTCGGACAGACCATCACCGTCTCAGTGACACGTGCCGACCAGTCTTCTAATTTTCCTGTTGACCCTGCATCAGCAGCCCTGAGGCTCGTGCGCAGTGCTCACTCTCCCGGTGTCTTATATACACCATTCTAGTGGGACGCCCACCCCTCCGCCTCCGGATGCCATGACCCACTCAACAACAGGGCCCGGCGCCGGCTTGTCCGGGTCCGCGGCCCCCGCAGTTCCGGCGGGGGCCCTGGACCACACCATGGGCCTTGTGCTGCTCGGCACATTCATCAGCTTGATGTGAGCACTTTCGCCAAGTTGGCGTCGTTAGGCTGATCATGTCGAGAGTGCAGGCAGTACGGCTGGACCGCTCGGCAGTGTTTTGAGTACTTCCGATTCTATCGTCACGACACCCTGCTTTTGAAGACATGGGTACGTTGTCACCCGTGTCACTACCAGTTCTTATCGCTGGCTGACGCAGGATTGCGATAGGTTATCGTAGTCTTGTGAGAGAGCACCGGTATACATGTTCGAGCTCTGCAGGCTGACTGCTGCGGGTTCAGTGTGCTAGAGACCTTCCATTCCATCCTCAGCATGCATATATGGTGCGTATGCTAGATGTAAAGCATCAGCTATACGTGCCGACCCCTGCCTAGCTACTCCACTCTCGTGACGAACTTCTTCAGTCCCCAGAATCTCATATCGGGACGTAGCTGGTGCGTCATCGACGTGGGCTAGTCACTGAACTGTCGACTCACTCCCGACCCTGTCAGGTCTTCGAGCGTAAGATGAACTGTACATGATCCTGTTTTACTGCGCACGCTTACATTCATTAAGGCGTATGGTATAACTACAGTGGGTATGTAGCCTTCTCGATCAACACCGTTTCTCACTCCAGTTTTAGGGATTCGTGGTCATCGCATCACAGCTGTGAGTCAATCATCAGCCCAAGCATCCCACTCCTTCTGACGCTGTCTATCTGTAGGTACTTCATTCGCCGAGCTTGGCTATGCACGTATACGCCGGACCTCCTGGTAGAACACCCAAACGACTTCATGGGTTGTGGATTTCGCGTTCTGGTGATAATCGCTGTGCGTATGCTTCATATCGCAGGTCGTTCTTGTCTGACGACGTGTAATTTTTCAGGCGATCTCAGCCGTGTTGTTCAACCTTGGTGAGTTCCCCGCCGTCGTTCATTCAGCCCACTCGATCCTTTGACTTATTCGAAAATAGGCACCAGCATCGGTCAGTTGTCAGCCTCATTCCTATGTCCCACGTTGCTAATACACTTGGATACAGCGGCCAGCGTCATCTCGTAAGCATCGCACTCTGGCAGCACCAGCACAGCCCTAACATGTCGCACCAGAATCGTTGATATGGAGCAGAACGGCTTTGTTGACAGGCATCTGGTTGTGGGTGCCCTCACATCCTTTGCGCTGCCCACCGTCTTGACATGTCTCAACCGCAGTGGCTGAGCACCCTTGGAAACGGCTCGAACGTGCTGGCCGATGTTCTGCTCACGATCACACTGGCGGTGTCGCTGCGTCGGAGCCGAACTGGGCTGGAGAGGTAAGGAAGTCTCATATGTGGCATTTGAAGTACTGTTGACGCCTCCGTGCCACTTGCGGCGTAGGACAGACTCTTTGATCGACAAGATCGTCTTGTATGCTATCACTACCGGTGCGTCCTTGCTCCATTTGATCGACAGATGAGAACGCCTACTTACCCTCGTTAGGGCTCTTGACGACGTGAGTGGATCCGCATCTATGTCTATCCCGAACGATCACAAAATCGTCTCTCGTGACAGTGTGTTCAACATCCTCTCTTTCATTTTCGTGAGCCTCAACCCAATTTCCCCATCCTACACGGCACGCGCTCACCATCCACAGGCTCTCGTCCTGCCGCAGACGTACATGTTCATTCTGTTCTCCATGATAGCAACAAAACGTACGCCCCTTGCCTCACCACATTCCTCGCTCGCTCGCTCTGATCCCCATCGTCCCCAGTCTACGCCACGTCGATGCTCGCCGCGTAAGTCCACGCTCTCTCTCCCAACCTCCCGACCCTCACCCCCCACACCTGCCCACACAGCCTGAACTCGCGCCGCGCACTCGCGCTCCACCTCGGCGGCCGCATCCCGACCTCGTTCGAGCTCTCCCCGATCGACTTCCGCCGCCGGACCAGCGGCGACTTGCTCTCGCTCGGCGTCCTGCGCTCAGGCCGCGCCTGCGGGTCCCGTCCCGTCCTGGTGAGTGTTCCGTGTGCGGACCCTCCAATCGCGGGCGCCTGACATCGTCCCCGACGGCGAGCGCTGACTGGGACTCCCCGCCTGCAGAGCGACGAGCGAGATGCGCTCGCCGGGCCCAAGACGGACTCGACCCGGACGGCGACCGACGACGGCGCGAGCACGCCCGCGCGCACGGTCGCGGCGGGCGGGAGGAGCTGGCACGACGTGGAGGACGCGGAGCGGCGGCACCGTCGAGCACAAGACGACGATGGTGGCTAGATTTGTTGTGTTCTTGGGCTGCAGGAGGCGACCGGAGTGTGCAGAGTCGTTTACCTCACATGCTATGGTAGAGGCGCGTCTAGCTGACATCGCGTATCCCGAGGCGGACGACGGTTGAGAGCGTATTAAGTTGGCTACATTAGACCCCACTACAACACAACATTTTGGTATAGTTCAGTACAACACTGCAGAACACAGCCCGCGCCAAGTCCTCACGACCACGACTTGGGCCCGAAGCCCTCGGCAGGCACCGCGTAGAGCGACGCGGAGTTGTAGTCCGCGGTCTCCGTTCCGACGACATTCCCCCACCACAACGCGATCGTGGTCTCCCCGATCGTGCCGCTCTTCGGGTACTGCAGCACGAAGAAAATGATGATGATCGAAATCGCGACACCCGCATCCAGGCCGGCGGACAAGATGTCTGGAAGGAGCAGAGCCGACCGTCAGCGCTGCACCCTCGACCCACGACGCCAAAAGGACACTCACAGTTGTACTTCGTCCACCACGAGAAGTGACGCCGGCGGATGACGTAGTTGAAGACGAACGCGACGACCGTCCAGGGGACGTAGTTGACCGCGGACGCGGGCGGGATGTATCCGGTGCCGGCGAGGATGACGGGGAAGTTGACGTACTTGACGAACGAGTTCGGCCACCTGAGCGACGCCGCGTACCCGATGCACGGCAGGATCGCGCCGATGAGGAAGAAGAACACGAGGCCGTAGTAGATCTGGCCGGACGAGAACTGGCGCTGCGGGCCGATGACGCCCCAGATGATCGACGCGGTCCCGAAGACCTCGGTCGACGGGCAGATGAAGCCGCTCTTCTGCTTCGGGCTGCACATGTCCGGGATGTTGGTGAACATCCAGGCCTGCACCCCGAGCTGGACGGTGCCGCCGATGATGGTCGCGAAGACCTGCGCCCAGAACATCGCGCGCGGGGGGACCTTCATGTAGTGGCCGAGCTTGAAGTCCTGCGTGAAGGAGAGGGCCTGGTACATCGTGATGTAGCCGTACGTCTTGAAGATCATCATGGCGATCGGGTGTCCGGGGAGCGCGTAGCCGACGATGAGCTCGGTGAAGACGTTGAGGCCGATCTGCTGGTTCGTGATAGCCTGAATGATGCCGATCGGGATCGTGTACACGAAAGCTAAGAGGATGGTCAGAGATGGACAACAGGCAAGGGAACAACCGTGCTCACCGATGATGAGGGCCAAGACCAACGCCCAGACGGGCATCTGGGTGTGCCAAACCTCGATGCAGATGACCCCGAAGACGAACATCGACACGAAGATGATCGCGTACCACCACTCAGGCACCTGCACGTAGCGCGACATGAGCCGCGCGTGGATGTCGGGCTGCTCCGAGAGCGAGCGGCGGGCTTGGATCCAGATCTGCTTGCGGTAGTAGAGGAAGGTATGCACGATTGTGGCGGTGATCGATGCAAACGAGAGCCCGTACGAGAGCGCGAATGTGGTGGAGAGGAAGAGGGGGGAGTACGCCGCGTACTTCTCCGGATCGAGCGTCGACTCGGGCGTGAGGATGCGGCTGACGTCGTACGAGTTCCCCATGTTGTCGAACGAAGTCCGGGAGGAGATCGGCATGTACTTCGAGTACCACGTGTTCGTGTAGTAGAGGACCGGGGTGAGGAACCAGAAGAAGAACACGAAGCCGGCCGCGACGTTCGCGGACGCCCACCAGGGCGTCGCGAGAGGCGAAACAACGTACGCGATCTGCGACCAGTCGAAGGTGATGATGGACATGCCGAGGCCGGAGTAGTACCCGAAGAGCTGGTTGACGACGACGTTCTCGGGGGCGATCCAGCAGACCCAGTTGAAGAATGACAGGGCCTGGAAGATGTAGCCGGGGAAGAAGTACCAGCAGAATGATCCGACAAACACGTAGACGAAGAACCGTTCACGGGAGATTCCTCCGCGAGTGCCCATGCCGCTGTAGTGCTGCGAGTGCAGGGTATTGAAAAGCGCGCATGAAACGAGGTTGGTAGGCCAAATCATGGACGGGGGTGCGACGAGGAAGCGACGCGCAATTCCTCCAATGGAGAATCCAATCTACACGGAACACATGTCTTGTTCAGGAGGCATTCCAAACTCAATCGGGGGCGGTTAACTCACCAGCTGCGTGGAGACGACAAGCATCCATTGATAACCAAAGCTGTAGATCTGGTTGTAGTAGACGCGCTGAACGGCGATGACGTCCGTCTATATAATCACGCATCAATGTCCATCCCAAATGCGGTAATGACGGGGAAAACATACAGCGTATGCGGACTGGTACCCCACATTGGCCATGATCGTGATGAGAACATGCTCCTTCACGGTAAAAGGACCAGGGTTGAGAGAGACGCCGAAGATCTTGATGTTCGGGAGGAAACGCGCCCATAGACGACCGAGCGGGTATGACAGCAGCTGCGCAACGATCTGCAGACGCCGAGAGTGGTTAAGGATCGTGCCAGGGATCCATCAGGTATCGTCCAAGACTCACCGAAGTCACCGTGACGGAGGGATACCGGAAGAAGAAGAACTGGTTGATGCCGGGGAGGATCACGGACCAGATGAAGCCGATGAACCATGCGCGGAACGTATTGACTGGCATGTCGGGGTCATCCGTGTTGGCGACGGCCGAACGGACCTCGGGGTAGGGAGAGTCATCCTCTGCGAGGAGGGGGGGATGAGGGGGAGCAGAGCAGAGTGTGGATAAGTGGACACGCACCGAGCACGACGGCATCCTTGTCGAAGTTCGGGTCGTCAAACGCCGCGACGGGCACGGGCGCGGCGACCGCTGGCAGAGGGGTCGTGTGAGTCGAGAAGCGGTGCAGAAATGGAACGTCGGTGGACGCACTCTGCTTCTCAGCATCGCCAAGCTTCTCGTCGAGGGAGCTTGAAGAGTGCTGGTCTTGGGTGGCAGCCATGGCGGGCGCGGCGGAAGGGTCAAACGACTCAGGGGAACTGAGCCAAGAGCGTAGGGATCCATATATACGAGGCTTGTCGCCGTCAATCCAGTTCCTGGATCGGGGCCACGGCCGTCCCGTGTGGAACGGTGAGCGCGTCGCGCAAGCATGGAGCCGAAGGACATCCATGCATCATGTGCGCGCGGGCCTGCCGCACCGCACAGCAGCGATAAGGCCCCCACCGCCCGTCGCCGTTGAGTTCAGAAGGGGTCCGGACACATCTGGGGCTCCGGAGCATGTGCTACATGCCAATGCTTCCTGCTCGCGTTCACGGCAGGCGCTCCTACAGTCCGTGGCCTGCGTTCTGGTTTGCTGGGCCTCCTCCTGGTCAAGGCCACGCTGTCGACAGAAATCGTCAGCCTGGTCGGTAACATGTCGCAGCAGTACGTTTGGGATTCAGGAAACTACTCTGGCGCATCTTCGGCGCAACCGCAACTCATGATGGGCGAGCCGCGTGCTTCCGTGCCGGCTCTTCGGCCATTGTAATCAGTGGCGCCCAATCCGCGCTCGACATCGGGGCATAAGGAACGAGGCATGCGGGCATATACGGCCACAAAGCGTTATCTTCGACTAAATCCTTTACGACCTATTCACCAACCTGGCCGCACGCGCTCGCACGCCACCGGCGCTCCACATAATGTGCCCGCTGACGGAATCGCATCGCGCGGCCACTCAATTCCGAGATTGAACTGCCGTCGGTCTCCCTCCGAAATCCCCGTTTATCGTCCAGACTCCGAGAAAGACACATCGAAACAAAACCCACCTCGATCACTCCACCACAGGTAAATCTCTCATGCTGCCCGGGCTCGCCGGAAGAGAGACCACGGCGACGACGACTGTCGCAGGTTCCGGATGACGAATTTGCCGGGCTTCGCCTCTGCCCGGACGGCCGTTATCTCGGCCCACCCCACGAACTGTTGATGGCAAGAACATCGCATGAGTTGCACATGCGAGCATTGATGGAGGTCTTACTTGTGGCGTAACGAGCGATCATTTCATCGTCATTAGGACGGATGTGCACCACACCGCGCGTTCACGTGTGGAGGCCATTGGGAACTCGGGACGACTTGAGCTTGAAAAGTTGAACGTGAGTATTGCCCCGCCATGAGTTCTTGATTGGCGCGGTCGTCTTTCCTTTGATGGCGAATCCGTGGACTGCCATTTGAGGAGACCAGTGGGAACATGCAGTCAGGCACATCCAACGTTGGCTCGAATAAGAAAGTGTCCCTTACATCGAGGTGCGATGCCAGCGGCATGCGAATAAATGCCGCAAGCCGAGAATCTGCATCTCACGCCCTGTAGCAGATGCACTGGACCGGGGATCTGCTGTGTGCCTTGAACTTGTCTATGATGTGAGTCCGTCGTGTGCGAGACATCGTTGGGCCGTATGTTAGCCGCAACGCAACATCTTGCCCAATAGTCCTGAATGCTCGCGTGGACGGAAAGCTACAGATTTCCTTCGCCGCCAGCGCATCTGCCATAAACAGTAAGTCAACGCATTCACTGGTCCAGACTTCTCGACGCGAAGACAACTATCCCAAACATGAATAAGTCTAGGAACTCACGTCAAACGTCGTCACTTTGCACCGGCTCAGCCACATCGTGCGCGCGAGAACAAATCGCGGCCCCGTGCAGAAAAATCCTGCATCTAGTCGAACACGGACTCACTATCATGGGTGCAAGATGTATGCGGATAACGTAACGCGTGTTTAGAGGCGCTTGGGTGGAGAGCCTACAATTCTTCGGTGAGTGCTGGGGGGCCTCCGATAGAAATTGGTGTTGCACGGTGAGGCCGTGGAGGCGGAACAGTGTGCTGGTGAGAGACAAAGGGTTAAACCGATGGAATGCCGGCTCACATTGAGCTTTTGACTCGATACAAAGTCGGGTCCGGCGGGAAAGACGGAAGTAATAAAGGTACGTCACGTGTCTCCCAGAGCGCCATGACGCGTCCGACCGTCGTGGTGGTCGTGGCCTTCATCGTGTGCGCTGTAGACGTTCTCCTCCCCTCCACCTCTCTGCCTGTGGGTATTCTCAGCATGGTGAGCTGCCTTTGTTCCCCGGCCGGCCTCCCCAGCTTACCCATCCCTTCTTCAGTCTGCGCTTTTCAACTTTCAGTCGCTCTTGCTTGTCATTCTCCTTCTCATCTGCACCTGCACGTATGTGCGTTCAGTCGCACCGGGCATCGTTGACCGCAACAAACAAGGGTGAGTCTCTCTCATTCTCTCTCCCCTCCGCTCTCCGTAACACCATTCCTCTCCAGCTTCCTCGGTCTCTTCTGGATGTCCGCTCGCATTGGAGAACGTCTCTCGCCTTACGTCGCCATGGCCTGTGTCACCATGGCCGTCACTCTGCTAGTCCAATAGCTCTCCGTTGCACCAGTACAGAGTTTCAAGGCCAGCCAAGCTTCCGCTCCACTCCTACCCGCTCTAGCAGTCGCCCTACTTGCGAACTCGGAACGACCCTCGACCGTCCAGCGCACGGTGACCCTGCCTCAGCGGATTCCTGTCCTCGACTCCTCCTGCTCCATCCACCACATCAACCTCCCCGGATTACATGTCGCCACCGCCTCTCCTCCCTGCCGACCCGGTGCCGACCTCATCCGCTGGATAAGACACCCACCCGCAGCATCAGCTTCACCTTCGGACCGCCGGCGCAGTTCGCCCCAGGTACAATCGTGTGTGGGTCCTGGAGAGCGGGATGTCGTACAGGTCGGCGGATAGGGCTGGTTCCTTGGGCACAACACTGCGGTCCCGCGGAGCTTCGTCGGGGACGGGAGGGTGGGGAAACGTCGCTGTGCGTACTGGCTTCTAGCTTCTCCCGGACGAGAATAGATTATCTGTGATCCCTAGTGCTTGGTCGGAGCTTGCATGTCCTCAATTTGCGCGCTGTTCTCATCACCCCGTCAAACAGCTATCGGCTTCGGGGAGTATGGGACGGTATCGTGAAGGGATCCGTTTCGGCCGAAACGATGAAAGTATTGCGCTGTGGTACATATGCAAAAGATGAAGATCCTGGTCGCGGACGAAATTGCATCTCTCACCCAAGAGTGCATTCGCGCTCAGCTGGATACAGTGGTGACGAACCATGTCATGCACAGGTCTCAACCTCTGAGGCAAAATGAGGTTGTGGAAAGTTATAAAGCTTCTATGATACGAGTACATGTGGTATACAACATACAAAATACCCTCGAGCACAACCATCGAATGAAAGCATACAGCCGAGATCGAGTCCGGACCCATAACACCCTGCGAGACTACCTCCGTGACCGTCCCGCAGGTGGTACGTTCTCCTCGTCGTCGCGTCCGCGCCCACCCCCTGACCGAGTCGCGGTGCGCTCGACAATGGACGTGCCGTCGCGGAAGCGGGTGCGGAAGAGCACGTTCGCGTTCGTGAACAGACCCTCCTTGAGCGAGACGACGATGAACTGCGAGCCCTTGAACCGGTTCCGGAAGAGCTGGCCGATGTGCTGCGTGTGCGACAGGTCCAGCGCGGCGTCGATCTCGTCCAGGATGTACATCGGCGCGGGCTTGTACTGAAGGAGCGACATGATCAACGAGAGTGCGATCAGCGACCTGTGGACAGAACGGCAGTGAGCGAGGGAGAGCGGCGGGAAAAACGCGGGGCAGGTGTACCGTTGGCCACCGCTGAGCTCCGTCAAACTCTGCTTCCAGACGGTGCCGAGCCGCACTTTCACTTCGAGACCCGCCATCATGTCTTGACCGTCTGGTGGCTGAAGTTTCGCGAAGTTCCCCGGCAGGAGCTCGCCGAAGATAGAACCGAAGTCGCTGTATGTGCGATGTCAGCCTCTCGATAACACTCAACGAGGTGTATACGTACTCGTTCACCTTTTTCCAGGTCTTCTCGACCGCTTCGCGTTTCGATTGGTCCAGCTCTTCGATTGTATCGAAGATCTTCTGCTTGTCTTTGTTGACGCTAGTGATCATGCGCTTGATCTCGGCCTCGCTCTTCTCTTGTCTGTCCGTCCAGTGAACACCTCGCCGTACTCGAAAGTGAGCAGCACGTACGACTCAAGCTGATGCATCGCCTTTGGGTTGATCTTCTTCTTCGTCGTGTTCTGCTTCGCTTCCAATTGACTGGCTTTGGTGCGCAAAACATCGATCTCGATACCTTCGAAGCTGAACACCGTCCCACGTTTACCGAATTTGCTGCATGACATCAGCTGTCTGAGCTCGGTGAGGCGAGCGTGCACACTCACTCCTTCTCATCCTCGATCCAATCGTACTGCTTCTCAAGCGAGGCGACCGTCTTCTCCGCGTTGTCCTTCTCCTTAGTCAACGTACTGATGGTATGCTCTTGCTTCTTGATCTCCAATTCTTTGTCCGAGACAGACGACTTCTTGCGCTTGATGGTGTCCTCAAGAGCGTTGATCTCGTCATCGTAGCGGTTGAGGGTCGCACGCTCCTCCTGGAGTTTCCTCTCGGCCTCGGCGTGAGCTGCCTAGATAGAGAATGAGCGAGTCGGTTTAACAACCGAGCGTAGAACTTTACCTCCTGCTGCCGCAGATGTTCTTGCTCCTTTTCAATATCTTTCTTCGTCTTCTGGATGCTGGCGGCTGCGTCTTGAAGCCCCTTCTCAGCCTCTACGATGTCGTCCCCACAACGTTCTAGGGACAAGGAGCCCGTCAGGAAGAGCGAGCAACCTGGTGGAATTTAGATGACAAACTTGTCTCGTGGGTCGCCAAGCCGAGCTTCTTCTGCGAGTCCGTCACCTCCTTGGAGTACTTCTCGAAGGCGGCCCTCTCTGTTTGGATTTGTTTCTGTGGCATGAAGTTAAGCGCAGAGCCGGGCGAGTATCCCCTGGGCGAGACTTGCCCTCAGCTCCTCCGTCTTGCCCTCCTTGTTGTTCTTGAACTCCTTCATGTCCTTCTCATATTTCTTGATATCTGCCTCCGCCTCCAGATGCTTCTGCTTCGCGGCCTTGATGGCCTCGTTCCACTGGGCGAGCTCGGCTTCCGCCTTCTTGACGTCTTGTTCGACCTGACAGCCCCTGTGAGCTCCCGACGCCGGTGAACAAAGACCACCAGGCAACGCACCCTCGACGCCATGCTGTCCCCGACTTGCTGCTCGAGCAGCGCGAGCTCGCGCTCCTTCATGCTCAGCTCCCTCGACGCCGCGCGCCACTGGTCGCGGACTCCACGCACCCGCTGCTCGTTCCGCTCGAGCGCTTCGAGCCGCTGCATTGCTTGCTGCATGTTGCCCTCCGCGTCGAGAAGCGCTTGGACTTGGATGAGCATGCCGGAGCCCTTTGGTGCCGACCCACCGCTGAGCGTGCCCGACGGGTCGTACACGTCGCCTTGAAGCGTGACGGACTTGACGCCGATGTCGCGGGAGAAGGTGATCTTCTTTGCGGTCTCCGCGTCCTCGCAGACGAACGTGTTGCCGAAGACGTACCCCATGGCTTTTGCGAGCTCGTGCGAGTACCCAACGAGCGAAAGCGCGAGCCGGGCCTTGCCACCGGAGAGGCGCGTCGCTGCGTCGATTTTCTGAGCAGGCGCATCAGCCGCAAACGGAAGAACAAGTATGAGATGACTCACTTGCTGAGAAACTACGAAGCTCTCGATCCGGTTCAGAGGGATGAGGGTGACGCGCCGCTTCAGGTTGCCCTTCTGGAGGAGCTGCTTGCCGACATCGTCCGTCTCGACGACGACGTTGTACAGCCGGCCGCCGGCAGTGATCTCGAGGGCGGTTGCGGCTTTGTAGTTGACCTCCTCCACGGAGACCAGCTTTGCGACGGTGCCCTTCACCTTGTTGCGGTCGAACGCCGCATAAGGCAAGTCATACTCAAAGTCCACGTTCTCAATGCCTCGCCGTGCATGGTTACGAGTCTAACGATGGAGACTCAGATCGCATGAATGACGAGATAGTTCATTACGCACCTCGGTGAACTTGCGAACATCGTCCCTGGCCTCCCGCAGGGCCCTCTCATGCGCCTCTTCCTTCTCGGCGTCCCAGCCCAGTCCCGCCATCCTCTGTCGCAGCCCTTCCAGCGCCTTCCGCGTATTCTCCAGATTGCGCGCACCGTTTTGAGCCTCCTGCTCGACGGCCTTCCAGCGCTTCTTCAGGTCCTGCAATGTGGTTTCTGTCATCTTCGCCTTCATCTTCGCCTGCTCCGCTTCGGTATTCGCCTGCGTGGAGCGAGATCTTGCGTCGGCAATTTGGCCAAGGTAGCCCCCGCCGGTCTGGCCGTCCATGTTTGAAGACAACCCTGTGAGCAACGTCTGGAGCAACTCTTCGGACGCTTTGTACTTCTTCTCCATCGCATCGTGCTCCGCCCTTAGCTTCGCGTCGGCGGCTGTCAACACTTCCAACTGCTTGCGCTTGTCTTCTAAGGATTTGTTGAGCTAGAGAAGATCAGAGCATGCTCGCTCGTCCTGGAAGTCGGACTCACCTGCGTCAAAGAGCTCTTGAGCGCGCCAGTCCTCGTCTCCTCGTCGCTAATCGTCGAAGTCAAGCTCTCGATACCAGCCTTGATCTTCTCGACAGCCCTCCCGAGCTTGGCCGCGTCCTCCTCTAACTTCGTGACCTTGCCACCCTTCTTCAGCTCCTTGTCCTTCTGCTTCTGGACCTCCACCACCTCCGCCTCGGCCGCCTTGATCTCTTTCTCGTAGCTGCGCTTCTGCTTTTCCATCGACTTCAAGGCCTCTTGACCAGCCGCGATATCCTTTGCAGCGCGCGCCGCGTTCGCGTTCGCGTTCGTCCACTCCAACGCTCGCAAGAGTCTGCCGACCTTCTCGAGCTCTGCGCATCCCTTCTGCCACTCGATGTACTCCCGTTTCTCGAGTCGCGCCTTGTTGATCTTCGGCGTGATCTCCTCCCCGAGGATTGCCTCGAGCTCCTGCACCTTCTTCTCCTTCTTCGAAATGTCGCGTATAGCTTTATTCTTCTTCTCCTCGAACATGCGCGTGCCGGACGCCTCTTCAATCATGCCCAGAATCTCCGCGGGGCGCATATTGAGCACCTGCAGCAGCCGGCTGGGCTTCCGTGGCGACACTACAGCAGCGCAAGGCGACGTACCTTGGTGATCCGCCCCTGCATGATCAGGAAGTTGGGGTTGTTGATGTTCAGCTGCACGCCCTGGAAGAGCGTTTGGATGTCTTGCTGCGAGGACTTGTGGCCGTTGAGGAGGTACTTTGAGAGGTTGGGGATCGCAATCTGCACAGAACACGCGTGAGGTCACCCCCGCGGTGCGCAAACATGGGCTCACGTACCTGTCGAGTGACTGTGATCTGAGGGAGGTGATCCATGGCCACCGGGCTTTTTTCGCGGTCGGAATTGTCGAAGACGATGGTTACGCTGGCTCGGGTGATGCCTGCTTGACCGCGCTTGTAGATGAGGTCTTGTTGGTTTTGCGCGCGCATCTGTGGAATACCCGCCATGAGCTGCCTCGGAGCATAGACTTATCCCAACATATTTACAGAGAATGACTCACCGACGTCATGTTTGTGAGACCAAGCACAAAGCAAATGGCATCCAGGATGTTAGACTTGCCCGAGCCATTGAGACCGGTGATGGCATTAAAAGACGGGTCCCAGCCGCTTATAGTCGTCCGAACGGGGTAGGACTTGAAGCCTGAGAGGCATTGAGCAGGGGAGAAACAAAGGGGTAGCAGTGCATACCATCCAGGATCAGCTCTTGGATGTACATCGCGGGGGGAGAGAAAAGACCAAGAACGCGTTGGTGGCGCGTCGCGTCGCGTCGCGTCGACCAGCCACGTGATTTAAAACTCCGACCCAATCTGCGTGACGTGCTATACCGCGGGTGTCGGACCGTAACTACGCAAAGCCTTTTGTGGGTAGGACCTGCCAGCTTCGAATGATGAGGACACACAACGCCCTTCCTTGTCTCCGAGCCACCATGCACCCGCACGTAGACCCCGCTGCAATGGTTGACGATGACTGGTGGATGGAAGGTCTAACTGACTTCGGCGAGTCTTCGTCAGACGACTCGGACTCGGCGGGGTCGGATTCAGACTACAAGCCCAATAGCCCCATCAAACCCAAACTTGTCCCAACAGTCAAGAAGAAGAAAAGGGCAAAGGAGGCTGAAAATGAATACAAGGTGAGTGTTTTTGAGGTTATACAACACATTCAAACTCATTGCACGGTCGCAGGTCGAGAACCAGCTTGTGAACTATCGTTTGACAACGTATACGACGAAGAGCCTCTACGGTACGTGCTCGCGAGTCACTCAGACCGCTCACGCCTCATGAGTCAACGCCTGGTACAGATCAGATAGACGACGGCATGATTGATCTTGATCCTGACTATCAGCGAGGCAAGGCAACCGAGCTTCTCGAGCACTCATCCCACGGTCCTCATACTATTGTTTAGACGTCGTTTGGACAAGAAAGCAACAGTGCGGCCTGATCGACTCATTACTGAGGAACTTCTACATTCCCCCACTTGTTTTCGGTACGCAAACAACCTACTTCGTGGGGTTTCGTCACTTAAAAGAGCACAGCTGTCACGACCAATCCCGACGGTACTCAAACTCGCGCTTGCATAGATGGCAAGCAAAGACTGACTTCGATAAAGCTGTGAGCCTGCACAGGTTGTTCCTTCGTGATATCGCTGACAGAGATGAAATTCTCGTTCGAAGGTTCTTGGACGGGCTGGTGAGTATCCTTCCTGGCGATACGGATACCGTTTGGTAACATATAGTGGGTTTCTCCCAGATACCTCGTAAGTGCCGTCCGATCGACTCTCACTGCACCCACGAATCGCTCACAATCTCCCTCTCAGACAAGGACAGGTAAACGCTTGAGGTCCCCATGGATTGACAGGTAAACGCTTGAGGTCCCCATGGATTGACAGTGGATTGCTGATCCGCCTGAAGTGGAACAGGGAAAAGCTACTTCCGTTACGAAGCGAAGCTCGACAAGGGCGCTAAACGTCTCCCGAAGTACCTAACCCAGGTCTTCTTCAACAAGCAGGTGCCGTGCATCGAGTATGAGGGGCTCACAAACGATCAAGAGAGAGAAATCTTCCAGGTACTTACGGCTTTGCGCGACCTCCTTTCCAGCTGCTCATTCGGCGTTTTCTAGCGCGTTCAACTTGGAATGGCTTTAACGCTGGCTGGTACGCCCCCCACCTCACGCGCCCGGCCTGCGCCACTCATAATGCACCTAGAGCGTATGCAGGCACTAGCCGGACCGCGGCCCTCTCTTATCCGTGAAGTGCATTCGCTCATTCTCGGTGAAGATGGGTTTGGGAAAGACCTAGATTGGGGTATGGATCGCGGGTCAGACTTCCGCTGTCTCGCCAGCGTCATCTACCTGATCGAGCACTATCCGAGGCCCACATTCCCCACGACGGTACAGCTCATCAACTGGCTTCAACAGGACGACAACGTCACGCACCAGCTTCGCAAGGGGATTCTAGAGACATTCACAGTCTTCGTCCGACTCGTCAAGAGCAAGAAGTATAACATGGCGTTCAGCAAGCCGTCGCGCGTGTCTCCCATCGAGTTCACGATGATCGGCGTGCTCATCCATCTCTGCAAGGACACCCACTCCCTCGTTCAGATCTCGCAGACGATCTGGAAGATGCGAGTGCATGTGCGGCAGAAATTCACGGCCGTGCGGCAGAACAGCAAGGTTTCCCGGGCGATGTTCGACTTTATCGAGGACAACATGAAGACCACCTGTACGACATCAGGTACACCTGCCTCGTTCGCTATCAGGCAAACTTCGTCGCACCAGAACATTGAGCCAGTTGACGACCAGCGCACCGCAACCCCCAAGGAAGGTAAGAACAAGGGAAAACGGAAGAAGGTGGCTGATCCAGTCAGCTCCGACGACTCGGCTCATCCACCAAAGCGGAGAGCGACCGTGCAGGATGTCTCGAGCAAGCGCGTGAAGTCGGAGAAAGTCGCGACACCCGTCACCCAGCAGCCTAAGAAGGCTAGAAAGCCTGCCTCCAAGGCCCTGGTAGAGGCAGCAGAATCGCCGAGTGACGTGGATGAGGATACAACGCGCACCTCGCGTGTGCCGGACTCCACAATCTCCGTACCCTCTCCCAGCCCTGCGATGACGCAAGGTGATGTCGAAGGTGATATGCCTGTTCCGTCACCATTATTACTTCCGGCACAAGCTGGACCAAAGACTGAAGCCGTGGACGCCATGTGAGTTTGCTTGATACTTTCGAGACAGCGCCTCCAGGCTGATCGCACACTTATCGGTACAGGCCGGTCGATACGGCATCTGGATCCCGATGGGTGCGTATTCGAATCAGTTTCATGCCCGTCTCGACTCACTACAGCTGAATCTTCTTAGGGGAACCACAGAGCAACTACGGACAACGACGACGCAACCGCTTCGAGCCACTCAACCCCCAGCTTCATACCTCTCTCTCCCGCGTCCCCTGCCCGTCCCAATGTCAACCAAGAAGCTATCAACAAGGTTCAGCAACTGTACACGAAGTTTGCGAACGCACACATCACGAGCCCCTCCGGACCGCTCTCTCCGCTACCTCCGCTTCCTCCCTTTACGGTTTCTCCTACGTTCCCAAACCGATCTCATGCAGGCGCTACCTCTCTCAGCCCGATCGAGCGACATCGTCAGCCGCTGTTTATCCCCCTGTCGCCTCCAGAAGCATCGTCTCGGCCTCCCCCTACGGCACCGCGAGCACTGGACCGACGCCTCGGGTGGGGCTTCGATCGCGTACGAAACTGGGACCGAGAACCAGAGCGGGTCGACAGAGGGAGAGAACGCTACGCCTGCAGCGATGTTGATCGAGTCATCAAGCGCGAGCCGGACGACATCCTGGAGGGATCCATTCGCAGGATGCGCGATCGGGATTCGGGACCGCGGACGCGACCATCACGACTGGCGGTACAGCGTCCGCAGTCGCTCCCGCGGCCCGAAGGATGGAGAGGAGGGCGGAAGCCGGCTGCAGAACCACTTCTCCAATGGACACCGCAAGGGGTATGATTGAAGCTGAAGAAGACCTGTTTCGTGGTGAGCTCCGCCCGCCGTGCTGTGTCGCCGAGCCCTGGCTGAGAACTGATAGCAGGAGTTGCCTTTGTGGTCGTCCAGAGCCTGTGCCCCGGCCCTGCCACCAACGGACACAAGACGGAGCTGCGATAATTAATGCGGTGCTTGTGTCACTTGCATCTGTCTCCCGTGGGTTACGTCATCGAACAGACTATGCCGAGTGTAGAAGTTGAGTACAAAGTCATATCTGAAGTAGAATATCTGAGGTCTTGTAACGTGTAGCATCTGGTGGACTCGAGCGAATCCATTACTTATCCACTCTGAAAGGGCCATCCCTCCTTACCACCGAAAGCAAAGTCCTGTCTGTCTCTGCTTCAGCTTCGTTTCAAGCCTCCGTAAATGTCGTTTCCCGGCTGGTCTTGTTTCAGGCACGCAACTGTCTACGACCTCTGATCGCAGAGCGCAAGAGCCAGGGAAGCGCCCATAGCGCTGGCTCATCACGCACGTTCGTCCATACACCCACTCAGCAGCTCGCTCACCATCTTTCTCAGCGCCAACTCGCCTCCGAAGACGGCTGTGAGAGCGGAGGCCTGGACGCTTCGTGACTGGCTTATCACCCCATGCCAATCCGGGCGGATGGCAGTGACAGCTCAACATTGCAAAACGCGGGGCAGCCAGTGCAGACAGCGGGCTCAGTTAAAGCCCATTCTTCACCCACTCGCCTTCCCTCCGGTATCCCCACACCACCACCACCACCACCACCACCACCACCCCACGCATCGCCTACGCGCCCCGCACCATGCTCGCCTTCCGACGGCAGGGCTCAGCCATGAAGCGCACGCAGTCGTCGAGATGGCCGCGGAGGCAGGAAGCCCGGAGGTCACGCGACATGGAGGTGAGTAACGTTGGTCCACTGCTCGTTTGCATGCATGTGACCGCTGCCATGTGGATCTGACTAGTACGTGTACCAGCCTCTTCCAAATCTGCGATACGATCGTGATGGGGAACTGGGTGAGATCCCTATAACGTCACAGGTGCGTGATATTATTGTGTACGCATGGAGCAGCACGCACACCAACACGCTTCCCCTCCCTTTAGGTCGCGGACAACCCTGTATCTATTGTCTCCTCTGGTGCCCCTTCTAGCCGCACTGCGCTGGCGGCCACGGCCTGGATGGACTGTGCTACTGCGATGAAGGACCACGACGAAGCGATGGTGCAGGGCTGGAAGGAGGAGATTGACACCCACTTGGTTTTCGTGCGTAACATATCTCGTCTTGCTTGATCTGCGTTTTGACTTTCCTGCTACGGCAACAGGCTGGTCTGTTTTCAGCTATCTTGACGGCTTTTAACGTTGAAGCGTACCAGATGCTGCTGCCAGACGACGACACCTCCAGTTCCACATCGTCAACCAACGAGCTCCTTCGGCTAATAGCGATAAACATGGCGCAGACGAATGGTCTGATTTCTGAAGTCCTCTCCTCAGGCAACACCGGTAGCGGCGGCAACAACAACTGGGCTGGCTCGTTTGCGGTGGTAATCAACGCACTCTGGTTCTGCAGCCTCATTTGTAGTCTTGCGGCGGCGTCGATTAGCATCCTCATCAAGCAATGGCTGAACCAGTACACGTCAGGCATCGCCAGCGTCTCCCCCGAAATCGCGCGCATCCGGCAGTTCCGCTACGACAGCCTCAAGAAGTGGCGGGTAGCAGAGCTGATGATGCTCCTGCCTGTCCTCCTCCAAAGCGCCGTTGTCCTCTTCCTCCTGGGGCTCATTCTCTTCCTCTCGCAGCTCAACAAACAGATCACCATCGCTGCGAGCACTCTTATTGTCTTGCTCCTGGCATTCTTGTTTGTTACTGCCATCCTCCCTACCTTCATCTCCGACTGCCCCTACCAGTCCCCTCAGGCATGGGGTGTATTCGTTGTTGTCCAGGCATTCAAGAGGCCAGTCCGCAGCATCGCACGCTCGCTGGAGATGTACGCCTCGCGCCAACTCAAGGTCAGCTCAACCAAGGAGGGCTCCTTCCCCCGCTTCCGCGCACGCGTCGCCAAGAAGTTCATCCGTGGCATCCGCCGCTTCGCGCACAAGCCCACCACCTTCTCCTGGAAAGCGCGCGAGCGCATCATGGTCGAATCCAAGGGCTCCCTTCTCGACCAGCACCTCCTCATCGGCGCCGACATCACTTTCCTCGACGACACCTTTCTGAGGGACGTGATCCGACCCTGTCTGTGCGCGATGCCGGCGAAGGCCGCGGCGGACTGCTACGCGAACATCATGTCCCATCGCGCCGACCACGTCGCGGCGAGCGGCGTCGTCTACTTCGACAACCACGCGCGGCTCGAATCCGCGGTCGTGCTCACGGACATCACGCTCGACATCCTACAGAAGCTGCACGAGGAATCGGACACGGCCGTCGACCAGCACCTGACGCTGAGCGTGCTCCAGACGCTCGAGCCGTTGCTCATCCGCGCGCTCCCGATGACGTACCCACACGTCTGCCGCGTGCTCATCGGTCTTCTCGACGACGACGACAAGACGGTACGGCAGCTCGCGTTCCAGATCTTGTACCAGCATCTGTCGCGAAACGCCCAGCTCGCGGCGCAGTACGCCTCCACCGGCTGCCACGGTGCGTCCATCTCTCTGCGCGTGCGCTCATCTGCGCCCTTGTTCTGAATACGTCCCTCGAACCCTAGATTACGCCGCGATCGTGGAGTTCATGGACAAGTCCCGCGCTGACGGCGACTTCGAGCACTTCCTCAACGCCTGTGACCTCCTCCTCTCCCTCGCCACCTGGGTCCCGCCCACAGCCGCACGCGCAACCCCCGAGCCCGACAGCCCCGCCGTGCTCGGCGCTACAGTGGCGAGCAGCGCGACGAGCGCGCGCGCGCGCACCTACCTGCACACCACGCTCGAGCACCTCGCCCACTTCTTCCAGAGCCCCGCCTGGCGCGCCAAGGGAACGCTCCTCTACCAGATCTCGCGCATCGCGCGACGGCTCGTCGCGCTCGAGCGGCGCTTCCCGGGCGCGCTGGACGGCGCGCTCGTCGACGTCCTCGCGGACGTCGCGGCAGCGGCGCGCGCGGAGGACTCGGACCGGAACTGGGAGGACAAGATCATGATCATCGAGGCGACCCTGGACGACCTCCGCGCGCTGCGCGACCCCCCGGACGGCGGGGAGGGGTCGGCGACGACCCTGCATGACTCCTCGGACGACGCAAGGCGGGGTGGGCCTGGTCCGAGGACGCGGCGTGGGGGCACTCGGCGTCCATCTTTCATGCGGAGTCCGGCGCTGGTTCAGCTGGACTTCGAGTCGGAGTGATGAGCCCGACCGATGTGAGCGGAGTTGGGTGCGACATTCACAGCTTGGACAGACGGGATCTCTTAGACGTGGACTGTTTGGTAGACTGCTGGACTCATATTGTAACTCTACATCAATGTACCATAAATCTTCCAGTGAAGGCCTGTTGTAGTGTTAACCCCGTCCAGCTTGGGATGGAGAGGATGTTAGTTCACGGCGTCTCTGTGCGCATGCAGCCGAGATCTAGCCACCGTCTCATACTGTACAGTTCATTCCCACGCCTTGTAGACAGTCCTGTAGCCGTCGTATTCGTCCGTTTACATCAGTAATTACGCAAATGTCTGGTTGCCTGAACTGTCTGAACGAAAAATTCCAGGCATTTCAGGCAGCCGGCAGGCAGTCGGGCAGTCAGGCAGTCAGTCAACGAGAAACTAAATCTTATATAGTGACTCGTGCTGTCTACATAGTACACGCGGAGCCCGGGTGCGCAGTGACCCTGGTACCTGGCCAGCCGCCAGTCCAAGTGTCTCCTGTGTGCCTCCACATTCGTGTTGTACCCTGTGCTCTGCGCCGCTGACACCAACGCACCCGCGAGCTCCAGCGGCTGGGTTCTGTGCCAACCGGGAGCTGTTCGGCACTCAGCATGCCTCCTGTTAGACTGGCAGCGAAATCCGTAGAAGCGCATGAGTTGGAACATCATGAGCGGCTCATCGAGGGTCGAGGATGACGTCGTACGGGACGGGCGGAGTGCCCACAGGCACTGAGACGACAAAATGTACGACTCTGGTGGTGACTTATTGCTCTGGGATTTGTACTCCAATCTGGACGATGAAAGCGAGCCGACGAAGGCCTGGACGTACCCAAACCCGTCCATGACAACGCAGCGTAACAGTGCAGGCACGGCTCCTGGAACGATAAGTTGACCCGCCTGGAAGGGCCGTTCTTCTCCGTCTGCCGCCTTGCGCTGCAGCGACCGACGTACGAGCTCTTGCCCATCCGCCTCCTGGCACGGGCACCCCCTCGCGTAGATGACGATGTTGGCGTGGACGCGCGACGCGCTCAGCACGCTCCGCCTGCGCGTCCACGCGCTTAGTGTGCTCGACCTGCGTGTCCACGCGCTCAGCGTGCTCGACCTGCGCATCCACGTGCTCGTCCACTGAGAGTTGGTGCATGTGCGGCGGCGTGTGTGAGGAGAGCACACTGAGCAGGATGTGGGATGCTCGGTGAACATATACGTACTACGTGCGGACGAGTCGATAGGGCACTGGCATTGGGCGCCGTGCGCGTGCGGTTGGGCTATGTATGCGCCGCACTCTGACTAGGTCGACATGCAGCGGTGTTAGCGGTGGTAGAAGAAGTGTTCGGCGGCACACTTACCGGGGCAGGCCGTAGCACACCAGGGATGGCATTAAGGTCGAAAGCAAGCTGACATCCTAGAAAAGCACACGAAGGGGAATTATGATCAAGACTCGGAAGAGAGAAATAAAAAGTCGGCACACCATCGGAGACACAAAAGGGACTTGACCAGTATGTACTCACAGCGCTGCGGCGGCGAGGCATCTCGACGACAGATCAGACGGACGTAATACCGGACAACGGACTGGACACACCATTCGTGGTTTGACCCGATGATCTCTGCAGCATTGATGCGTGATTCCATTGAGAGTGGACATGGAAATGTGCGATACGAGGGATGAGAACGAAGCAGTATGAGGCAAACAGCGATTAGACGCGTGTACGCGCAAGCGGTGGAGGCAGCCGGCGCCAAACAGCGCCGCATCTCTTTTCCCTTCTACCGTCTGACCTCCTCCGCCCTCTCCTGCCTAGAATGGCCCCTCCGACAATGCCAGCTATGTCAACAGCCCATGGTAACCTGCGGGTCACTCATCTCGACTCCATCTCACCTTCCATGAATACTCGCGCAGCAAGATGAACTGGTGGAGCTGGAGTCTTCCAAAATGAGAGAGGTACGTCGCTTTCACCCTCCCTCACCATCCCCCATGCCTAGCCCGGGCCCTTCGGTCGCCCCCACCCTGTCCCAAGTCGCGCATAGCATGAAAACACCTTTTCATATTGTTGATTATAGCTGGGGCCGCAGATTCTAGCGCATGTATGCGCCGAACCCGGTGAGTTCGCTCTTTGTGCCATTATCTTGCGTAGCAGGGCGTGTATTGTCGCCGAGAACGCCGCGTCGAACGTGTGGAGCTCCGATGTGATCAGCGTCGAGCGCGCCCATGCGTATTGTGCGCTCTTTTGCGCTGATCACTAGTATGCGCAGAGCGTGCGGTCCGCGCCCACCGATTTTAGTGCATATATGCGCCAAAATCGGTGGGTTTTTCCTTCGCGCAACCATCTCGTGCAGCAGGTCATTCTGCACGGCGAACATCGTTGCTGTGGATGCCACATTGAACGCTGTGTGGAGCATGTCAAGCCGCGCTCGGATCAGTGCTGGGCTCGTGCCCACGTACTTGCTTTCATGTGGTGATCACCGGGACGTGCGTGACGAGCCATGCATTTTACCGCTCATATACCCTGCTACAGATACCTGGGTGACATGCGCAAGTACACAGGCGGCAAGAGCTCCTGTGCCGCATGGTCCCAGCCCCCCGCCTCACTCAGCCGGCTGTACATCACCTCCGCGTCCGACCCCAGTGCTTCTACGGCGGCTCCATCGACAAGTGCGTCCCTCTCATCACCGATGCATGCTCGAGCACCCACGCTGACTGACAACGACGGCACCGGAACCAGTACCGACAGCCCGCGCCGGACCTCACACTGTACGGGCCTACAACTTCTTGCGCAAGTTCGCGCGGCGGATGTTGTCCTACTGCGGCAAGTTCGCCCGCGTTCGTGCCCGCCACGCAACGCGTGCAGGCGCATCGAACGGCCCGGTTCAAATCAACGCGCCGGACCTGAAGTACAGCACGCAGGACGACGGTGCAGGGGAGTCGGAAGTGGTGCCGCAGCTTGTGGACGAAGACGTGCGCGATGAGCAGCAGCCCCGTGGCCGGAGTCTCTGTGGGCGACACCGCTCACACAGCACAAGCGCTCCGAGATCGAGGAGGGCGAGGGCCCCGCTGCGGGCGCGCAGATGAGGGATGAGTGGCGCAGGTAGGTACCTCAATGGGTCGTACGTTGCGCATACGTCGGACCAGCCCACACGGCCGCGCTGGCATCGCTCGGCGAATACGTCGACGACGACAAGGGGCACCGGCGCGTCAGCGCCGCGTGCGTCACGAGTAAACACACCCCAGTTATTGTCCTATTCCACTAGCAATTGCATCGGTTGTTTTTCTGAACGGATGTGTGTCGAAATCAAACAGCACAGCTACAGCGACCTGCGAGTACAGTCTCCGGGTTGTGTCTGAACTACTGGTTGCCTGGTTTTAATGTCTGATTCGGTCTGGAATAGCGTCCCGCGAAACCCTGCCTGAAAATTTCCGTCTTGCCTGGTTCTGTCTGGTTCGCTTTCTCAGGCAGAACCAGACAGAATCAGGCACTTGCAGAATTACTGATGACTATGCTCATGATTATCCCCTCGTATCCATCTGTCTGATGTCCTCTCGTCTCTCCGGCTCCCGTCGCTTGCTGCAGTCTTCACAGAGGAACCAAGCATGTATCTGTCAAAACACCGAACAGCTTCGAATATCTTGTATCTGCACGCAGGAGCGTAACCCAGTGGACAACATGGGTCTGGCATTGATATCATGTCAAGGATAATACACGGGCTCTGGATCCGGTTCCACTCAGTGCGATCAAGACGGCGGGCGCTTGGATGGCTCCTACATGTTGAGTCTCCGACTGTGATGTTTAGGCGTGAGATCAATCAGTTCGCTCGACTCCGATGACGCGTACCCGCAGCGGGTCTTCAAATTTCAAATCTCGCAACTTGATGCAAACCTTGATGGCACCGACACTGAAAAGCCTCTTCGCAGGAATATCAAGTGAGTAGCCCATGTGTTCGGGTCCGCTCACTTTCAACCCTTCCGTACTTGGCAGAAGCTTAACAGAGTTAGATCCGGCGCAGCGTGCCACACGATCATCCAATCCAGCGGTACAGGTGGAGGACTTTTTCAGGCATCGCGCCTCACGGCTACAAAGAGCTTTACATGCGGTGTAAGTATACTCTTGGACTCTGAGGGAACACAAAGTCCGGTGTGCAATTTTTGCGTGCGTCGATTCAACGATAGCTGTTTCATTGTCCAATGCATGTTCCTCCTGCATTGTAGCTGTTCGCATGACTGAACTCTTTGGACCCAGCGCGAAACTATCACCGACCATCTGTCAGATATGTCTGGCTGCTGTTGAAAGGCTCTTTTCTCAGGCGGCTTCTGCCGTCTCGAGTCGGACCATCTTGTCACTGATGCCCGGTGCTTCGACACCAATGCTGTTACGTTCAAGCTTTATTCCGGATGGAATACAGCCTAGGCGCTTGGTGGTTACGGTGGCTATGCTCTGGCGCTTGCGTGCTATCGAGCGAGTGCGAGCGACAAGAGAGTAAGATTGCGCGTAGCTGGGGTAGACGTAGTGTACAGAGGAGATTCAAGTCTGGGGAGGGAGCGCTCTGGGGCGTCGTCCTTATATACAGGGGCGAGAGTGGGGAGTCACATTATCTACGAGTCATCACCAGTCCACATGACACAGCCCTAGTCGTAGCGACTTGTCGTGACTAGGTACCGCAGGAGGAGTCAGGGCGAGTACACGATGAGTATGTATGAGTCAGGAGGTACAGCATGTGTATGTAATAGTTCTGCATATAGGGAGAGCGGGGGTTATGGATGGAAATTAAATGGGGGCAGTGTATGAGTGTCCGTGATCGTAACATCAGCTCCCTCTCCCAGGGAGGGTCGTCCCGACCTTCTACGCGTCGGTCGACGTTGTCGCGTTCACCGCGGGGGCGTGTCCGATGCCCACAGCCGTGAGGTCCGAGGCGATCTGAATCGACACCCGATCAACGTACTCCTGGAGGGGGAGGTGGGCACCCTCGTAGTTCTGGAGGATGGTGATGATCGGCTGGTCGAACTTCTCGCGGTAAACGTTCCATGGCTGAGAGTCGACGATCCGGTTCTCGATGACTTCGTCGCAAAAGGCGTCGATGTGCTGGGCGATGGCCTCGGCGACTAGGAGGTGTAGGTCCCGTCGGATCTTCGCGTGGACTTGGGGGAATCCTATCTCGAGGTACTCGTAGAGGCGAGCGGGGGTGAATAGTTCCGGCCAGGAGTCCACACGCGCACTGAGGTAGTGGTCGACACCGACATGGACGGTGATGACGTATCGACCCGATGCTGCCTGGACGCGCCATCGAGGCGTGCGAGGAGGGGGATGGACAAGGACGAGTTCGTCGTCGTGGTAGTCGATGATTTCCGCCTCGAGCTCGGCGAAGATGTCGTTGAGGGCGTCGTGGTGGCGTGGGCGCGGGGACTCGTCAGGTCCAGTGAGGGCGAGACGCGAGGAGCTTGCGAGGGTTCCGGCGGGGAGGTTGAGTACTCCGAATTGTACTCCGGGCTCCGCGTTCGCGGTCTGCGTTCGGACCCAGTTATGATGGACCATCAGGAGGGATTGAGCTGCGAGGAGGTCGGCAGTGGGGACTGGGGGTGTTACGATCGCGGACACTAGTACGTTGCCCCCCATTTAATTTCCATCCATAACCCCACTCCCCCGATATGCACGCCCCTTAAATACCTACCGATTGCCCCCTGACTCGTACGGACTCATCTCGACTCACTCTGCCGCACCATGACTCGCCAATCGCTCCTAGTCACCGTATGTTGTAGGGACTAGGAATATCTCATACGGACTCGTCGTGACTCGCAGCTAATATGACTCCCCCCACTCCCCACCTGTATATAAGGGCGACGTCCCTGAGCGCTCCCCCCCCAGACTTGAATCTCCTCTTGTACTACTACGTCTACCTTGACTACGCGCAATCTCACTCGTTGTCGCTCGCACTCGCTCGATAGCACGCAAGCGCTCTGAGCATCGCCACTGTAACCACAAGGCGCCTAGGTCGTATTCCAGCTGGAATAAAGCCCTCAGACGTAACATTAGATTCAAGTCTCGAACCCTCCACTTCTATAAGTGCAGAGGATCTATCTAGGACCAAGGAAGGCTGTGTACTGCTCGAACGCAGAACACAGTATAAACATCAGACATCACGGATATCGTTCAGCAATACGCAAGTTCGGAAACAAGCCATAGGGAAAATTCCCGCAACTCACACCTATACGCTACCCCTGGAACCCCCCTCATTCTATTGCCAAGAACCCCCCTTCACGGACGACCCAACCTTCGCGTTGAAATCCATAGCCCCGCCCCTGAACCACATACTCCCTTCGACACAATAATCAACGAGGACGAAGAGAGTACTGCGGTGCAGGCTCAAGCAGAAGACGATTCAAGCGAAGACACCGTTGAAGAATACTATACCTTTAGGAGGGCCCTGAGGCAAGGAGGAGAAAACCTGAACGCGCTCCAGACCGAACCCATCTTAGTAGAAAGATTTGGAGCACTCGAATTGGAAACACTCCACCAGCAAATCACAGACCTGGACGATACTCTCGGCGAATTCTACGGAGTTCCAGACGTAGACGAAGAACCGATCGAACTACCTCTTCACGCGCACGACCCAATCACCAAGCTTGTGCAACGCCTTCAGTTCGACGTAGCCGATCTTGAACAATTTGTATTCAACTTCAGGGGTAACTTCATCCACCCAGACTACCCCAACCGCCTCGAAGCACTCAAGCGAGTTCGCATCGCCCTGGAAACGGTTCAAGAATATTTGAATGTCAACTGAAGCAAACGAAGAACCAGATAGATCGTGCAAAGACTACGCCCACATCTTCAACCCGACCAATACCGCCGACTATCACATTACTAGACGAGGATATCAACGGTGCACCACACAACGCTGTCCCATTAGATACTGGGCAGCACGAAAGTACAAGGCACCAGAATTAGAACCTCCATACGAACCAGTCTCAGAACTACAGGAAGAACTATTCGCAGCACAATACCCCACAGGCCTCGAACGACTGTGGAAACCACTGCGAACCCAGGAGCAATCCCAACCCATGCCCCCAAAGCCGGCCAGGATTGCTAGAACCACATCAGGACAACGAGCAAGAGACTCGCCAAGGATTACCCCCAGACCTTTGACAAAGGAAGAACCAGTAACGGCCCCAATTCCAGGAACAAGCCGCACAGGCAAACAACCAGACGTGACTCTCGAACCCAAGGAACCAGAATCAGAGATGGCAACGGTCACAGAAACAGAAGTGGTACGAACCACCATCACCGAACCAGTACAGCCAGAAGAAGAATCCGACCACGAGTCAGGAGGAGGCCGCTTGAACTTCGATTGGGACGAAATAAGGAGACGACGCGACGAAGAAGCAGCAAGAGTACTCCAACAAAGAACGGAAGATACTCAATGGAGTTTTGAACGACGAGGAGTACCAAGTTTCACGCTAAGCGCAAATCCCACAAATGCAAGCGCCTCAGCAGCAGCATGGACGTCGATAGCATTGCCTCGACTCGGAGGAACTGCAGCGTACCCACCTCCCGACCCCATGGGAAATCCACCACCTGCTCCTATACCAGGAGGAGGACTGCCAGGAGGAGGACCACCGCAAGGACCGCCAGGAGGAGGACCACCGCAAGGACCTCCAGGAGGAGGACTGCCGCAGGGACCTCCAGGAGGAGGACCACCGCAAGGACCCCCGGCAGGGGGACCACCACAGGGACCCCCAGGAGGAGGACCACCCGCCAACCCAGGCGGAAATATTCCTCAAGGACCCCTGGGTGGTTATATGCCGCCACGAGGCAAAGGAAAGGTCAAACTACCGGAACCATTCAACGGAGATCGAGACAAACTCGACACATTCGTACAAGCCCTGCTCCTACTCTTCGATGCACGACCTGTCGATTTTCCGGATGACCAAACGATGATCACCACCGCTTTATCCTACATGGAAGGAGGCACAGCAGCGATCTGGAAGACAGCCGTTCTACGCCAAGCCTGGGAAACTGACGCAACAGGAAACAGGCAAGGCTATGGAACATGGAGAAACTTCCTCGCCGCTCTACTCGCTACCTTCACGCCTATCAACGAGGAAATGCACGCCGCTAACAGGTTGCGTACTCTGACATCAAAGGATTACGAGTCCATCAACACCTTCAATGGAACCTTTATGGATCTAATCACGAAGGCACTCATCACAGAACCACGCGCCCAACTAGCATGGTACCGACAATCCCTCGATGCTCCAGTACGCAACAAGATCCTGGACATGGCCACGGTACCTGCAGACCTCAACACGTGGATGGCGCGAGCCATCGATGTCGATAGGAACTGGAAGATGAAGAAAGATATGGACAAGATCCTCGGAATCAAACCAAGGTTCAAGACAAAGGTGGTTAAAGCCACAACCACAGAAAGATCAAACGGAGAAGTCAACCGACTCTCTGCGGAAGAAGAACAAGACCTACGAAGCAAGGGATTATGCTTCTACTGCAAGAAAGGAAAGCACCTGGCGCGATTCTGCCCAGCCAAGAAGAAAGGAAAACCGGCACAGCAGAAAATTCGCGCTATGAAGGAGGACCAAGAAGACGACCCTCCTAGTGACTCCGAAGCCGAGATTAACGCTACCATGATCGATGAAACGGAGGATTTTTAAAGCGGCAGGACGAATCAACGCCGGATCTGCCTAATACAACCACCATTCATGTAACCCTTGTATCAAATACCGAACGGCGAAGACACACCTTATTACTCAACGGTTACATCGAAGTGGGAAAAATCGCCGTCGAAATCAAAGGCCTCCTCGACTCAGGAGCCGACGCAGTAATTATCAACAAACGAGTAGTGGACAAATACAAACTCCCAACGACACTACTCCCAGTACCTGTCCGGTTCAAGAACGCGGACGATACGATCAACAGCTCAGGAAACATCACTCATCGCGTAGAAGGAAACTTCATCCTCAACGGAAACAAGCTACCTACCAACTGGTATGTGGCCAATATCGGACGCGACGATGTAATCTTTGGAATGCCCTGGATACGAAACTACAATCCAATCATCAATTGGGAAACCGGGAAGGTCACCATCAAACAAGACAAGATCAAGAAACAACAGGAGCTACAAAAAACCCGACAAACGATCACACCCCCAGAAGGAACCCTGTGGGGATACCCACTCAGAGCGGACGATCAAGAACTATTACTGGCATACTTCGAAACGGACACAGACGACGATAAACCGACACACAACCCCTCCAAAGTCCTCACAGAATGGTTTGAAACCAGCAAAATCCGACGAGCCACGAAGTCAGCGGAAATCGCCATCGAAGCAAATAAACTAAAACCCGAAGTGCCGTTAGACGAAATCCTACCAGACTTCGTGAAAGGATACCGCAAAATATTTGAAAAGAAGGCCGCAGAAAGATTTCCAGAATCCAAACCATGGGACCATGCAATCGACCTAAAACCAGGCTTCGATTTTCACAAGGACAAGAGATGGAACAAGATCTACCCCCTCACCCTCACGGAGCAAGCTGAATTAGAAAAATTCATTGAAGAAAACATGAGAAAGGGGTACATCAAGAAATCAAAATCCCCATTCGCTTCACCATTTTTCTACATTCCAAAAAAAGACGGGACACTACGACCAGTCCAAGATTACAGGGCCCTCAACGAAGGAACGATTCGAAATGCGTACCCACTCCCACTAATCAGCGACCTAATGGATAAGCTCAAAGGAGCCAAATATTTCACCAAGTTGGATGTACGAGCTGGATACAACAATATTTGAATCAAGAAAGGAGATGAATGGAAAGCCACGTTTATAACCCCCAAAGGACTATATGAACCCACAGTAATGTTCTTTGGACTATGCAATGCCCCAGTGACCTTTCAAAGCATGATGAATCAAAACTTCGAAGACCTCATTCGCGAAGGATGGATGGTTATCTACATTAAGGCTGTTCGAGACTCCGGATCACTTTGCAGATCGACCCGCAATTACCCGGAGTCGTGCGTCGCGGTTCGTGATCCACACGGCTCCGACTCAGTGCGGATCCGGCTCGGCGAGGTTCCGAATCAGGCTGGCCAGATTTCTCGTGATCTGCGGGTCATCCGCGGGTAGAGTCGCATATTCAGACTATGTATACACATTCAATCCGACTTTATTGCTTCTAGTTGTACTCATTGTCTGAGGCGTCGGAGTCGTTGTCGGAGTGGACGGGGGTAATGAGGCCGGGCAGCTCATCGTCGACCGAAGGGTGGGTGGGGGTCGCGCCAACAACACCTGCCCTCACGCCCGCATCCACACCTGCGTCAGTGTCCGCACGCGCGCCCCTGCCCACTCCCTTGCCCTTCCCCTTGCCCTTCCCCTTCCTCTTGCGTGTGCGCGTGCGCATCTGGGGGCCAACGGGAGCTGCGCCCGGGCCTGCCACACCTGTGTCTGAACCTAGTAAGTCAACGACTCAACCCCATGAGCGGCTGCCAGACTCACCATTAGCACCCTCCTGCTCCCTGTCGTCCGTGAGAGAAGACACGCCTGCATCCGCACGGGCTTCTGCATCTATTCCCGCATCCGCAAAGGTTCCCCCAAGGTCCATCGCCGCTGCCGCACCCGCAAAGAGCGTCTCTACTAAGATCGCGTGGGTCCGTGGGCTGATTGTAGAGGGGCGCGGCGTGTCCAGAAGCTCCGCGATGACCAGAGAGCGGTGGTACTCGGCGAGCTCTTCGATCATGCTCGCCCACCGTGCGGGGGGAACGAGACGGCGCGTTGCTGCGACCATCAATTCCCCGTACGTCTTGCCGGAGTGAGCACTGGCGCCAGTAGGCGAGGTGTCCGTGCCGAGGTCGTAGAGCTCGGAGAGAGCGGCGAGGGTGTCTGAGGGAGGAATGGACGGAGTGTCGACACTAGGGCCCATTGAGTTAAGGTAGGCGTCGGAGACGTGAGTGTCTCCCGACATGGACGGCACTGCTGAGGGGAGGGCCATGGGGTCGCCAAGCCCGATGTCGGAGGGGGCTGGGGGAGACGAGGAACTGGTGGGGGCGGATTTGGACATCTTGTTCAGAGCGAGACTGCAAGATGGTCGTCGGACGACACAACCTTGAACCTGCGATATACCGTGTGAGCATATGGCTAGTTGGACATGGCGATATCGTATCATAGACCTACCGTGACAGGTGTCGCGATTATGAGCGGTGGACGCGGTGGAAGACAACTCAACCGGATGTCACGAGAAGAGGAGGGGCGAGGTCGTCTGCGTGAGCACGTTGAAGAGCTGATTAGGCTGCTGCTGCGCAAGGAGACGGGTCGGCTGTGTGAAGAGACGAGGGGTCTGCGCGTGGAGATGGGTTGTCCTCGCGAGCTGAGGATGGGGTGCCGGTTGTTTGCGCGAGGAGTTCCAGGGTCCGCTGGGTGAGGACTCGACGAGGGAGCCGCGCGTGGAGACAGTGGGTCGTCCGCGGGGGGCCCTAAGTGTACAACGTGCGCTTCGGATCCTCGGACACCCTCGCCGGCTTGGTTGAGACCAAAGAGATCCAAAGGTGGGCGGGAGCTGGGCGATTACGCCATTTCAGGCAGGAGGCGCGCTGGGCGCCAGGCGAGATAACGATCTGAGGATCATCATGCTGATCGTCAGATGGTTAGCTCGCCTGTAGGATGTTGATACATCAGCCAGGGCAAAACATCAAAGGGGCATGGACGACTCACTGAGAGGGCATGGTGATGGTAAGAGACGACGTAGATGTGGCAGCTGACACAGCTGACCGCACGGCTCCTGGAAGGCGTGGGCCTGGGAGTCGAAGTCCTCGCTTCATCTCGGAAGCGAGGTGCCGCTTTGGGGAGCATGGCGTGCTGTCAGGCGTGCAGGCTGAGTACCTTATCGCCTCCTCATCTCTGCAAGTGCTCACCTTCATCCTCTCTCCGCTTCCTCAGCTCCCCTGCCGAACTCAGTCTACCCCGGCTGCCCTACTGCTTTCTTTTTCCCCCAGCTACTATCCCGTTCTCAGTCGCAATGTCTTATCAATGCACACATCGCTGCAAATCCACTCGCCACACACACACGCCACTCGAACCGCCCCATGAACACGGCCATCGCAGTGTTCCTAGCCCAACCGCTTCATGGACTGTCTTGTGGTACCTCCACCGGCTCATGATTGGGCTTTGAGCGCGCGGTCAGGGCGAATGGAGGACCTGATCAGTCCTTGTCTTGGTGAGCACGCTCTCTTATCTCTCATCGAGGCGGGACACGGCTCTCCGGGCTAACACTACCTTTGCCAGACATATTCAGGAGCTCGCACATCAAGTCGCCAGCGAGGTTTTATACCACGCAGACTCGCTCCGGTGAGGTCAGAGATTCCACTCAACCACCCACCGTCTGACGATTCACCTCCCCTCGACATTAGTATGCCCACCAACCCTCCCGAGAACCCCCTCGCGGCTGCGGTAGCAGCTGCCAAACGTCCCCGCTCCGAGACCGTCACACAGGAGTCTGCCAGGTTCGTCCACTTATATTTCATTGTGCTGTCCTAACACACGTTCTTCGATCTACTGCAGCGCCACCACACCCAGCGCGCGCGACAAGCGGCGCGCGAAGGTACGGCGCACGGGCTCGACTATCTCTGTGTCCTCCAAGTCGGTCACAGAGGACGAGGACAAGGACTCGAGCGCTGCACCGTCCGACACTGACAGTTCTGACAGCGACGATGGCATTCGCGGCCTGAAAGAACGCACTCGCGCGGCCGCGGAGAATGCTGGGATTGTGGGCCCCAAGAGTGGTCGCCAGACTCGTTTCGAGAGGCGGTTCCCGAACCTGACCCCAGAGGAGATTCTAGGTAAGTCCGATCGCTCAGCTCTGGGACGAACATATTGCTGATATCTTACAGAGGAACTTTCGAAGGGCTGGCGTTCGGATGTGTACTTGCACTTCGAATTTCCGACAGTCATTCGAAACCCCAACGGGACGATAAGTCATCGTTTCGTGTGCAAGAAGTACGTTGTGCACTTGAGTCTCTTTTCTTGAAGGCATTGACGTACATATTTTGTACAGGCACTCGTCTAAGAAGGTCGATCGTCCCGACTATCAAGAGAGCACCGGGAATCTTGTCCGGCACGTCAACAGCTGCGACCCTTCGAAGAAGAAGACTCCGGCCGGTGTTCAACTGATCGAAGAATTTGCCGCTGGGGTCACGTACACCCCGCATCGCATGCGCTTCCTGCTTGCGATGTGGTGTGCCCGCCACCATCGCCCCTTCACCATCGTGGAGGACAAGGAGTTCCGCACGATCTTGGCGATGCTCTATAACAAGGTCGAACTTCCGACTCGCCAGACGATATCTCAAGACGTCCGCGACATCCATGTGGAGGCGAAACAGCGAGTTATCGACCATTTCAAGGTACGTATATCCCGTTCATCTCCAACCACGTCTCTGACATTGTTATCAGAACATCGAAGGGGGCGTCCACGTGTGCATGGATGGCTGGACGTCCCCGAACATCATCTCGTACCTTGGTATCACCGTTCATTGGACCGAGAAGGGGGAGATGAGGCACATTATTTTGGACTTTGTCAAGTGCGTTCTCCACCTCGCTGCTAACGCCTGCAGACCTCACTCACACCTTTTTACCTCGCCTCGCAGGCTTACCAAGTCCCACAATGCGACTTTCCTCGCAGACAAGCTCGAGGCCTGTCTCCGCGATTTTGGTATCTTTGACAAGGTGAGCTTGCCAACCGCTTCTTGCACACGCGATCTCTGTCCCCATCCCCTCTCGAGTCGTGTGTCGCGTCCCCTCTGTGCGATTTCTGTATCCCATCCCCTCTAGCACGTCACTTCCCTTCTTTCGTGCGAGTCACTCCTCGTCTCTCACGTACCTTCCTTCCCTTCGCCCACGTGTATCGCTTGCTTACACACAACCCCCACTACAGGTCATCGCTGTTACATGCGACAACGCTGAGGTCAACACCGCACTCATGCGGCAGCTCCATGACCGTGCACCATTTGCCCGCATCGGAGAGGGCCATGTTCGTTGCTTCGGACATGTCTTGAACTTAGTTAGCAAGGTCTGTAGCTACGTTGTAATTTGATGTATCGTTCTCTCTATTCTGACCTCACCCGTTATGCCCTACCAGGCTGCCATCAAACCCTTCCTCAAGAAGCGCAGCCGCGCTGGCAAGAACACGTCCGAGGACGACGACGATGTGTTGCAGGACGAACACGATGACTTCTCTGACGGTTCGGACGCCGACTCGTCAGACAACGAAGGGGAAGAAGTCGACCCCGCCCGCGAGGATGCTGATCAAAATCTCATCGATCAGATGCTCGACAATGGGCTCGACGACGACGACGACACTCCGTGCACCCCTGAAGAGGAGAAGGCTGCGATTCTTGCTCTTGAGAAGGTAAGTTACACGCCTTGGGCCATGCCTCATTGAACGCTCACCTATTGTGCCCCCTGTAGCTTATCAAGTTGTCGGGCAAGGTTTGGAACAGCCCCCCCGTTCGGGCAGAGCTGGAAGAGCTCGCAAAGAGCGCGAACATCAGCGCGCGCGTCCTCATTCGCATGGTTCGCACCCGGTGGAACAGCATCGTGGGTGTGATCGGGCGTGGACTTGAAATGAAGGATGTACTCGGGGCGCTATGCGACAAGTACGAATTCAATCGTGCGGGCGGTGTCCGTCTCCGCCGTTTCATCCTCAACGACAATGAGTGGTCCATTCTTGAGCAGCTCTACCACCTGATGGACGTAAGTACCACCCACCTACTCTGCCCGCTACTCTCTGCTGATGATCTTGACACCCATAGCCATTCTTGTACGCGACCGTCCAGATCTCCTCGAACACGCGTGCACTTCTACACGAAGTGATTCCGTTCATCGACATCCTCACCAAGCACCTGGACGACTTCGTCGACCAGGACGATCTTCACCCGGTCGTTCGCAAGGGCGCGCGCGCGGCGCGTGCGATGCTAAACAAGTACTACAGCAAGACTGACGACACTCCTGTTTACCGCATCGCCATGAGTAAGTGTTTGCAGCTACGTATCCCTTGAGACTTATTCTAATGTTCAACATTCCCCAGTTCTTCACCCCGCCCTCAAGCTTACGTACTTCCGCAAAGCCGGATGGACTCCTGAATGGATTCAGATCGCGCGTGACCTCACGAAGGAGGTTTGGCTGAACCACTACAAGATCGATGCTCCTACCACCCAGCCCCCCTCCACGCCCACCGCCTCCGTCTCTGCGTCGTCTTCTCGGGCCTCTTCGTCGGGCGTCAAGAGCAACACTGCCCGCAAGAGCTCACATAGTGTCAGTGCAGCGGTAAGTCCTCCTGTAACAACATTCTTCGAGGCACCCATACTAACTGTCCTTCGACAGCTCTTCGCGACTATTACTGAGACACGCGCGGGCTCGCGCAGCGCGGTAGATGCTCTCGAGGAGTACCTCAACGCACCGCCCAAAACAACTGTGAAGGACCCGCTCGCGTACTGGGCTGGCACCCTCAAGGGCAAGTCTGAGGACCATGCGCTTGCCCGCATGGCTCTTGACTACCTCTCTATCCCGGGTAAGTTCCTATTTCTCTATCATTCCATCCACTCTGACTGATATTCACTCTATCCAGCGACTTCTACCGACGCCGAGCGCGCCTTCTCTCGCGGTCGCCTGACGGTCTCACGCCTGCGGCGTTCTCTCGGGAACGACAGTGTTCGTGCCAACACTGTTTTGGGGTCTTGGGCGAGTGTTCCTGGCCTCATCCCGGAGGAAGAGATGGTCGACTTTCTGAAGGACAAGAAGGGGGCGCGGGCCCGTCGTAATGCTGATGCTACCCCCGATCCTGCTGACATTATCACTATTGACTGAACACGTACCTCCGCATCCCCTCCCTCACCCACGCCCATCGTCTTTGTTCGCAAATACCCTCCCTCACCCGCACCCACCGCCTTTGTTCCCACATCATGTGCTCATCTCCCTCCTGTATCTGTTGTTCTGCTTTACTATTCATTCTCTCTGCGGGGCACATTCTCGAATCTCCCTGGCCAGGGCTGGTCCCACCTAGCGCTCCCG